CTGCCGACACCAGCGAAAGCACCGCTACTGCGCCCTCTCATCCTACATCCCGGGTCCTGCCAACGTGATGGCTGATGATGCGTCGCATCTGCAACACCTCACCCTGCCTGAACTTCTCGCCCACTTTGAACAGCGCTATCCGCAGAACAAACCCTGGCGGGTGTTGACTCTGCCACCCGAGGTCAGTTCACTGTTGATCTCCGCCTTGAGCTGCAGACCGCTTCCAAAAACATTGTCTCCAAGACGGCCGCCGCCCGCGACCGGACCTTCGGACGATGGTGTGACTTCTGCGCGGGCCTCGGCGTCAACCCATCCCTCTATGATATCCCTGACCAAGAGATCCAAGCCTGCTACCTCCTCGTCTTCGGAAACCGTTACCGCGAGTCTAACAATGTCCGAGCTGACTCAGTGGACAAGGCCCTTCTTGCCGTCGGGAAGGGGATCACCGACCTGGGTCACCCGGATCCCAGAAAGCTCAAAGCTGGATCCGACCACAAACATCCAATACTCGCTGCTTTCCTCAAAGGACTCCGAGATGAAGACGGACCCCCTGACCGAGCCTACCCCGTCAACCTCTCCATCCTCCAAGCTATGCTCGATGCCCTGGACTATGACGGCGCCACCTGGGGAACCCTCAACCACCACGTCCGCAACCTCTGCATCCTGGCCTTCTTCTGGCTTCTACGCCCTGCGGAGTACCTGGACACCGGGAACCCTGAATCCCGAAGCCAAGCCTTTCGCCTCTGTGATGTCTCCTTCACTGTCCGCGGTGGCCTCCAAGTCCACGGAGACACCATCTCTTTGAATGACGTGAAAAACCACGCGTGCCTCACCGACGCTACGTTTACGTTCACTGACCAAAAGAATGCTGTCCGCGGCGAATCCGTGGGCCACCGCCCGACCTCTGATCCATGGCTTTGCCCGGTGAAGTCGCTCGCGCGTGTGGTCTACCACCTCCGTACCAACGGCGCCGATGCCGATACTCCCCTCTTCAACCACTTCAATGCGGCCCGCAACCGGTGGTATCCTGTGAAGCCTCAGTTCATCACCAACGCACTCCACCACGCTGCGGCCCTCATCTCCCACGACACCGGCATCAATTCTGACAAGGTCTCTGCCCGCTCCCTCCGTCCTGGTGGTGCCACAGCCCTTCTCTGTGCACATGTTGACTCGGATGCCATCCGCCTTCTCGGCCGCTGGAAGTCCGACGCCATGCTCCGCTACCTGCGCATCCAAGCCGCTGCCGCCACCCACCACTACTCCCAACAGATGTTAGACCATGGGGCGTACAACTTCCCGGGAGGCACCTACGATCACCACCTCCTCCCGGCGCAAGCGCCCCAACACTTCAACGAGATTCTTCTCCACGAAGACCTCTACGAGGACTAACCTACCCCTAGTCCTCGGCCCCCTGTCCTGGCCTCCACCTGGACAGGGGGCAACTTCTCCCACCCCGCTATGCTCCCTCCCTGTTCTGCCTTTGGCTTTTGGGTTGCACGACTCAAGGCTGTCCCACGGAACATCACATTCCCGGGACTCCCTTTTGCCGTGTGGGATCCATCCGGGACTCCCCAGTCCCGAATGGAACCCCGGGGTCTGGAGACGGTCGGCTCAGTAAATGGCCGAGTCTCTCCACTCACCTAATCCTCTACTAGTCATGCCTAGCTGCTCTGGGCGAGCGCAGCTTGTCTGCGCTCGGTGTCGAGCAGCAGCACACCTGGGGAACCCCCCGTCCGAGTTTCCATGGCCTGGAGCGTGGAAACTTGAACCCTGATGGGTTCTCGCAACTATGACCCTAATCATGGTTGCCGAGAGAACCATCTCACAATTTGCAAAATTAATTCCCATGCTCCTCACCTACCGGTACAACTCAAGTACATCTCTACATTTCGCAGGTCATCACCTGCGTTCCGGAAATGGATACCCCACATGATGATGCACCGCTCAGCTCCTCAATGCCTCTCGAACAAGATTACCCTTAAGGCAACGACGCCCGTCCAAGACCACATTTGGCAAGATCGACAGCGGCAACCATGAATCACTAAAGCCAGCGACCTAGCCAAGACCAGCCATTGAACTGCCGATCGCAAGAAGGTTGTCTCTCTCTCTCAGCTCATAATTCTTCATTCAGCCGACGCTGAAGGCAAGAACCTAGATTAGATTAACCTACCTCTCCCTCCCTGGTTGCACGACTCAAGGCTGTCCCGCGGAACATCACATTCCCGGGACTCCCTTTTGCCGTGTGGGATCCATCCGGGACTCCCCAGTCCCGAATGGAACCCCGGGGACTGGAGACGGTCGGCTCAGTAAATGGCCGAGTCTCTCCACTCACCTAATCCTCTACTAGTCGTGCCTAGTTGCTCTGGGCGAGCACAGCTTGTCTGCGCTCGTAACGAGAGCCCCCTGTCATCAATGCCGAAGGCTCAACCTCATGGTCGTCTTCATCGTCTCCTCTATAGCATCCAAAGCGGACGGCTTCACAATCTGTCATTTTGTCTTGTCGACAACGACAGCGAAACTATCTTTTAAGCAACTTTGTTCGATCGATACAGCAAAGTCACAATTGGAGCGAGAGACACTTTCTGGAAGCAAGGAAAGCTCTCAGAACGCATTGTCAGAGCAGGCACCTTCCACATCATGCAAGAACATCATGGTGGGGACGGCGGCAGAGTGAAATGGGTGCGTCTTCTCTCTCAAATGATGGGAAAATGTGATTTTAGGCTCTGAATCATCTTCTGCCGCCTAACAAAGCTAGTTGAAGCAATAGGTCAGAGTGATGGTGGGGATGCTTATCTATGGCTACAAGCTAGCTATTCCCGCAATGAGAGGCACCGACTGGAGCAAAAATTGTTCTTTTATCCATCTTGTCGCTGTGACAGCTGAGTCCCTAATTTGTCGTGATCGGGATTCAAACCTGAGTCGGGATAATGCCTGCTATATGACTCCAACCATTGATACAACCAGCACATGGCTGTGACAAGCAAAGAATGTAGATAACTCTAGATAGTTAGCTTTATTGTGTAGGTGCTATATTTTGTTGAGTTCATCATGTAGCCTTTCCATAGATTAGTAGTCCTTCCCATCAAGATGATTCGTGGGTGAAATGAAGAAGAGCAAAAGTAAAGGTGACAGCTCTACAAATTTCCCACAGGAGCGTTCCTCAATCGTGCATGCAACCGACCCTAAATTAGGGTCGGATTTAAGGTCGGATTCCCTTTAGGGTCGGGTTTCGAAACCGACCCTAAAAATAGGGACGGTTTCTGAAAAACCGTCCCTAATTTAGGGACGGGTTTCAATTTAGGGTCGGGTTTGAAAAACGTCCCTAAATGGAAACGGGACTGAGTGGTAAATACATTGAAAACGCACCAATATTAGGGTCGGGTTTCGAAACCGACCCTAAAAATAGGGACGGTTTCTGAAAAACCGTCCCTAATTTAGGGTCGGGTTTCGATTTAGGGTCGGGTTAGAAAAACGTCCCTATATTTAGGGACGGATTCCCCCAAACCGACCCTAAATTAGGGACGGATTTAAAGTCATGCACGATTGAGGAACGCTCCAGTTCTACCGTAGGGCGCAGCAAGTCACCTACCTTACAATCTTAAACATAAGGTATTTAGCCTTTTATGTTTCAATTTTGCTTTAATTATTGTAAATTTATTGCTTTATACAAGCTGGTTTGGCAACAATTGTGCGTTGCAAAGCTGGTGTGTACATGACTGAACCGTGTGGTACACAGCAGCAGGTGTGCTGCTGCTCGACACATTTCCAAAATCTGCTGTTTGAAGATATCAAGAAAGTAACGCCCGGAGGACGAGGTAAACAAAAAGCCATGGTTTACCCCCAAAGGGTCTTTCTTTCTGGCGAAAGTTTTCTTCTTCTAATATTTTAAGCTGCTGCGCTGCAATGCATAGGTGTCACTCCATGATATTCCCGCAAGTCGGGTATATTTTTGTTAATACTTCTATTTTCCGTCCCGGAATGAGAGTATGGTCATTGGATAAACTGCCCCTTAAGTTTTACTATGACCGAAACTGGTCAGTTAACTGTTATACCATGGCTTGGTTATGTATTATATAGACACTATTAATCTATCTCTCTATGTAGCAAGCCACTGCTTCTAAGTACAGATCCAATTTTTTCCTATGTCCACTTTTGGATAAAAAGTATCTATACCTGAGGAATTTTATGCATTAAATGTAACACTTGAAGATACTGCCTGCTCTCTATATAAAAGATATCTTAATCATGTATATTTTCTGTATGATAAAATCCTCAAAAATGCCAGTTTGCTACAAATTTCGCAACCTATCATGTAAGATATGTCAGTTGTGGACAGGAAAGAACTGTTGGGTTGAGTATACTAGCTAGCTAGCTAGTGGTCCTTTCTGTCTTTGACGCTGTCCTTTGGGTACGTTTATCCAGCTCTGCTGGTTTTCCACTTGGTACCGTTTCTAAGAAGGGTTGTTGGTTTTGCTTTTCTCCTTTCTCAGTGGCCACAACTGTCATCGGTACTACGCGCCAGTAGTTAAGGGACGGCACGCAAATTCGGTGAAGTAAGTCCCATTGAAGAACACAAAAATCCTGACTTGAACTCTACAATGTACCACTACGCCACTACGCCACTACGGAGCTCGGAGGTGCCACCGGTATGCACTCTGGCTTCTGGAGCTCTTCTGGCTACATTCAGCATGCAGGATGCGCTCGATGCTCGATGGACTAGCTAGTACAGTACCAGTACTGTAGAGACAAATCTCCACAAGATTCGATTGCTCAATATTTGTCTGCTGTTCTGAAAAGGAATTAACCCTGACATTTAGAGGTTACTCTTCGGGTGCACTGCGTGGTCGTGGTTTCTCAGACGCTGTCATTTTAATAACGCCTCCTGGCATTGTGTGAACAGCAGTTCGTGTCCGGATTTAGAGCCTCCTCACTCGGCGGCTCGTCGGTGGCCTCATCACCAGATCGGCACAGTCAAAGCTCTTCAACCTTCAACCAGCAACGAGCTGCTCACTGCTCACCGGTAACAGAGCCTTGCCCCAACCCACACCAAGAAAAGTGTGGAGTGGAAAATAAGAAAATAAGAGCAGCCACAGCACAGCAACAAGAAGACGCAATCAAGTGAATAGTGGCGAAAGGACCAGAAACCATTGCAGTGCAGTAAAGCAGCAACAGACTCAGGCTTTCAGTCCAACAGAGCTCCCCCAAGCTTAGCTTCCACATTCCACAGTCCATATCCTCTTCTTGCGCGCAATTAATTACAAAGCCAGCAGTAATGCGTTCCAATATCCGAGATCCAAGCGGTATGATACCGATCAGTGTGGCTTCCGATCACACACCCAGAAGTGAAGATGCCGATAGCTTTGCTTTCGACGGCAATGCATCCAATTCTTCTTTCTTTATGACTGTTGCAGAGGAAGGCTCCATATCGCCACTGGGAGCAAGCGAGTTGGTCGGTCAATCGTTTAGGAGGAGAAACATAGACATCCATGACGCTGTTGGAATGGGGTTATTAGAAGATGATTCCAGCACTACAAATCAAGGCAACGACGAGGTCGCTCTCCGCTCATGTCTATCCAGTAGTAGGAGAAGAAAGCCACACGCGGCAGTTGGGATGGGTTTAATGGAAGATGAGTCCCTCACGGAACGAGGTGACGACGAGTTCCTTCGGCCGTCTCTTGAACGAACCGGCAGACGAAGGGTCCTCTTTCTCTTGGACGACGACGATGATGATGATCAGGACCTGGATCGAAGCCGTGTGAGCGTGAAAGGTAGACCATTGACTGGAGCCGATTTTGACATGATGAAAAGCAAGCTACAGGAAGAAGACGACGACGGAAGTGACGAATCGAGCAGTTTCCATTCTGGCAGCCTCGATTTTAGGACGATGTTGGACTACAAAGACAGAGACGGGAGTGACAGCGAGTACGGCGATGACCCCAGTGTTATTGAAGCAGCAGAGTTAAGAGAGCAACAGGTTCGCAGGAGCCTCGCTTTTGCTACCTTCGCCGCTGCGTTGACGATGCTCGTTTCCAAGGGCATTTCTTGCCTCATGCGATATGCTTCTAGAAACAGCCCGGAGCAAGATATTGTCGAGGAGGCCGCAGAAGATCTGACCAACAGTACCCACTTTTCGACAAGTACCACCAACCTAGGCGCCATGGGAGGCGTTAACCCGTCAGGAGCAGCACAGTCGCAGTAAGTATTGCCCCAGCAAGTGGAACAGGGATAGTGTGCTTTTGTGATTCATTCTCCCTCACTGACGAGCGTCTGCTTTGTTTCGAACGTGATAGAGCAACACAAGCCATGGCAACACAAGCTGCTCAAAACGCCGCGGGTGCTGCAGCCTCTGGCTCGTCATCAGCCGCATCAGGTGCCGCAGGTTTTTCGACTGGTATTCTGAACGCAATCGCCGCGTCGTCGCAAGCTTCTCAGCTTGGTATGGTGATGGGCATAGCTGCGGTCGCGGCAACTGCCACGACGGCTGTGATCAACGGGGGCTTCACAAAGGAAGCGATGACAGAAGAAATGTCAAACTTGAACGCGCCGTGGGTCCCTGATCCCCTTGGTGTTGTCTACTGTGGTAACGAGGACGCCACGGACTTGCGTGGTAGCGTTGACATCATGATACAATACGCCACTCCGGAAGAAATAGCAGCAAAGAAGGGCGAATTGGAAGAACTCTTTATGGATGCTTACAATAACGTTTCCGGAATGTGCAACGGCTTGTTCGATCGAGTCCTAGTGAGTGCCTCCCTCGAGGCATTTCAGGACGTGAGCGCCAGTTTGAACGATACGGTGCTGGTGCTCACCAAATGGACAGGTAAGGTCGGGAAACAGCGTGTCACGTCAAGCACAACGGCACCACGATGGGAGCACGCCTCTCACGTATTGCTATCTCCTGTTTCTCCCAGCTGTTGTAAACTGTGATGGTTGTCCTGAAGATGAGCCGCTATTTTCCACCACCAACAAAACCTCGTCGCAAAACGGCACGGCTCATGACACTTCTTTGGCGGCGTCAAGCAGTAACGGGAGACGGCAATTGGCGAGTAATCCCGATGTTGAAGCGGACACCCAGCCATACAACGTTGACGATATGCAGGATCTCTTCGATCAGTTCTGGATCTACTTTGCCAGAGAGTCCCCGCTTATCCTGGGGGAGAATGCGCTGCTGTTAAAAGAGAGCCGGGTTGTACTGATGAGGTTGACTGGCGACGATGGACAGCTCATTGATGAGATCAAAAGCCCCGACTTTCGTGCCGCGCCTCTCATCGACACGTCCACCCCAAGTGCTCTTCCTTCTGCGTCGCCGAGTGCTCTTCCATCTGCGTCTCCCAGCGCAATGCCGTCTGCGTCGCCCAGTGCTCTTCCATCTGCGTCGCCCAGTGCAATGCCGTCTGCGTCGCCCAGCGCAACGCCGTCTGCATCGCCCAGTGCAACGCCGTCTGCACAACCCAGTGCAACGTCGGATTCACCAAGTGCGTTTTCGACGACCAGCGTGGTCACTGTGGCTCCTTCTGATCCTTCGTTTCGTGTTTCGGACGGATTTGTGTTAGCCCCATTCGCAACTGTGGCTCCTTCTGATCCTTCGTTTCGTGTTTCGGATGGATTTGTGTTAGCCCCATTCGAAACTGTTGAACCAACCAGTATGCCTTCGCCCAAACCAACAAAACCCCCCAACCCCCCTTCAACGTTGCCCCCAACACAGTCGCTTCCTCGTACTGAGAGCCTTCCAACTGATGAACCGACTCCATTGCCAACTGATGAACCGACTCCGGAGCCAACATCTGAACCAACAACCGAGCCGCCAACATCGGAACCAACATCCGAGCCGCCAACATCGGAACCAACATCCGAGCCGCCAACATCGGAACCAACACCGGAGCCAACCGATGAACCAACACTTCCACCAACGGAGCTTCCTAGTGGACGTCCGTCAGCTATCCCTTCAAGCAGTCCTACTTCCTTACCTTCATCACTGCCAACAGTGAAACCAGGGAACCCTTCTGCCAGCCCGACAACTACACCCCCTTCTGAGAATCCATCTGGATTCCCTTCATTGTCTCCATCAGAAATCCCTTCATTGGCGCCATCTGCCACTCCATCTTTGACACCCACAAGAACCCTTTCATCACCCCCAACAGCCACACCTGGCAATCCCTCAGCCAACCCAACCCGGATGCCCACACCAGAGCCCACAGGAGTCCCTTCTGCTTCGCCTTCAGAAATTCCAACAATCCGGCCAACACAAGCACCAACCAGCTCTCCAACAGGATGTGGCTTCATCACAACAGAGGAATTTTTTTACCTCAGCTTAACTGGTGGTACATCCTCTTTATCAGACTCGGACATCACACAGGCATTTGGAAGAGCATATGAAGTCGTGGACAAGAATGCATGCTCCGCTGTTCTGCTGAGGGCTCATGTTCAGAGGAGAATTTCTGCTTCAAGAAGACGCTTGCAGGGGATCCCTCCCGAGCAAGCTGTCATCCTTGTGACCAACAATGCCACTGAGACAGAGCCATTTCTCCCAACAGTTGGGCAGCGAGCTGCATTTGTTTTGGCATTCAATGTTGCTACTGCAGGTAGCGGTGTTGCTGCCACAGACATATCAAGAGAAACACTAGCCCCCTCGTCCTCACCTAGTGTACGTCCAAGTAGTGCCCCAAGTACCTCTGCTGCACCAAGCTCAAGTCCCACAATTGAACCGAGTACATCGCAAGTTCCAAGCTCCCTTCCAAGTGATGTTCCCAGTGTGTCTTCTGAACCAAGCTACAGACCCAGCATCACACCGACAGGCACTGAGCCAACCCCCACTCCAAGCGACCATCCTAGCATTTTCCCAAGTTCATCCCCAAGTGGCAACCCCTCAAATTCTGAACCAAGTGATTCTCCGAGCTTCACCCCCAGTGTTTCTCCAAGCTCTCTTCCAAGCACATCTCCGAGCTCTCTGCCAAGCACATTTCCGAGCACACCTCCAAGCACCTCTCCAAGTGCTTCCCCAACCTCAGCCCCTAGCAACAGCCCTAGTGTATCCCAACCAAGCCGCAGCCCCAGCAACAGACCAACTGCATCTGTGCCAACACGCAAACCAACTGCTTCTCCAAGCACTTCTTCGAGCCTTACCCCAAGCAACAGCCCCAGCTTCTCTCCAATATCCGTTCCAAGCACAAGTCCTAGCGCTCCCCCAACCCCTGAGCCTGAACCTAGTTCCACCCCCAGTGTTGTACCAGTCTCTGCCACCCCTAGCTCCACCCCCAGCACCAGTCCTGCCACCCCCAATCCCCAAACCCAGCTCAACCCCCAGTGGTGCTCCAAGCACCACTCCTAGCAAAATGCCAACCACCCCTGAACCTAGTTTCACCACCAGTGTTTTGCCAAGTTCAAACCCCAGCGGAGCGCCTAGCAACATCCCAGCCACCCCTGAACCTAGTGCCACCCCCAGTTTCGCACCAAGCACAAACCCAAGCTCAACCCGTAGCAGCGTTCCAACCATTCCTGAACCTAGTTCCACCCCCAGTGTTTTGGGAAGTTCAAACCCCAGCTCCCCTCCTGTCAACATCCCAACCATCCCTGAACCTAGTTCCAGCCCCAGTGTTTTGCCAAGCTCGAACCCCAGCCCAGCTCCTAGCAACACCCCAACCATCCCTGAACCTAGTTCCAGCCCCAGTGTTTTGCCAAGCTCGAACCCCAGCCCAGCTCCTAGCAACACCCCAAGCATCCCCGAACCTAGTACCACCCCCAGTTTGCACCAAGCTTAAACCCCAGCTCCAGTCCAGCAACATCCCAACCATTCCTGAACCTAGTGCCACCCCCAGTTTGCACCAAGTCAAACCCCAGCTCCACTCCTAGCAGCATCCCAACCATCCCTGAACCTAGTTCCACCCCCAGTTTCGCACCAAGTGCAAACCCCAGCTCCCCTCCTGTCAACATCCCAACCATCCCTGAACCTAGTTCTACCCCCAGTGTTTTGCCAAGCTCGAACCCCAGCCCAGCTCCTGGCAACACCCCAAGCATCCCCGAACCTAGTACCACCCCCAGTTTTGCCAAGCTTAACCCAGCCCAGTCCTAGCAACATCCAACCATTCCTGAACCTAGTGCACCCCCAGTTTTCCCAAGTTCAAACCCAGCTCCACTCCTAGCAGCATCCCAACCATCCCTGAAAATAGTTCAAACCCCAGTTTCGCACCAAGTGCAAACCCCAGCTCCCCTCCTGTCACATCCCAACCATCCCTGAACCTAGTTCAACCCCCAGTGTTTTGCCAAGTTCAAATCCCAGCGCAGCTCCTAGCAACACCCCAAGCATCCCTGAACCTAGTTTCAACCCCAGTGTTCTGCCAAGTTCAAGTCCCAGCACAACACCTAGCAACATTCCAACCATCCCTGAACCTAGTGTCACCCCCAGTTTTGCGCCAAGCTCAAAACCCAGCTCCAGTCCTAGCAACATCCCAACCATTCCTGAACCTAGTTCCACCCCCAGTGTTTCCAAGTCAAACCCCAGCTCCCCCTAGCAACATCCCAACCACCCCGAGCCAAGTCCACCCCCAGTTTCAGACCTAGTTCAAACCCAAGCTCCACTCCCAGCAGCAGCCCTCTTACTGCTCCAAGCTCCATCCCCAGTTTCGGACCTAGTTCAAACCCAAGCTCCAGTCCCAGCAGCAGCCCTGTTGCGGCTCCAAGCTCCACACCTACCGTTCCCGAACCAAGCTCCACTCCTAGTAGCATGCCTTCCATTCCACAGCACAGCTCAGCCCCAGTGTTGCACCAAGTAGCCCCCCCAGCTTAAGTCCAACTCTCCCACCCACAAATCTGCCGACAGAACCCCCCACAGAAAGTCCGACCACCCCAGAGGTAACTTCTGGTCAGCTTGGAGGTTTCTCACTCGTGGATGCAAGCAATAACAATGCTGTTCAAGGATCCTTGTCAGGAGGAGATATTATTATTGTGGATGAGCTTGGATACGATTTCAACATCATTGTGTTGAAAACTGGAGGGTCGTCATCTTGGTCGGTAAAGTTTTTCGTCAATGGTGATGAAGTCAGGCAGGACAACAATGAAGAGTATACTGTTTGTCCCAGTGCCTGCACTGCTTCTGATTTTGGGTCAGTCGGGTATTCAAATACACCATTCACCCTCAAAGCAGAGCTTTACAACAACGGTGGTGGGCTCCAAGGTACTTCTTCGCTGAGTTTGACAATCCAACAATCCCAAGTCTAGAGCTAAGAGAAGCCTTTTTGCTACTAGCTAGCTAGGATCCATCATTCATTTCTCGCTGCATGGTTGGTGTTACTTCACTATTGTAGCTATTGGCTAGAAAACACAGGAAAGAATAGATTTTTAAGAAACCTTGTCTTCTAATGGAAAGCTACACAAGAACCAAGCAAGCATGGAACATAACTCAAGCTTGTTTTTCAAACAACATACATTGCCCTGATGGTGAGTGCGTGGCTTGCACCTTTCATACTGATCACTGAAAGTTGTGCGCTGAAGAGGCCAGCACCATGTCAATCGACATAGGCCACGAGTCGAACAATAATGAGAGCGAGGATAGTTCTGTTCCTCTCGCTCGAGGGAGTAGCAATCATGAGCAAATCAAACTGACGGGACCTAAAACCGTCAAATAATTCAACCCTTCTATCTCTTACATCGTCTAGGAAGGGGAAGAAGTTGCCAACAACAAGCCATAGAACACTACACCATTTTTGGAGGGGGGGGGGGGTAGATGGCAACGCGCGGCAGCAAACATCACAACATCCAGAGAAGTCAGTTCATGAAGAGTACGAGTACTTTGGTGCACGCAACAAGCTCCACCACGAGTCATTCATGGGAGAGCCTCTCCTTGACGGAGTTGAAGAATCCTTGACGGACACGACGACGCTTTTACAAACAGAACAGTCCTCTGCGACTTCTCGCTGCTGGGAGTCGCAGTCGAGTCGATCGAGTCGCTCGGTCTACCGCTGTGGTATATTCTTTGCTTGTGCAGGTACCATGCACTCTCTGCCGGTAGACGACTTCAACAACGTCTGGTTTGGTGGAAGCACGTAGTCCAGAAAAACAACGCAGCAGAGCTGCTGCGCAACGATTTCTTCTGAGAAAGAGCAACAACGGCAGGTGTGCGACATTGTGGGTGTAGGCTTAATTAAATCCGGGAAAGTTGTTCGGTCATAATCATCGTTAAATCCCATATGCACACTCTAAATACTTTAATTAGTCGTGTTCCTACTGGGTTGTGAGACACGCTATAGGTCATTCCTCTTAAATAGAAGTCATCTACTCGGATTCCGTCTGACTGGCAAAATAGTAACCTCCTTAACTCCTCCCTTATGTTTCTAAAGTCTCCAGTCACATGTACAGAGGACTCCAATGTACAATGGTACTAGTACCAGGTACCACTTTGAGCTTTGGATGAGCTGTTCGCTTGGTGGTGCTACTGGATGCTCACGAGTGGTGTTTTATGGTCACCTTGGTTGCATGAGTGCTTTGAGAACTCGATGGCCTCCTAATAATAGCTCATCTCGAAGAAAGAAAGCTACCTGACCAAGGAAGAGAGAAATCGATTTCATCTACCATTCTGCATCGCCCTACCCGGCAGCAAGTCACGTCGATGAGAAGTAGCATTTGGTTTTCTAAAGTAACATCGAACAACAAACAAAATCAAAACCATCCATCAACGGAATTTGTGTTTTCTACCGCAGAATACTAGTAGTTTGTGGAATATTGTATCTGTATTGAATTCCAGCCATCATGAGCCATTTCAACAATAGTGGCGGCTTCAGCGACCTCTTTGAGGATCAACCTGGTCAAGAACCAGTCAGCAGCAACACAGACAAGAATGAAGACAAGACCCCACCGAACAATGCCTTCGCAACCATGGAGCACTCGGCCACTGCTGCCGACGCGGTAGCTGCCTTTCAAGAGAGCATGCACGTCAAGTTTTCTCCTTTTATTACCATCATGGGAGAAGAGACTAATGAAGACCGTTATGGCGATGAAGAAGAGTCAATGAAACTGGATGGGATCTTTGGTGCATCCAACTCTTCGACCATCAGTGGAAACTTCCTCTCCAACAGCCCTGTTGGTGGGGGTTTTGCCTTAAATTCTCCCACTAATAGCACTAATAGCTCTGTCAGCAGCACGGAAAGTCGAAACAAACAGACACGCAATCTGCAGGAGAGCTGGAACGTCTACCGACAAAAGAAAGAAGAAAGCAAATCAAAGAAGAGACAGCAACAAATGCTTGGGTCCTTCCACATTGAAAAAGACAACGACAACGATCCAGGCATGGATGGAAGCCAAGGAAGTCATGGCTTGCTATCCATGACGGAAAAGGGGTTAGGGTCCTTTGGAGATTTCGCAAATTGGGATGCCTCTGCTACCTCTGCGGCGTCCTTCACAGCAGGATCTGCCGTAGCGCCGTTGAACGAGGAAACCGAAATGGCCCCTCTAGACGAGCAGGAGGATGAAGACGACGGGCAGGAAGACGAATTTGCGGAAGAAACGACAATGCTCTCCTCAGAGGTAGAGGCGTCAGACACTGCATCCGTGGAACAGTCACTCCCTCAATTGGAGCAATCCTTCTCGGTCTTTAGTTTGTTGGGAGTGGGGTCAATGCACTCGACAACGTCTGCTGTTGCTCCTAACGCTGCAAGTGCGACGACTCACACCACCACAACCACAACCACATCGGAAAGCAATCGACAGGCTATGCAACACAGCTTTCGACAGCAAAGCATGGCCAGTTCTCGCTTGATCAATGCTTCTGATCACACCCATGCAACTCACGCGGCAAATGCAATTGACGCAACCACTGCCGTCGTGATCCCACAAGTACTCCCAGAAGAAACCTCTAGTAACTTGCGAGTTGAAGTCGACAGTTCAGAACTAGTGGATGTGGAACTGGACGACCCCGACGATAAGGAGAAAGATGACAAAGAAAGCGAAGATACCGAAAATGAATCGGTCATGTCGACTAGTGAGCATGATGAGGGGGCGTCGTCGGTGGACAAGGCTGAGAAAACGGAACGGCAAGTTCGCCGGACTTTGCTCTTTTCCATTCTGGCGGCTTGCGGGGTCCTTGCACTAGGAAAGCTTATCAGCTATTGGTGCTCGAAGTGCTCTCGTGGTGGGAGCGAAGAAGCCGACGTTGCAGGGGAGGTCGTGGGAGATGCAGGCGACGTCATTACGGCGACAACAGTTGGCCCATCAGGATCGGAGCAATTCATGGTGGCAGGGAATGCCGCGGCTGGACAAGCCCAGTGAGTACAGTGCAAGAAAAAGTTGTCGCTCCTCTGCACCCGTGGTTATTAATTATGGCCATTGAAAATCGGCAGAATGCTCACTCGTTTGGTCTTTTGTCCTTTTTCGTGTGGCTACGCTGGCTCATTATTTATGTTACAGGGCTACAGCGATAGCAGCACAAACCATGGCAGTCGCGGCTGGCCAGGTAGGATGGTTTCATGGTTTCATTCAAATTAGGATTGCATCATGGGGACTCTTTCACTCACAATGCATCTTTTACAATTCAGAATGCTGCTGGGACAGCTGCGTTGGCTGGATCCGCTGCTGCAGCAGCATCGGCTGCAACTTCAGCAGGTAAGGGCTGAAAATCAGCCTTAAGCCAGCTCTAAGCCTGCTTTACCTGTCCTAACACTTTCCCTCAAATTGACAGGAATTGTAGGCACGGCAGTCTCTTTGGTTGCCACATCCTCCACTGTGGCTCAAACTGGAATGGCCATTGGCGCTGTAGCGGTAGTTACCGCTGCTGTCACTGGCAGCGTTGTCTTGACCGAAACCATGATGGCTGCTTCCAATAATGAGACTGTGGCCGCACAAAACGTGACTGCAAACATCTCTTTGAATGGCACTTCGGCTGTTTCAACGTGGAACGATACTCAGGCGTCGTCCTTCGACGGCAGTAGCATCTTGGACAACATGTTTGGTCCTGACTCGCAAATCTGTGACCTAACCTTGGCCGAATACAAGGAGGGACGCATCAGGCTGGTGATGGAGGGAATCCCAAATGACGACGACTTCGTAGCCAATCACACCACAGTCCTAGAAGATATTTTCATTGATGTCTACAATGGCGTTACGAACTTGTGCGAGGGCAAGTATCAGAGAATTGGACAGGACGCTGTTCTTGCCGATTGGTCGTTTATTGATGCAGCTGATACGACGTTCCTGTCAACAAAGTTCCACGTGGTTATCAGCTGTGTGGGCTGCGACGACATTGAGCCGTTGTTTCTAGACATTGAGGGCTGCAATGGACACGGCGATGAAGAGCTATGTCGTCGTCGTTTGCAAGAAGGGAACCTGGATGTCTTCAGTTCAAATTACGAAGAGAAAGTGAACGAACATTTTGCGTCGGCAAATGAAATCAAGGAAGTGGTCGTCAATTATGTTTCAACTGAAGGGCCTGATGGAAACCCCATCGAAGAGTTCACCAGACGTGTTCCAGACGTTGCAACAGGGTCGCCACCAGTCGAGCCAGCACAGGATCAACAGACTTGGGGCGATGACGGGTCTGAAAGTACTCTTAGTCCAAGCAGCACGGTGCCAGATGCGGCGTCCACATCTACATCGGTGCCATCTGCGGCGACCACGTCCACATCCACATCGGTGCTATCTACTGCGTCCACATCGGCGCCATCAGCTGATAACACCGTTTTCTCGAAAACATCTCCACCTTCAAGCTCCGGAGCATCATTTGACGCGCTGGCAGCTGCTCTTCAGGGCTATGGCGCCACAGCGCCGGAGGAGGAACCCCGTTACACTTGCTGTACTTCCGTAGAGCCAGAATGGGTAGACATGAAGGGCGAGATCGTTTGTCCAGACGAAATATGCTGTGTTGTCTGTGCGATGGCCTTTGTCCCAACCACCCATGCTACGATCACTGAAGCCCCAAAAACGATGTCCCCAACAACGCATCGTCCCGATGAATCAGAACCTATAGCACCCACAACGTTACCACCCATCATGCCGGTACCAACTCAGGTGCCTGTTGTGTTGGCTGCAGCGACAGACCATCCGACCACTGCGAGCGCTCCTCGAGAAAAGCCATTTTTTTGCTGCACTGTTGTTCTTGACCCAACTTATCAGGATCTCCTCGGGGAAATTGTGTGCCCCCCTGGGTTGGAGGAAGAATGCTGCATCGTGTGCGCAACGGATTCGAAGGCAGGATCAAACGCTTCGCCCAATGCACCTCCGCATGCAAGCAACTCAGGAGGGTCAAATAACCCCCCTAATGTGCCTCCACATGCCAGACCTCCGCATGCCAGGCCTCCGCATTCCAGTGCTTCGCAGACTTTGTCTCCAACATTTCTGGCATCACCATCAGAATCACCTTCAACTCTCTCCCCGCACGCAAACTCAACGGCTTCACCAAGCTCTTCAAGTGCCCGGACCGAAAATGATGCAGCTGTGCCTTGCTGTTCTTATATCCAGCCAGAATTCAAGAGTTTGGTGGGCTTAGAGGTTTGCTCGCCAAACAGCGACGAGGGTTGTTGCATCGTCTGCACTCAGAGCCCAACGTCTTTGCCATCAACAGCTGGTCCAACGGTGACAGACGGCAGACCAAGTGCATCTCCAACTACTGGAGCACCAACAACTCAGCAGCCTTCCACCGCAGACCCAACCTCAGCATCACCCAGTACCTTGGGGCCCACAACTGCTGGTCCAACCGTGACAGCCGGCAGACCAAGTGCATCTCCAACTACTGGGGCACCAACAACTCAGCAGCCTTCCACCGCAAACCCAACCTCAGCATCACCCAGTACCTTGGGGCCCACAANNGCTGGTCCAACCGTGACAGCCGGCAGACCAAGTGCATCTCCAACTACTGGAGCACCAACAACTCAGAATCCTTCCACTGCAGACCCAACCACAGCTGCACCCAGTACCTTGGGGCCCACAACAGCTGGTCCAACTGTGACAGCGGGCAGACCAAGTGCATCTCCAACTACTGGAACCCCCACAACTCAGAACCCTGCAACTGGAAGCCCAACAGTTCCTTGTGCTTACAATGAGGTCACCACAAATTATTACATGGGATTCACGTCTGACACTTCAGCTTTGGGAGATTTGGCTCTTGATGTGGCATTCATGACAGCTTATGCAACATTGTCGAAATCAGGTTGCTCTGCTGTCCTTGTTGATGCTTCGGTTTCAAGAAGATACAACATGAGACAACTTCAGAGTGGTCATAACCAGATTGAGTTTGCGGTGACCACAGCACAGACCAACACAAATCCATTTTTGGCCAATGATGACGACAAGACTGCTTTTATACAGGCAATTTCTCGTTTAACTGGTTTCACAGCAGAGTATCTCAGGGATTATCTCACCACTTCTGCTCCAACTCTGGCACCATCATCGCTGAGTCCCACAGTTATCCCAGGTATGCCAAGTGCAAGTCCAACAACAGGGACACCAAGTTCAAGCCCGAGTCAAGTTCCAAGCACTCCCCCCTCACCAATGCCAAGCACCATTCCAAGTACCTCAAACATTCCAAGCCCTGCTCCCAGTCATAGCCCAAGTATGGATAATACTCTGAGCACAACCCCCAGCTATTATCCAAGTTCGCCGCCAAGCATTAGCGAGGCACCACTCTCATCTCCCAGTGCTGGCCCCTCTTCCGGTGTAGCTCCCAGCACTACAACATCTCTGGCTAGTGGCAGTCCTTCAACCAGCACTGGGCCAAGTTTGTCGCCAACCACAAGTGAGGCCCCCAGTTCATCTCCCAGTGCTGGTCCCAGCATTGCCGCAACTCTGGCTAGTGTCAGTCCTTCAACCAGCTCTGGGCCAAGTTTGTTGCTAGCCACAAGTGAGCCCCCCAGTTCATCTCCCAGTGCTGGCCCCTCTTCCGGTGTAGCTCCCAGCACTACAACATCTCTGACTAGTGTCAGTCCTTCAACCAGCTCTGGGCCAAGTTTGTTGCCGAGCACAAGTGAGGCCCCCAGTTCATCACCATCTGTGGGTCCTAGTGTTTCCACAAGTGCTCTTGCCAGTTCCGCCCCATCTGATTCTGCAGCACCCAGTGCATCACCATCTTTGGGTCCCAGAGTTTCCCCAAGTACACTTGCCAGTTCCACCCCTCCGAGTCTGCAGCCCCCAGTCATCGCCATCTTGGGTCCTAGTGTCTCCCCAAGTACCTTCTTTAGCCAGTTCCACACCATCCGAGTCTGCATCCCCCAGTGCATCACCATCTTTGGGTCCCAGTGTTTCCCCAAGTACACTTGCCAGTTCCACACCATCCGAGTCTGCACCCCCAGTGCATCACCATCTTTGGGTCCCAGTGTTTCCCCAAGTACACTTGCCAGTTCCACCCCATCCGAGTCTGCACCCCAGTGCATCACCATCTTTGGGTCCAGTGTTTCCCCAAGTACACTTGCCAGTTCCACCCCATCCGAGTCTGCAGCCCCCAGTGCATCGCCATCTTTGGGTCCTAGTGTCTCCCAAGTGCACTTGCCAGTTCCACCCCATCCGAGTCTGCAGCCCCCAGTGCATCACCATCTTTGAGTCCCAGTGTCTCCCCAAGTGCACTTGCCAGTTCCACCCCATCCGAGTCTGCAGCCTCCAGTGCATCACCATCTTTGGGTCCAGTGTTTCCCCAAGTACACTTGCCAGTTCCACCCCATCCGAGTCTGCAGCCCCCAGTGCATCGCCATCTTTGGGTCCTAGTGTCTCCCCAAGTGCAAGTCCTTCTATAACCAGTTCCGCCCCATCTGATTCTGCAGCACCCAGTGCATCACCATCTTTGAGTCCCAGTGTCTCCCCAAGCACACTTGCCAGTTCCACCCCATCCGAGTCTGCAGCCCCCAGTGCATCACCATCTTAGGGTCCTAGTGTTTCGCCAAGTGCACTTGCCAGTTCCGCCCCATCCAACTCTGCAGCACCCAGTGTATCACCATCTTTGAGTCCCAGTGTTTCCCCAAGTGCTCTTGCCAGTTCCACACCATCCGAGTCTGCAGCCCCCAGTGCATCACCATCTTTGGGTGCCAGTGTTTCCCCAAGTACACTTGCCAGGTCCACCCCATCCGAGTCTGCAGCCCCCAGTGCATCGCCATCTTTGGGTCCAGTGTCTCCCAAGTGCAAGTCCTTCTTAACCAGTTCCGCCCCATCTGATTCTGCAGCACCCAGTGCATCACCATCTTTGAGTCCCAGTGTCTCCCCAAGTGCACTTGCCAGTTCCACCCCATCCGAGTCTGCAGCCCCCAGTGCATCACCATCTTTGGGTCCCAGTGTTTCCCCAAGTACACTTGCCAGTTCCACCCCATCCGAGTCTGCAGCCCCCAGTGCATCGCCATCTTTGGGTCCTAGTGTCTCCCCAAGTGCAAGTCCTTCTATAACCAGTTCCGCCTCATCTGATTCTGCAGCACCCAGTGCATCACCATCTTTGAGTCCCAGTGTCTCCCCAAGTACACTTGCCAGTTCCACCCCATCCGAGTCTGCAGCCCCCAGTGCATCGCCATCTTTGAGTCCCAGTGTTTCCCCAAGTGCTAGTCCTTCTCTAGCCAGTTCCGCCCCATCCAGTCTGCAGCACCCAGTGCATCACCATCTTTGGGTCCTAGTGTCTCCCAAGTGCACTTGCCAGTTCCGCCCCATCTGATTCTGCAGCACCCAGTGCATCACCATCTGTGGTCCTAGTGTCTCGCCAAGTGCACGTCCCACATTAGGCAGTGTTGCTCCTTCTGAGTCTGCAGCACCCAGTGCATCACCATCAGGAGGTCCCAGTGTCTTGCCAAGCGTGAGTCCTACATCTGCAGTGCATCTCCATCTGAGTCACCATCTTCAAGTCCCAGCAAGAGTGCTCTCCAAGTGAAAGTCCTTCTCTTGCAAGTGGGGCTCCATCTGAGTCACCATCTTCACGTCCGAGCAAGAGTGTCTCACCAAGTGCAAGTCCTACATTTGCAGTGCTGCTCCATCTGAGTCTGCAGCACCCAGTGCAATGCCATCTGAGGGTCCTAGTGTCTCACCAAGTGCAAGTCCTTCTCTAGCCAGTTCGGCCCCATCCAAGTCTGCAGCACCCAGTGCATCACCATCTGTGGGTCCTAGTGTTTCGCCAAGTGCGCTTGCCAGTTCCGCCCCATCTGAGTCTTCAGTACCCAGTGCATTACCATCTGTGGGTCCCAGTGTCTCACCAAGTGCAAGTCCTTCACTTGCCAGTTCCGCCCCATCTGAGTCTGCAGCACCCAGTGCATCACCATCTTTGGGCCCTAGTATCTCCCCAAGTGCACTTGCCAGTTCCGCCCCATCTGAGTCTGCAGCACCCAGTGCATCACCATCTTTGAGTCCCAGTGTCTCTCCAAGTGCACTTGCCAGTTCCCCCATCCGAGTCTGCAGCCCCCAGTGCATCACCATCTTTGAGTCCCAGTGTTTTGCCAAGTGCACTTGCCAGTTCCACCCCATCCGAGTCTGCAGCCCCCAGTGCATCACCATCTTTGGTCCTAGTGTCTCCCCAAGCGCAAGTCCTACTCTAGCCAGTTCCGCCCCATCCACGTCTGCAGCACCCAGTGCATCACCATCTTTGGGTCCTAGTGTCTCCCCAAGTGCACTTGCCAGTTCCGCCCCATCTGATTCTGCAGCACCCAGTGCATCACCATCTTTGGGTCCTAGTGTCTCGCCAAGTGCAAGTCCCACATTAGGCAGTGTTGCTCCTTCTGAGTCTGCAGCACCCAGTGCATCACCATCAGGAGGTCCCAGTGTCTTGCCAAGTGTGAGTCCTACATCTGGCAGTGCCGCTCCATCTGAGTCACCATCTTCAAGTCCCAGCAAGAGTGTCTCTCCAAGTGAAAGTCCTTCACTTGCAAGTGGGGCTCCATCTGCGTCACCATCTTCACGTCCGAGCAAGAGTGTCTCACCAAGTGCAAGTCCTACATTTGGCAGTTCTGCTCCATCTGAGTCTGCAGCACCCAGTGCAATACCATCTGTGGGTCCCAGTGTCTCACCAAGTGCAAGTCCTTCTCTAGCCAGTTCGGCCCCATCCAAGTCTGCAGCACCCAGTGCATCACCATCTGTGGGTCCTAGTGTTTCGCCAAGTGCGCTTGCCAGTTCCGCCCCATCTGAGTCTTCAGTACCCAGTGCATTACCATCTGTGGGTCCCAGTGTCTCACCAAGTGCAAGTCCTTCACTTGCCAGTTCCGCCCCATCTGAGTCTGCAGCACCCAGTGCATCACCATCAGGAGGTCCCAGTGTCTTGCCAAGTGTGAGTCCTACATCTGGCAGTGCCGCTCCATCTGAGTCACCATCTTCAAGTCCCAGCAAGAGTGTCTCTCCAAGTGAAAGTCCTTCACTTGCAAGTGGGGCTCCATCTGAGTCACCATCTTCACGTCCGAGCAAGAGTGTCTCACCAAGTGCAAGTCCTACATTTAGCAGTGCTGCTCCATCTGAGTCTGCAGCACCCAGTGCAATACCATCTGTGGGTCCCAGTGTCTCACCAAGTGCAAGCCCTTCTCTAGCCAGTTCGGCCCCATCCAAGTCTGCAGCACCCAGTGCATCACCATCTGTGGGTCCTAGTGTTCGCCAAGTGTGCTTGCCAGTTCCGCCCCATCTGAGTCTTCAGTACCCAGTGCATTACCATCTGTGGGTCCCAGTGTCTCACCAAGTGCAAGTCCTTCACTTGCCAGTTCCGCCCCATCTGAGTCTGCAGCACCCAGTGCATCACCATCAGGAGGTCCCAGTGTCTTGCCAAGCGTGAGTCCTACATCTGGCAGTGCCGCTCCATCTGAGTCACCATCTTCAAGTCCCAGCAAGAGTGTCTCTCCAAGCGGAAGTCCTTCACTTGCAAGTGGGGCTCCATCTGATTCACCATCTTCAGGTCCGAGCAAGAGTGTCTTGCCAAGTGCAAGTCCTACAGTTGGCAGTGCGGCTCCATCTGAGTCTGCATCTCCGAGTGTATCACCAACTACAAGTCCAAGCAAGAGTGTTTCCCCTACCATTCCTCAGCCAAGCTCCAGCCCCAGTGATGCACCTAGTTCTAACCCAAGCTCTGCCCCTAGCACCGCCCCAACTGTCCCTCAACCAAGCTCCATCCCTAGTGCTTCACCAAGCGCTCTGCCCAGCTCAGCTCCTAGCAGCATCCCCACTGTTCCACAACCAAGTGGTGCTCCTAGCACCAGCCCTACTGTTCCAGAGCCAAGCTCCAGCCCCAGTGTTGCACCTAGTTCAAAACCAAGCTTGACTCCTAGCATCAACCCAACTATTCCCCAACCAAGTTCTGGTCCCAGTGTTGCACCGAGTGGTCCTCCAAGTTCCATCCCTAGCAACATCCCCACTATGCCGCAGCCAAGCGCGGCTCCCAGTGCTGCTCCTAGTTCAAAACCAAGCTCTGCTCCTAGCACCAGCCCTTCCGCCCCAGAGCCAAGCTCCAGTCCGACTGCTTCACCTAGTTCAAATCCAAGCCATTCCCCTAGCTCAAGTCCAACTGTACCAGAGCCAAGCTCCAGCCCCACTGTTGCACCAAGCCACTCCCCTAGCTCTTCACCAACAACTCCCCAACCAACAGGAAGCCCTACTGCTGGTGCAGCTCCCACATCCAGCTCTGGAGAATTGACAAGTTTTTCTCTTGTTAATCTATCCACTGGTGATAAAATTGACTTGCCATCATCATTCACTGCTTCCTCCTTGGGATACAACTATGACATCATGGCTGAAGGTAGCTTTGGCGGAAATTGGTATGTCAAGTTCTTTGTGAATGGTGATGAAATTTTCGAGGATGACTCGGAAGACTTTACTGTCTGTGATGGTGCCTGCACTTCCTCTGCAAACTTTGGGGGGGCTGGGTATTCATCCACGGCATTCACCCTCGAAGCCAAAGTTTTCAACAATGGTAATCAGGAAAAGGGTTCAGTGTCAGCAAGCATAACGATTGAAGCATAAGCGACAGATCTGCTTCCCATATATCCATAAATTCTAGAAACAATTTGACTGGAAACAAGAAATTGAATTTGTGCAGCTCTATTTTTTTGTTCTGATTTGATTTGTCAGTTGCTGAACTTGGTGAAAGGTTTCACATTAGCGGTGTACCAAAACAGGCAAATAGATTCCATGGGTGGGATCATACTTGGTTAGTTTTGTGACTCTGGTTTGATGGCCTAGCTAAGGAGAGCTATGCATAGATACCTGGCACCAGTTGCCTAATGGCTCTGTGGCCCTTGCTTGGCTTCTGTTGCTTGATGTCAGGGAGACTTGAAAATGAAAAGGCAACGGAAAAGGAGAGCTGCTGATCAGGGCAGGATCTGTCCAGAGTGGCTAGCTACCCAGCCAGTTTCCGTACCGGTAGGGTACATGTCCGTCACCAGGCAGATGGCTTCGTGCTGGCATGCAACATCCTGCAAGACGACGGAAGGACGGAAGGCGATGTTCCCGTGTTCCCATACGGTAGCTTCCTGGCTTCCTGGGCAATTTTCAGGAAGCATCGAAGTGGAAAGCTTTGGTTTTCCACAAATAAACGTTCCGTTGTTGCTTGCTGCTTGCTGCTTGCTCATACTTGCTACTTCGCTTACTTGATTACTCTACTACAATGCATGCAGCTGGCGACACTCTGCCACAGCCTTTCCTTCGCTTCAAGGTTCATACTGGTACTGTACCACGAGGTAGTACCGTAAACCGACCATATCCTTCGTTGCGAAGGAAAGGAAGGAAAGGAAGGAAAACATGAAAACATACTACCTGGTAGTAGTTTTGTTACCGCTGCGACAATCCAGTTTAATTATGCACTTTGAGTACTCCAGAGCACCCTTTTCAATTAAGCTATGATTCGATTCTATCGGTGATTTTAAAAGTGGTGTACCGGTACCTCATAATGACACACTTTGGTAATTCGTTCGCCCTTCGTTTCAAGTTGAGCTTTAAGTGTTTCTTGCCCTGGGACTTCTGCGACATTGAAGTTGCCCATGGCAGAATTTATTCGCCCGGCACACTCAAACCCCCACCACCACTTACTTTCACTTCCCACCAAATCCTCTCACAATTCATTACACCACAAAGCCTGAACGACATTGACAACAATCATCGAAAGAAGCTATCAAAATGATGCACGGCGGCAAGATCAAAACCAGTAAATCTGGAAAAGGCAAGGGATCCGCTGAAACAGCTCCCCTGTTCCTTCGAAGTGAGTCCCAGACATCGTGTGAGCACTTTGTTTGATACAAATCCAGCCAAATGTAATCGCTCACATAGCATCAAACTTTTTCGTGCTGTAGAGACATATCACATGATCGACTCCTGTGATCCATCAGTTGGTGGTTGGTGCGAAGATGGCCTAACTTTTCTGGTCAAAGACACCGAACTTTTCGCTGCGACGATTATCCCACAGTTTTTCAAGCACTCAAACTGGTCTTCCTTTGTACGGCAGTTGAATTTTTATGGCTTTCGCAAGATAAAGACCGACCCTCTTCGTATTCGAGACGCTGTCAATGATCTTGAATCAAAGTTTTGGAGCTTCCGCCATGAAAACTTCCAACGGGGAAGACCAGATCTTCTCTTGGAAATCAAAAAGTCCAACCATGTTGAAGCTGCTTGCAAGCAAGAGGTGGAGGCGTTGAAGAAAGAAGTTGACGACCTCAAGGCAACTGTTGTCACAATGAATCAGGAGATGGAAAAGATGGCAGCCTTGGTTGCCACTGTGTTGCAGCAGCAACAGAAGCGCCACACGCCACCTATGGCACCAAGTGCAGACCACAACAAGAGGAGACGCATGAACCCTGAGGAATATGGTTTTGTGACCCGTCCCTTGAATACCGTGTCATCGGGCTTGACAGCTCTTCAGAAAGCCGCGTCTGTGGAAAGAGATCTGTTTGGTGGAAACGTCACTTTCAATCCGATCAGTCTTGATTCCAAGTCAAGCAGCAGCAGAGGCAATCTTGGTTTGAACCCTTCCATACCATCGTTTACTTCCACGGACGAACAGATTCTGGGCTCCCTCTTTGCTCTGGAGTCGACGGACAACGTCAGGACAATCCGGGAACCTACTCGAAAGCCCCAGCAGAACTTTCAATTCCCGGTTACTCGACGCGGTAGCGACACAGATCCAGGAGCCCCTGACGATGCATTGATGAAGAAACTCCGTACTTCCATTGCCGTCCTCCCCAAGAACCTCCAAGAGATGTTTGTTGATCGTATTGTTACTTTCATGACGAACCCAGAGAGCTTTCGAAGACAAGTCGATGCAGTATCGGCCTTGGCCAATGCTGCGGCCATCGAGGCCACGAAGCACGTTGGCAGCAACGACTTGAGTGCTGAGCAATCCAATGTATTGGGGTCTGCCGTGTTGGGGGCCGGGTTGGCCAAGTACGGAGTCGCTGATCAATTGGCAAGAACGCAAAACGCAACAATGCCTTCGCAGATGCCTCAACCTCATCAATTGGCCATAATGCAAAACACCACCATGCGCTCTCAGCCGCAGCAGCCACAGATTGCGTCTGTTCTAAATAGGGGCCATTCATTGTAGGGGACAGGTACAATGCATGTTTTGAACCAAATTATGGCAAAGCCGCAGCTTCCATAATATATATCTCCACCCAAGGGCCAAGCTTCTGTGTATTGAGCCCAAAATAGATTAGGATCACCAATTACATTGTAAGCAACAAGAGTCAATCCTAGTCGTTCGTCAGCTACCAACGGGGTATCAAATTACATTGTAAGTAACTGAACTTTTTCCAAACAGTGTAGCGCTGGCTGGCATTTGTCTACTGCTATCTACTAGCTAGTAGAGATCGATACCACACATACTAGATAGCTACCCTACTAATTCCAGCTTCCTAATGTACCGTCATCCTGTACCGGTAACCCCAAGAGTCAATCCTGAACGATTCTCCAGCTACCGTACGGTGTATCATTGCATGTCCTAGCTAGGGAAAGGAATGATTGTAATGTAACAGGTTTAACTAAAATCACATGGTAAAGTATGTATCAAATGATTGTGGATATATCGCATACCCAAAAAAGTTGTTTGGAGTCGAAATGATGTATGTAGAGGAGGTTGTTTCTCCGTTCTCCTCTCTTTCGAATATGAATTGTGCAATGTGTAAGGAATGGACTGTGGACGTCGTGTGTCTCTTGCAAAGTGCTGCCATCATCAAAAAGGTCCTCTCGTTTAACGCATGGGCCTTCGGTTGACTTCCAAGGGAGGCGGGTGCTGCATGACCCTGAAAGGAGACCTCATCATGAAGGGGGACGCCAAGAGCCGTTGAAGATGCACAGGATGAATTCTTTCGCCAGTGGACGTTGTGATGAACCCCTCATCTTCGACCACGGTGGAGGGATTCCATCCTTCCGACTGATACTCGAGTGTGTTTCTGGCCGCCATGGTGCGGAGCTCCTTCTTGTTGGACCACAGTCGGCTTCGAATGCGATTGGAGTACTCTTGATGTTTGGGAATGGGGACCACTGCCACTTCATTGTCAAAGGCTACCACCGACTTGCGAGACCTTGTGGACGAAGCAGGAGACGAAGCTTGGTCGTCACTGATGCTGCCAGTGTCGACGCTGCTAGAGTCTTCCTTCTTGTCATCGACGATGTCTCCGTCGTGAAACTTGAGCGGCTCCGTCAAGGGGGCTACCTTGCGCAGAGGCGCGATACGTCTTTGCTGTTGTTGTGGTTGCGGCTGAAAGATCCCCAATCTTGTCAATAGCCTATTCCTAACCCGATCCCCGTCCATCTTCAGCCGATCTTCTCTTGTGGAAACAGAAGATGGCTCACTTCCTGCGCTGCTGATGCTGCTGGCACTGCCGTTGATGATAATAGGAGCGACGGCGGAACGAGGTTTCATCATCATTGTCCTTCTCTTCTGCGGTGTGGCTAGCTAGGCTTGATTGCGGTGGGGAGGAGGAGAGCAACCACGCAACAACAGAGAGATTGGACAACAATAACAGAACAGCAGCAACAGCGAGCTGATGAAGTGGGAAGAGGAAAACTCGAACTTCTACATAAAAGCGAAGATACCCAAGAAAATCGAAGCACATCAACCAATCGAGGAATTGACTGATGATACCCTACAGCATTGTACCGTACTCGGAGTACCGGTATCTACAAATATATGCACAGTACTGACAATCTTTGACGCTCTTGCGAGCAAGCCAAGCGGTACAGTCCCAGCCAAGATTGGTTGGTCCATTCACTGCATTTGCGGTCTGAAGCTTCCCAAGTGTCAGCGAGGTGCCAATCGTTCCGAGCAAATAGAAAATCTTTCTTCTAATTCGTCGAAATTCTGACCGGAAGGGGACGACGTGGCCTGCAAAGCTGAAAGATATGGCCGCCCGCAACGTAGTCCAGAATATCAGCCGATTTTCTTTTGCGTTTGCGTGTGGGCCATCAGAGTCTGCCAGCCATCCATCGTCTCGGCATCTCCGCATCAGTAGACAACTGTAGCTAGTTGTGTCCAATCGGAAGGACCATGGCCATCCAGGGCTCCTAGCTAGTCTACCTAGTACCGGTAGAGGGGTTTGAGCACCATGCGCAGACGTTTATTGCTGAACAAGTCGAAGCAACGGAACCAAAACTTCAAGATTGACCCCAAGTGGTTGTTGATTGCAATCGTCCTGATCTTGTCGGGTTTTTTCCTCTTGGCCAGACGGGTCCTAGTCCAGTCCACCAGTATCCAACCTGATCAGGGGACAACGCTAGGTGGTCACCTATCTGTACACACGGTTGCTTCTGGAGGCTCTACTGGTATTGGCAAGGCAGAACCTGCTGCTACCGTGCATTCCAACGGACCTTTATACTTTACCCCCAATCAGCAAAAAGCCACTTTCATATCCCCGCTTGACCCCTCTCTGCCGAAATGGATCCGAGACTATATCACTTGGCATCGACAAGTTCGTGCCCAATATCCTGGTGCAGAACTCTTTAATAACCCCCAGGCTCCCAATGTCTTGATACGGACTTGTTTGGGACTCTGTGGAGGCCTCCATGACAGACTGGGACAATTGGCGTGGGATCTGTATTTGGCCAATCAAACCAAAAGAGTCCTCTTTGTCAGATGGTACCGGCCCAAGCCGATCGAAGATTTCCTCATACCCAACTATTTTAACTGGTCCATGCCACCCAATATACCCGGATTTAGCCGTCTACAAGAAGTCAAACATACCATCACGGAACTCTTTGAAGGAGTCGATGATGCACATCCGGAAGAGGATTTTTGGACTACACACTTGCAAAAGGGAATTGAGCGCGCCAAAAATGGAGATTTCAAAGCAGTCAAGATCTTGAGGCATCGAATATTGGGACATTTGAATGAAGACGAATTGGAAAAAAGACTCGTAGCGCTGGGGGAAACTGACATGATTCATGACACGTTGTCCTTTGGAAAGCTCTTTTTTCTATTCTTTCATCCCGCTCCAGCCGTAGAGATGGAATTGGAAGATGTCTACGAGACGCTGAAAATAGCACCAGGAAAATATTCAGCTGTGCACTGCCGAGTCAGGCACCCCAAAGCGTTCTCAAAAGGAGCCGTGTAAGTTTTGTTTTCATGTTTCTTGGAACCAACTGCTTGCGAACGATTCAGTCTCGTCTGTAAACACAGCAAATCTCATCTTGAACGCACCTATTCCATTCTTATTTTATATTTGTTCTTCCAATATTTCAGGGTCAAAGGAGTAAGTTAGTTGGAAGAGGTTTTGACTTGGTTTCCTACTACACAATAATGCTCACACCACACTATTCTTTTTGACACAAAGAAACACAAGGAATATCCAGCAGACAAGACAGGGTTGCCCTGGGAGGGGCAGACAAGAGAGTTTGCTGTGGAAACGGCTACAGATGCACTGCATTGTGCCAAAGATTTACTCAAGGAACCAAAAGAACCAATCTACTTCTTCTCCGACTCAAATGACCTTGTCCGATACTTCTCCAGAGAGCTTCAGAATAGTACGTTTGTGTCTACAAACCGCACTTTGCTCAAGTCCAGTACTGTGGACTGGACGGCCCTACAGGAAGTACAAAATTCCAATGTCGTCGCACGAAATGTTGATTTGGAAAACACCCATATCGATAGACAAAAGGGGCGTGCCCCACCAGCATACTATGGAACGTTTGTGGATCTCTTTCTTGCCATCAATGCTCGATGTGTCACATTTGGTATCGGTTATTATGCTGTCTTTGCTGCCAAAATCTCAGGCATCAAATGCAAGCAGGTGTACACTGAGGAGGCGTGGGGTGGGAACGAACGCAAACGATTATTAGCTGATGTATGCAAACAGAAGAAACGCTAGGTTTTGCTGCGTTCTCCGTCTACCGTGGGCCAAAAGAGCAAACCCCGTTGTTCTCGGCGTCCAAAAGGGCCAAACAACCACAGTCAACAACGAACTAGCAAGGCACTGCTCGCATGGATAGTATGGTATGTCTGGCAAGGGAGACGCTAGGTTGACGCGACATTGATCCGCGGCTTACAGGCCATGGTTAGGCAGTTCCTCGTGCTTTCTTGGGACTTGCAGTGCTGTATGCATTTTTTCGAGACTTCTGGTTCCCCCGTTCCAAATCAGAAGCGATCAAATGTCTATCCACTCGACAACGCAGACACTCCACCCACTGGCCTCGACCTGTCTAGCCAGAAGTGATGCAGCCGAAGCACGCCTTTTGTTGCTTATACCCAAAAGAACAATATACTCCGCAATAGGGATTGGCACGAAGACCCACTATCATCTCCATCGTCGTTATCGCCATCAGACCTTGCTGCTTCCGAAGGTGCAGACGAGAAACCCTCAATCGTCGGTTGAGGTGTAATCGTTGGGCGGCCAGTTGGGCTAACAGAAGGCTCTAATGTGGGGCAGGAGTCGACTGCTCGACAGTCATTCAAGACAGTCACTCCCACCGTGGACCAGCCATCCCTTATAAATTGCTGTACTTGGTTGCTCGTGCATGTCGAGGCCGGCGACCGCACTAAGAAAAACTCTTCAACCAACCAACACGAAGCCTCTGCTGCATCCAAGAAGTTGCTTGTTTGTGTCAGTCCCTTTACATTGGAATAGAGAAAGACTGTCCCCAAAAGAATGGCGCAACCTCGCAGGTCGTCGCACATGCTTGTTTCGCACTGCCGAACTGAGTTGACATAAGCCTTGTTCATGGCTCCGCTGGAATAATGCACTCTCATGCCAGATGTGTACTCGCATACGTCGCCAATACTTTTATACAGCGGAGCTTCCATGTTGCGCAAGGCTTGTCCGACTTGCTCAGCCACGGTAAAGTCTGCGGCATCAAGGATAAGCAACACGACAATAACAAATAAAAGCAATGAAGCAGACTCTGGCTTCGTACCTGGAGGATCGTTGTAGTCGTTTACGTAGAACTCGAGTGTGGCACCAAAAATATCCGAGAACGCTTCATTCAAGCCTCCGGGCTGACCACTATAGACGAGGTCACTGGTATGAGCTGTTACCCCATGAAAGATCTCATGCCCCACAATATCCAAAGAAACCAAAGGGCTCCACGTATGACAATTGCAGTCACCCAAGTAAACAGCGTTGGTGGTACTACTGTAGAAGGCATTGCAATAGTCGTCTTGGTAATGAGCAAGCGCTCTCACCGGAACCGGGGAGTTTGTGTCTTCGCTGAGTCCTCCCATGATCCCAAGATGATCTCTCAAAAACTTCATGGTTGCTACGCCCCCGAACTGAACGTCACTGATGGCATCACGACAATTGGGAAGTATGACAGGCGCACAAACTTCAGTTCCGCGGCAATCCAAAGTTCCGTTCCAGTGGATCTCAGGAACGGGACCAGGGCCCTCTACATCCACCCCATCAGCTAGCCGTTGCCCTTTATTGCAGATTGTTGATTGCTGTGTATCATCTAGATACAGCGAATTTATTGGGCATGTTGTGGTCGAATCAAACCATTCTACAGCTTCTGTCCCGGCGCAACTTTTGCAGCTAAATAGGTTCCGGTGTTGAGCTTCTGACGGCTTTGTCCGTAGCCTTCTTTGACGTTGGAAATTTGTCTGGTTGCCTCCTGTCAGCCAACATTTGGAAAGAATAGACATATCATGTGCGTCAATGACAATTTCTATTTGATCTGTCCAACCCTGAGCTTCCACAAGGCCGTAGCTTCTATAGGCCAGAAAATCACCGTTTGTGGAAACAAAGACTTCCAATGTAGGATCACTGAGTGCGTTGACTTGTACATTAAGATCGGCTGCAATCGCTACAATAGCATCTTGCTTGGTTTTGCTGGGAGTGTATCCCTGAGCCACGTCAATGGAGGCAAAGGTATTTCCGTGCAGATCTTGAATCAGTGAAGATAGCTGAGCCGTCAAAGTATTCAGAGAGCTTCCATCATGATTCAAACTGCTGTAAGCCATGTCAATATCAGTGGCGACACAGTTGCTCGTTGTGACGAGAACATCGGCGCCATACACGGGAACTCCCATGAAATTTTCTTGCAAGCGATGACGCGTCCCGATGCAAGTTGGTGCAACCTGTTGGTCTTCACTTGGGTTTGCCATGATCGATTGAGCCGTACTTTTCGTTGAGTACGTTCGCTGTGTTGGAAGAAGACTCGTTCCCGAAAGTGATGCCAAGTCACTCATTGAAAGAGATCGGAGACGGGAGAAGTCAAGACCGGACCCGATGCAGCTACCTCCTAAATCCTCGTCATTTTGAGATGGCGGAGATATGCTTGATAGAGCAACCAAAGCATTCAGAGCTGTGACTATTATTTGTATCGAATTGGTGGTCCTCATCGTGTTGTTGGTTTCTTTGTTGGCAGCAGGAGTGGTGGGTATGTGGGTATCGACGTCTTCGTCTATGCGTTGGGCTTTTGGGCTCAATCTTGTGGCATCAAGTCACTCGCCTTGCTAGAGTTTGGTAGGGTTAGCGGTACCGTACAGTGTACCGCTCACAAAAACGGGGGTTTAGAGCAGGGAAGCTATCTCAACAACTCTCACGCCCCCGTGCGGGCTTTGCGTGTGGCAAAACTACATTACGTGTGCGTGACATACTTGTAACAGAGCTCAGCAGTGGGCCAAGCTTACAGGTAGAAGAATAGGAGCAACAACTCGGGACAGGGCTCGGTGGGATCAGGGGGCATAAAGTCGACGGTTTGTGCCAGAGGTGTGTTCAATTTTTGCTCTCATGGAACACCAAATGTGAGTAGGAGCATTGCGTGTTAATGTCTATTTTGGCGAGGTGTTGCACGAGAGCTTGCTACTATAGTATTGATTGGGCCCAAGCAGCCAGCTATCCAGCTACGGACGCAAGTAGCAACTCGGGTGGATAGTAGATTGAATTCAGCCACGTCCTGATCGGGGCTCGCGGATGATGATCACGAAGGCAAGAACTGGCAGCTTTAGGACCATGAAAATGAACTTTGCCTGGTTGCTGGCATGGCTGCGACAGAGCAACGGAGTCTGGGCTACCGTACTGCGCGACAGCTGCAAATTCTATAGCGATTGAAGTCAAGCAATCCCATACTCTAGCTAGCTAGTAGGCCCCTTTATTAAAGCAAATCACCAACCATCATGTTGCTCGTACCGTATGATAGAGTTATCTTCTGGACCTATCGGCCTCCGGTACATTTTTCATCTGGAACCTAACAGTGCGGCAGTACGCGCGATAGGAGCGGGGAAAGCCCAACAAGGCCCGGGGGTAGCCAGCCAGCAGCTTGTTGGGCCGTGGTTTGATCTGGCTGGTTTGGAGCCATACTATTAATAGCGGTGTTTCCCTGTGGCTGGCTAGCTACCGGCAAGAGACTGATGGTCCACCTTGGCAACAGCGGCACTGTACCGGCACAGCGACGCTCCACGCAAACTCCAGGCAACAAACCAAAACGGTACCGTCACACGAGTGCGGAAGCCAGCTCAAGCATTCGAAGTGCCCGGCACGACTGCTTCACAAAATGTCTTTTCGTTCATGCATCGAATGCCATCAGAGAAGGTGGCTGGACATTGTGCGCGGAAGTTCACGCCAGTTCCTCGAAGCGGGATTCGATTCGCATTTAGAACTGCTCGTCTTGTCACGTTTGCAGCAAACTGCCGATGGCAATCGATTCACCATAAAACCGAAGAATAAAAGTTTTTGAAACCCCACCATCTCCTGTCGTTGCTGTCCATTCTCAAAGGAAGGCAACAACAAAGAAACGCAACCAACCAAACAACAACAACAACAACACAAATCTAGGCGCATAGCTTACTCAATGCAATACACACTGATCATCGGAGCACTGCAATACAATAGCCACGATGACACTTGACAATCTATACCAATTCAACGACCCACTGGGCGATATTTTCGATGGAGGACTGACCGGAGGTGGAGGAGGTCTGAGTCTCTCCGCGTGGGCTAGCGCACCGAGCAATAGCTACGATTCAGATGATTATTGGGACGACGATGACGAAGAAGACGATAGCGAAGACTCCTCCAGATGGAATTGCTCCGGAGCAACAGCCGCGCAGACCCAACCACCGAAACAGCAACCCGCGGCACCCACTCGAGAAGACTCTTCCGGTTCGGTGGCTTGCCCGTTGAACTCGTGCGTTCGCAAGATTCGAGTGCGTTTTTCAGCTCAACCCGAAGTTCGTTTGTTTGAGCGAGTTGCTATGGAACATTTCGGGACGTGCTGGTATAGCTGCCATGAATTGCAACGCATTATCGACGATGCCAAGAAAGAGAAAGAAAACAAGAACAGCAGCGACAGTACCGCGTTGTAGAGTCCTTCTCGCGGCGATAACGACAGAAATGCCAACGACAAGCCAACAACGGCACTAATTAATTATGAATGAAACAATGGGAGAGAATAGAATGAACCGAAACACCGCTGACATCATTAATACCGCTGGTTGCTGGGGTGGGTATACAGCGACAAGCAGAAATTAAAGTAAAATTCATGTAAATTAAAACAAACAACCCTTCTTCACGCCCCAGCCTTGAGCGGCTTCGGCCGACCAAATTCTCGTGGAGCGAGGCAAAACAGCATGTTTTCGTAGTGTCGCGCGAAGCCCTCTGGCTGCTGGGGACCCTCTCCATCCGCGGAGCCTCCGGGAAGCGGAACACGGATGAGATTTCTGGAGAACCGCAAGCAGTGCTGGTTAGCTAGCAATAAAAACCAACGTTCTAGCTGGGCAAGGAAAAATATATGAGCAGCAAGACACGAATGTTGATTCAAACGAAATGTGCAAAATCTTGAACCATGGTGATGTTGCCGACCATACCGGTACCGGTGTTATTACCGTGTGTACGAAAGATTTGCTTGCCCATTGTGTTACCGGTAGCTAGCTAGACAGAGTCAAGCAGTGACATGTAACAGTCGCCGCACGCTGGATTCTCGTCAGGCAGGGACGGAGCTGTCCACATCGTAACTTGACTCCGTGCACCTGTGTCTGACTTGGTCCACATACCGTACGTACACATGTTGTGAATATGATGAAAGTACTGCTGCTTTTGCTCCTTCCTGGCCTCCGGGATGTGGTAAACTGTCCTACTAGCTTGGTGCTCACAACAAAAATATCTTTGCTGAATGCATAATTGGTTGCTTAGAAGTGGTGGCTCGTTTTTCAGGCCATCAGGTAGCCATGGGTACCAGTAGCTTTCCAGAAAGCAGAAAGGGGACCGAGCGGAACAAAGCAAGCCGCTACTAAAGTACTCTCAAGCTCCTCTCAAGGGGAAAGCAGAAACCAGCAGTGGTGGCGGGTCCGCTGCTCCCTGTGCAACTGCATTACTTGGTGTTGCTTGGAGATACCTAGTCAGGCTAGTAGTCTAGTACACATACATCTGCAGTGTAACAGAGGAGGGACTGGAAGTCACATCACCAATGCTTTTGAAAGTGGCAACGTAGCTGCTGTGAAACTCTTGGTTTCTTGCTAGTTTATTCACCTTTGCCCTTCGATGGAAGCTATCCTGAAGATATCTACTAGCTAGAGACTAGTAGTACATGTGGCCATGATAGTTAGAATGATAGAGGAGGGACTGGAAGTCACATCTCCACCCAGCTAAGCTTTCGCTGGCAACTGTGGATGAGGATGTTGGCTTGAGGCCTCTCAGAGTTGCCGATCACTCTGATCTCTGATCGCGCCACTTTCTAAAGAGCTCATCAGATACCGGTACATGTATGCATATGCTCAGCGCTCAGCTACGTACTACATGTACTGAGTACATGTAGCTTAAAAAAACATGTTTAAATGTTTAATAAACGTACTCGAGTATGTACTAGTAATACAATGGTAGATGGTAGTCTAGGTCTACCGTTGAGCCAAGGCGATGATGCAGAGGCTCTTTCTACTCTTTTTGGCTTTTCGGAGTCGAGTCCGGTGGAAGGTGGAACACAGGAGAGCATCACTGGAACACATCCAGTGAGCTCTTCTCCAAACAATCTGTAAGTACTCGAGTACTGTACCAGTATGGATAAATCTAGTGGGACATTTTGACCACCCAAAATAGTGAAGAGGATAAGAGATAAGAGGATGCGATCAATGATGGTTGCCAAAATTTATGATTTAACAAAACTTACTCTGGGGTGAATAAAGTGAACCACTGACACGATCCAAAGTCCAAAGCGAAACCTTCCTCGTACCGGTACGGTACTAACCGTATGCATACTACATGTACATGTAAAGTACTGTATGAGCTCACACACTGCGGCAGCATCACTGCTTCGAGTTCAGAGTTCATCAAGCTCATCTCAGATTCGATTCGATTCATCATTCTGATTCTTGCTGCTGCAGTTGCGTTGGGTACCGGTAGCGGGGTCAGCCGGGGAGAAAAGCGTGAAAGAAGAAAACACATCCTCACAATTCAATTTTCAGGAAGTTGTTAAACGTATAACCAGCAGCAATTCTACAAGAAAGATGGATAATCAAACCAAACAGACTCGGAGGATCGAAAATGAGATTACTGGCGGGTCGAGTGTGGCATCAGATTCTGACAACAGCCGAGCAAAGCAGCAGAGGCTCGAGTGTCGAGATGGGAAGGTGCTGGACATCGAAGACAAGGCCATTGCAACACATGGATTGAGTAAGTCAAACAAGATCAGCGGCTTTCAGACTCTCGCTGACCTAGAACAGAAAGTTCTCGAAAAGACCAAGGCAGCTGACGCAGAGACATGTCATGATGCCTCCAAGAGCAAGGAAGGAATCGAAAAGGAGGGGATATCCCGACAGCCGCAAAATCTCGGGGAGGGTGTGGTTGCAATGGCCGCCTACAGATCTCCAACAGTTGCCGACCTTGAAAATGGAATCCACGCCAAGGTTTCTGCGGGAGGCACTCTCCATGCGCGGCCAACGCAAACTCTGATTGACCTCGAAGATAATGTTCGATCAAAGCAAGGGGGGTCTTCGGGATTGCAGAATCTTGAAGGGGCAAACAGTGATGGAGCTCGTGATCTGGAAGATCTCGAAGAGGGGATCCGTTCCAAAGCGTCAGAGAATGAGGGAAAACCGACAGCGGTCACTGTTGAGGTTCCTCAGCGGTGGCGATCCACCACAACCAACACAACCAACACCAGAAATGGCGACCGCGCCATCCCAACGCAGCAGCCAGGGGCATACGCCGAAGTAGGTGGGATGAGGCTTAATAATCCATTCCGTGGCATGGGAAGTAGCAACTCTGATCGTGATAGTCTGCAAGAGAGGACGATGATTCATCAAACCAGCAACATGACAATGGCCAGCTCTGCTGCATCGGCCAACTTAGCGGAGGCCTCTCCTGTGCAGGATGATGGACAGCATCACATACCAAGAGCCATTGAACAGTCAAAGGACATGCTAGAGCTTGCAGCAAGAGAAAAGAAGAGAAAGTTCTTGGCTACACTTGGTGTTGCCATTGTACTCTTTCTGGTGGTGATTGTTGCCACTGCCATCACCATCGGCTTGATTGTATCTGAGAAGGATGCAAAAGTACTGTTTACACAGCTGCCAGTAAGCCAGAGTCCAACAGAAGCACCTACTCTTTCTCTTGACAGTCAAATTATGAACATGTTGTCCAGACATGCCATCGAATTTGAACCACCCCAGTATACAGCCCTCGAATGGTTGCTGGCAGATCCTCTATTGACCACGTACCCTGAGTGGCGTGTGTGCCAGCGGTTTGCCCTTGCTGCTTTCTACTATTCCACAGGAGGCCCCACGTGGACTCGCAATGATGGTTGGCTGAACTACAGTCTTCATGAATGTGAGTGGTACAGTAGCGAGAGCTTCCTTGTCCATTTTAGCTACATCAATGTTACATACCCTGGTCCCTGCGAAGAGGATCCAGATGACTCTGATGCACAAGGAATCTATCAACACCTTCGGTTCAGAGACAACAATCTCCAGGGAACCCTGCCCATGTTGGAGCTTTCAATGTTACCATCTCTTCGCAGCATCAATGTGCAAGGCAACCAAATAGTTGGCACTCTTTCTTCCCATGTGGGTCGACTCCGGAACCTGGAAGCCTTGTCATTGGTATCCAATTCCATTAGCGGCAATATTCCCAGCGAACTGGGATTGTTAAGCAGTGCCACGGGGATGTGGATGTTTGACAACCACCTTGAAGGAACAGTAGGTCAAAGTGTCTGTTTTGTACAGAGTTTCTGCCTGCCCCTTTCATTCTCTTTTAACTCCTGCTCTCCATTTTGCTTCTAAGGTCCCAACGGAATTGGCCCAGATGATCAAGATGGAGTCAATGATGCTTGACATCAATGTAAGTTCGTTTGAGTGCATGATACATGGGTTTATGATCTGTAAAATGAGAGGAAACTATAGGCTTACAGAGATTGACTACACGACTACACAGTCATTGACAGGACCTGTCCCCGGGGAGTTGTCATTGCTTCCAAACCTGGTGGACCTAGTCCTTGCAGACAACCAGCTCACTGGAATGGTGAGTGCATGAGCTTGCAAATGACATGGTGTTGCATGTGCATGGTGATTCTCACTCCCGCAAAATCTCTCAGATTCCAACAGAGCTGGGGCTCATGCCAAATATTGCTTACCTTAGTTTAGATGGAAATGTAAGTCTTCTTTGTTCAAGCAACGATGATATGTTGCCAACTTGGGGCTCTAACAATGGTTGCTTCCTTTGGTTGGACTACACTCAGCTTTTGACAGGAACTATTCCCTCAAACTTCCAGCAGATGACAAGCTTGGAATTTTTGTTTCTGAACAGGAATGTAAGTTGACTGAGGTGCCATGCTTGGTTGTATGCTCAAGGTAACCAAGAAACCAATAAGCTTACAGAGATTGATACACAGTCCTTGACAGGTACTCTGCCACCAGACGTCATTGGAAGCTTGACCAATGCCACAATCCTGTCTCTGTTTGGCAATCAGTTTCTCGGCCCGATCCCCACTGAGTTCGGGCTCTTATCCCATCTTGGAGCCTTCTCGCTCTATGACAACGTAAGTTGCCAGAAGACCTCATCAGAGTTGTTTCTGCTGCATGGTAATTGGGCTCATGGAGAAACGTTTCTTTTCATGCCGCCTGAACAGGATTTTTCAGGGAGCATACCGTCCGAGTTTGGGCTTCTTGGCGGGAGCTTGGGTTGGATGCTGATACACAACAATCAAATTCAATATTCCATTCCAAGTGAGCTTGGTCTACTGAAAAACTTGACCCGATTCACAGCTCAGCAAAACAACCTGTCCGGCGAGGTGCCCATTGAGTTTTCGGAATTGCAGTTCCTTGAGGAGCTCAATATTGCAGGCAACATGTTGGAGACAGTTCCAAGTGATGTTTTGATTCTCTGTGCCGAATCCTGCGACTGTCCTTGCCACCAGCAAAACGCTTCCAACCCAGTGGTGCAAAACCACACAAGCGCCCATAACGCCTCGATGTAGAACTATCTCATCATCCCTCCTACATAATTTTAGTATCCTGCAACATTACCAGTTGCAACCTGCTGCCTATTCTTAGGTTGGCTCTAGCTATATCACTCAGTAGCTGGTCAGTGGCTGAGTGATAGTGAGGCATGGGACTCCACGTCAGAAGAACCTTGTGGAGGCAGGATGGCAGCAGCTGTCTGTCAACTGCTCCTTTCAGCCCAGACTCCACGGCGGCTTCCCCGAACTTCCAACTAGCATATAACAAAGTGCAGAGCCGGAACACCGCTGCACTTTACAGCTACGCTTTGGAAGTGAAATTGACCACAATGATTGTCACATTGTCCGAAGAACCCAAGTGGATTGCCAGTTCAGCCAGACGAGCAGCCTATCGCAGCAAAGTCCGCGTTCAGCCAAAAGAGTCGAGTCAGAACAGGCTCCAACCACACGAAGACCACAAACTACACTACCAACGGCGAATTGGCTTACCGCTTGCTTGGCCGGGAGTTTCTTCTCAAAAAGAAGACCCCGTGTAACACGAACTGTACCGATCCAAACAATAAAGGGTTAGTTTCAAAACAAATGCATGTTGGCTGGACTCGAGAATAAACGTACCGGCGTCATCCACGTCAATAACATCCCAGAGGCCATCACAAGCCAGCAATAAAAACTCTCCTTGGATCCCAGCCTCGCCGACTCGAATAGAAGAAAAGTCTGGTTTGCCCGACACGAGGTCACCCACAAAGTGTCGGTCGTGATCGTCAGGAAACGGAAGAAACAACGTACACTCCCATTTTTCTTCTCCCGTGTCGCCGATCGATGGATTGTTGCATGCTGCCTTGAAGTCTCTGTCTCCAATTGCGCGACTTACAGCGAGCTCCCCGCACACTCTCGAGATATGAAGAATTCGCTGAGGAGCAGAACTGCACTCTTTAGAGCTCTGAGAATTGTCGTATTTGCCTTGCAAACAGCGCTTGAGTATGCCGATGACATCTTCATCACAGAAGTCCATTCGCTGCAATTGACTGATGGGAATCTCCTTTTCTGTTGTCGTCCAACCACCCGCTTGCTCAATACGCTCCTTCTCGTCCTTGCGTGAGGGACTATGAACTTCTGCCACTTCTCTCCAAAAGCATCTCTCACTTCCGATCACTCCGTTCTCTGCATCGAGCTCATTCCATTCATTTTGTTCTGCGAGGCTTGCATGTTGTCCTTGACCGTCCTCAACTAGTCGAGAAAGCACTCCGCGACAATCTCCAAGACTGGCAATGACCAGGTGCCCGTTGACAAGCGTTGCAATTAAAGCAGTTGAACCTGACTCCCATTCTCTTTCGTCCTCTACGCACAGCTGGCAAAATGCATCATCGAGCTTGCGGATTGCGCGGCGCAAGATCTCTTCCGTGGTTGCAGGATCAACCTCAATGGACGGATCATGGTCAAGGGACTCGTCGTACAAAAAGCGTGGCAGCTTCTCTGCAGCAAACCGTGCGGCCTGATTCCCACCATGACCATCGAACACGCAGAAAAGTCCAGACTGATGTTCATGGGCTGAATGCCAGTACGTCGGGCGCAAAGAGCCAGGAAGAAGATCGGAGAAGGTCTCAACCACGTTGTTGGTAACTAGATAGGAGTCTTCATTCGTCTCTCGAATCCCGCACTCAGAAACAGCACCGATCTCCCATTGCAGAGAGGACGCCGGTATTTCAGGTTCGCTCTCAGGCCCGCCGTCGCCAGTCTTGACACCTCCGAAACCGCCGTATGCATTTGTTGGCACCTTGCCCACTCGCGAGGCTTTCCTGGGGATGTAGACGCTATCCAAAATCGAGCCGTCGATCACTTGCGGGTCGGCACATCCACCAAGTTTCAATGATTTGGCAGGTTCAGGCTCGTTCGTTGTCTTTCCCTGCCATTCGTCCTCCTTTACCACTGATGCATGGCCATTTGAAGCTGACGACGCAAATGCACTCTCAACTCTCTCCTTCTCCGCCAATGACAAGCTACGAGGGCCGAGAATGTTGCTCTTGATGTTGTTGCTGTTGTCAGTGCCGTTGCTGCTATTCTTGTTCCGCAAGTGAGGAGGAACGTACTTTTTGGGGGCAGGCTTGGCAGCACCTTCTTTGGGGTCTTTATTTCGCAGGTGAGGGGGCACGTACGCCCCCTTTTTGCGCAAGTGAGGGGCAACATACTTGGATCCAGAAGCAGGTGCGGGGGGTCGGTCAGTTTCCGGTGGATTGGCTGATTTCGGAGCAGAAAGTTCCGGCGGTGAACTATCATCGATTTCTGGTGCTTGCCGTGGCTCTGAATCAGCTTCAGGTAGCATCAAATCTCCTCCGTGTTTCAACGGTGTAACAAGGCTTGCATTGGAGACGGCGGCTGCCAAGTTGCTCTTTGTCGAGGTCATGTGGGACAGCGGGAACGGTAACTGCGTCGGAGACTGGGACATGGGTGTGGTGGGAACCGAGTGAACTGATTGCGATGACAGTCCTTTGCTTCCAAAGTCTGCACGTCGCCGCCGCAGCTGACTTCGGCCGTGGCCATGCGAGAGGGCCGCGACTGAAGGGCTTTGCATGTGTTTATTGAGAAACCGGGGACTGCATGCTGGTAAATTGAAGGACCTAAGAGGACTCTGAACGACGTGACCGAGCGGTTCGAGCTGGAATGCCGGGTGATGGATGTCTCCCAGGGCGTAGCTTGGCGTTGCGCCGACCAAGTCCACCATGTTCCTCACAAAACTAGCCAAGGATCGATGAAACTGAAAGAGCCATTCGCTCATGTCGTCTGGTTTGGGGGCCTTCAATACGAGCTTGTTTGTGAACCCATCATCATCGTCGTCAACAGCAAGCAATTCAAAAGCATTAACCCCATATTCTGTTTCGGCAGACCTGACAGCTCCCACGCAATTCAGCGCGACGCGTTTCTCCCACATAAAGTTAGATTCAGCGTCGCTGTTTGACCCTGACACAGAGGTACCATCGAAGCCTGGGAGTACAATACAACTCCTGGAGGCCATTGGCGAACGGGACAAATCTGCAGCAGCGTCTGCGTCGGGCTGCGCAAAAGTGTCATCTGTCAGTAGCCCAGAGCTTTGTCGCTCCTTCTTTGCTTCCTGAGCGTCTGCGTCTCCTGAAAAACGTATGAAAAAGCGGCGTAGATGCGAGTGGGGTGAGATGGAGCCATCATCCAGGGCATGGCTGAGACACACGGAGCTCTTACCTGCGTTTCGATAAAAATAGAGAATACCATCCTCCAGAACGCAGTACTTGGACCGCCACAAATGGCCATCCTTCGGATCTACGTAATCGGAGGGACGAGATCTTGTCGAATTGAGAGTGCCGTCTTCGCCACCAGGCGATGCGTGATTGTCATAGACGCAGGGAGCGGAACATCTTCTCTGGATATTATGACCGAAAGATCCCGTCGAATCTCGTGTGGCATTGACTTTAATGGGCGCACTGCGAGTTTGCTGATGTTGTCGTTGTGACTGTTCCTGTGGCTGCTGTTTCTGTGGTTGTGGTGTGTCGCCATTGAAATCAGCAATAATATCGGAAGCGCTGACATTCGTATCTGTATCATTGGTTACAACCCGGGAGGGTGCTGCCTGAGCGACTAAAGGCACAGGCTGGAAAGCGGCCTCCAAACCGAAACCAAAGAATGCAGCGGCGCAGTTGAGTGACTCTTCTAGTGCTGCCTTTCTCGCAGCCTGTGAATCAGATGGGGTTTCCGTCTGAAAATCATCCCTATCAGTAGCTTTGGTAGAAATGGACCCAGTAATGTCATTCCACAAAGGAACCAAGGGAGGGGTGACGAGAGTTGGTAGTGCTGGATAGCTAGGATCGTCTGTTTCCAAGTGCAAAGGGCGATGGGACAACGATTGCTGCAGATGATTGTTGTCGCCGTTGGTGGTGGCAAAGGTAGTCAAGCTTTCTCGTGAGAAGGCATCTTCCAGTGACGAAGGTTTGGGATTCAATATTGGTGTGATTTCCGCCACCAATCCACCGTTGGGTACACTGTCGAAATGGTTGGTAGTATCGTCCACGTCCACTGAAATTTCCAAAGAATGGACTGGAAATGGACTCACTTGTTGGTAAGGTTTATTGGACCGCTTGAACAGATACCCCGAGTGAGTGATGGAAGTTACTTCGCTGATTTGTCTGTACGGTAGGGAGGGAGCAAGGAAAAGGCAAAAGCCGTAGACAACGCACATGAGCGAGATGGCGACAGGCTGATTCGATTCGATTGGCTGAAAGGGGGAAAAAGGATTCTGACCAATTCATTCCTTCCCTTTCTTTCTAGCTAGATAAAAGGAACAAAAGATGCCGAATTCGACTCGACTCTTTCTTTGCCCCAGTTTCATTGCCAACAAATAATTCCCAGCCAGATTCAACCACGCAATCACATCTCGCCACTGCCAAACGCCAACAAACAGCATAGCGTGACAGTACAGTTTCTACGCAATGGTCACACGTACCGATGGAGGGGCAAGACTCCACCTGTCAAGCCGCCGAAAGCAGCACCCAGCGATCGAGCCAACTGTCCCTCGTCTCCAGGAATTGGGGAGCTAGGCTCATCGGAAATTGGTACTTGTCGACTGTTGGTAGACAGTCTTGGAGGTCTTGGCGGGGGCATCATCGTTTCAGCGTGAATGGGGCAGAGTTGTGCGTGTAAAAAAGTATCACTCGATGATGCCTCCGAGAAAAGCTTCTCTTCCCATTGGAATGGCTCAATTCATTTGATTCGATTCGATTCGATTCGATTCGATTCATCACTCGATTCTGATTCGATCATTCGATTCACTCGACCGTCGATCATCAAAATCCGATGTGATCTGCCAAGCGCAAAGCGCATCACAATTGCAAGGGCCGTACTGGTACAGGAAGTATTCCAGAGTACAGTACATCAAAGAGGGCTTTCTTGTATTTATCTTATCGACTGTTGCTAGACTTTAGACATTAAAAATAAAAAGTGGGCATTATTTCATTCCTATAGTGTACGTTATGAGTGGCTTTCGTCGGTCTGAGAGGATGAAAGGGTTCCTGCATTGATCCTTGCACGGCATACGCATCTCATCTTACTAGCGCCAGCACAACTTCCTCCAAGTCCGTAAAAGCAGCAAAAACCGGATACCGACCGCTAGTAAAGCTAATAGAGGGATGGAAACTCCTTGTCAACGGAAGCCTAAAGAATCAAGCATTGGGATGGATCCTCCTCATCAATCCCTGAGGACGTCAATGCATTTTGAGCCTTCTTGCTGCTGTCACCTACCAAGTCTTGTCGGAGTATCTGAACTCGGTCGCGGGCAATCTTGATATAGTCCGTCCCCCAGCTTTTTGGAGCATCTCCGAGCGGAATTCGATGAACCTCCTCCGGTCGAATCATCCACTTGGTAAATCTGCCGCACTTCCCTTGACAAGCCCAGGTGACATTTCCAAAGGCGTCTTTTGTCTTTTGATACCGATACATGGGATGCGGGATCTTCTGTACGCAGTGGCACTGCTGGCATTCATACTTGAGTGGCTGTCTGCGACCCAAAAAACAAGAGTCGCAGACACTGTCGTTGTCGACTAGGTAGTCCTTGTTTTGGTTACAGATCAAGCATTTGCCCGATACATGCACCTTCTCCACAGACACCACATTCCGCTCGGCGGGTTCAGGAATCTTCACCCTGATCCAGTTCAGGCACCGGGGACATCGCCCCACCCGATGGGCACCCGATGAGCTTGGACTGGTCAGGACGAGAATACAGGACGTGCAAACCTTGATAAACGTTGCTGAGGAACCATACTCTTGGGCACCACAGCAAGGAAGGTTGGCAAACTTGACTCTGTTCAAGGAGACGTTTCCTCCTGTCAAAGCCTCATCGAAGCAGATAGCACATTGGAGAGCATTGATGTCTTGGCCAATCACAATGCCATCTCGAACTTCTGTGTCCTTTCGGGTCTCCAGAATCAGCTCTTCGTCAACGATATCGGCGCAGGACATGACTTCCTGAGTGGGAGGAATAAGGAACGTCTCGTGTGCATCTTCCAAATCATCATCGTTTCCGCACAGGTTCAAAATATCAAGGTCCGGGATCACCGAGTCATGATTTTGCTTATCCATGTCGTCTCTCTCTTCCTCCATGATATTCAGCCGAATCATGGCAGCCTCAGCTTCTGATAGACCATGCTGTTCCACAGCTGCCTTTCGGTGAATGGCGTGTTCAATCATTTTTTCTTCGTAGACATGCTGTTCGTCAACTCCTTCCACGCAGCCTACACACGAGTCCATCGTTTCCAGGACAGCTTCGCATTCCGGATCCAAGAGTTCCGTATTCAGCAAGTCAATATGGATAATCTGCTTGTTGTGGAGGGGATCTGCAGCCTGCACATGGTCGATTGCGTCTAGCGACGGGTCCACCAAGGCGCTTTCATGTTCAGCAGGTTCTTCTGGCGGAACCGTCGGTCGGCATGGAGCCTCCAAAGTCCGAGCGTGCGATAGCGTGAACATCCGTCGATCTTGATCTATGATACACCACGAAACCAACAAAGCGACCAGCCCTCAATGTCACTTCGTCGGGACAGAGTAGACAGAAGTGGTACCACTCTTATACACACCAAAAATTCGGTGCTACATGAAGATGAAAGCGGTAGCCTCCTTTTAGCAAAGTGGGCCATGGGTTGGTCGCATTGGCTTCCCACGTAAAATCTCTGTGTGCGCCGACCACTCCGATTGGATTGAGATGGTAATTAAAGACATGAAGGTAATTAGAGAAGCAACGTCCGGTTCAGCGAAGAAACACTTAGAAATCCCTTTCTCCTTTTCCTCGAGAGCTGCGAGGGCTTGCTCACCATTTTTTATTGGGGATAAGGATAAATCTGCAAGAATTGCCGTAAGGGGTACTATCTAGATATGGAACTGTTCTGGTCGGACCAGGAAGAACTTCACTTCCGAGTCCACCTTAAACCGAACCAACAACTGAAATATCTAAACAGGGGAACTACCCACACAAACGCATGCCTCAAAAACATCCCACTAGGGTGTTCCAAAGACTGCCAACTCACTACAGTTACCAACAAGAATGCCAACCAAACCCTCGATGAAATCTACCCACTACACATCGAGGCGCTGAAGAAAGCTGAACTGGTTCCAGACGAGATACCAACACTACAAGAAGAAATACAACGATACTCCCAACGGCAAGAGGACAAAACAAACGAACCAGATAGAGATGCCAAGCAACGAAAGAGGAACCGAACCGATCATTATTCTTCTGTATAGGACACTCCAACGCCTGGACGACCCCAATACACAAGGTAATCAACGACCTCAAGAAGAGCCATGGCCTCGAATGGATCAGAACGTCTATGTCCTACCATCGATTCACCAACCTGCGAGAGATGTTCATGGGCGACCTATCGAGGAAGCTCACCAAAGACGTAATCTCCACCGAGTTCCAAAATGAAACTTGCAATTGCAAGCCAGGAAACAAGAAAGACGGCCAATGCCGTTTTGACGACCGCTGCAGAAATAAACTGATCATATACTGCATCAAATGCATTAACTCGGGCAAAGAATACATTGGGGCAACCCAACGAAACGTCAAAGAACGAACATACCAACACTTCACCGACGTCATGCGTCTCCTCTACGGAAAACGCAAGTCAGATTCATACGCAAGACACTTCGCCAACGAATTCCAAAACTTCGCATCTCCTTCACCATTCCGACTCAACGGCGACATTCAAAGGAACAGCATCGAAATTAGCATCCTATGGCAAGGCAACCCCATCAGCACTGTCAAGACCTTCGGGACACGACACTGCAGCCTATGCAACAGGGAGCGACTCGAGATACTGAAACGATCCAGAGAATCGCCAGAAAACCTGATCAACTCCTGCAATGAAATATACGGAGCATGCCGACATAAACCTCGATTTCATAAGTACCACAATAGCCCAAGCACTGATGATTCCCAAGGGGGATGAAAAAGTCAAACAACCGAAAAGTTACCACAGAGTAAAGCCTGTGTTTTGGCGATTCGGCAGTTTGTGCTGATCAAGAGTAAAACTACTTAATTCAGTCACTTTTTGCTAAAATCGTATGATACTATTATTAATACTGTAGTACGTCCGACGTACCGTACGGTAGGTACCGGTATGCAATTGCGGCAGTGCTGGCTGACTACCGCACGTACTTGATCCAACGAAGTTCCTACTACCGGTAGCTAGCCAGCAGCAATGCCAAACAGTTTCAGTACGTGTACAGTCAGTTCTTGACTATATTTATATGGGGGTAATACGGATTCCTATAAATATACTAGAGAATATAAATATAGGCTCTATTTACTAGTAAAGTACGCGTGGAGAGTGCCGTCACGTTCGGCACCGTTCATGTTGGTCTAGGTCGGATTGGAGGGATTGGTATGGTTTGCTTGAAATTGTTTTGTTGCTCAGAGAATTGTTTTTGTCTCCTCTGTGCCATTCTGCGCAAATCTCGCGAAAACACCATGAAAAACCACTGGTACGAAGATTTGCGCAGATTGGCAGAGAATCGACAGGCAAGCGGAGGTGCGGCACTCTATCAGACCTCCATCAGCACCTCTATCGACATGCATTGGCATTTACACGTACGTCGATCGATTTGGAGTGTTTGGAATGGATTGCGAGCCATTGTTTTGCTGCTACGAGATTTGCGAAGGGTACGTACACATGCACTGACGTCAGTCACGGTCACTCGTGACTCAGGGGGGAACATCGAAATTCCATAAATATACTGGAGAATATAAATATACGTTTATAAATATAATCGCGAACACACTGTACTGGCTTCTTTAATTTTAATATCTATAATCATCAACGGAGACGATCTCAATCACTGCTCTCTCGGTTCAATGTCCAGACCGTACCCAATCGCACACATTTCCACCTCACTCGTCACCCGGCATTGGGGCAATCAAGTTCTGTTCAAAGCTTCCCTGCAACAGGAAGGAGAACGGAAATCGGTAACGCATGCAGGACAACACTAGATTCCACCACAAGACACCGTTCTTGTAGGCCTGTTCACGCCATTCTGGACTCAACAAGTTTTCGATGCCTTCTAGCTCGTTCATTACCGACCGAATCTCCTTCTGGAGAACCCAAGGTGACAAGCGCTCGCACATGAGCGGAGATGCAGGACCACGAGATCCCATGAAGGTTTGAGAGGTGCTCTGAACACAAAAGTGTGGCACGAAGCGCTGGGTACAGCTAGGGCATGATGTTGTGTAATCATTCTCATCTCCGGCAGTCCAACCACCGACCACATCGTCATCGGACAAGAGGAAATTGCATCGAGGACAAGTCTCGTTCTCGGTGTCGACTGAGATGTCGGGGAATACAATCTCCAAAAGGTTCTCTCCCAAGGCAATTTGTCTCTCAACAGCTTCAGTCACAAAGAACTCCATTCGACTCTCTTCTGGGCGGGAGTTCGTGCTCTCTGACTTCTTCTTCCGTCTTCGATTGATCAATTGTCGAATCTTACCGATGCTGCTCACATTGCCTCCTTCCTCGCGATCAGCGTCGTCTTCATCGTCGTCATCGATGAAACCAGTCAATCGATCCAACAAAGACCGCTTTTGAAGCTTGTTCCAATCCATCTCAATGGATGTACTATTTGCCCAGGCTACGTGGGATAGAAATAGAAATGGAAGCAAAATGAGAGCAATGCAGGAATATATTAGAGCAGCGCCTTGGCTTCAAAAATGGCTTACCGGGCAGGTCCTCCTCCTTTTCCGAGTTCTTCTTCCATGCACTTTCTGCTGAGAAGGCGGATACCAGACACGCATAGACCGTGCCATCAGCGACAATCCCGTCCTCGTGCATCTTGGCCAGCAATTCGGTGGCTCGCTTCGTATCACCTACTCTCCCACACGCATCAATCAAGCACTGGTAGGCATCAGGGTCGGCTTTCAGGGCTCGCTTCTTCATCATGGTGAGCATTTCAAACGCCAATCCGAGTTGGGCCCTACCGGTTGCCTTGGCCTCTTCAATCTGACTTGCGGAGAGGTTTTCCTTGAACCGTAGCTTGGGCTTGCTGTCAGCGCTGTCTTCTGACTTGTTTTGTTCGATATCAGGGGATTTCGCTTCGTCGTCTCCTTCTCGGAAAATGGCTGCTTTGTCGTCGTCATCGTCGTCACCAGACTTCTTCTCTTCGTCATCCTTGTCAACTGTGACAGGGGCCGTGGCTGGTGCCGCCGCCTGACTGGGTGCCCCGTCCTTTGCTCCCGCGGCCTCGTCGTCGTCATCGCCGAACATACCATTCATGTCTGGTCTTGTTGCTTTCAAATCAGCAATTCCCTCCTTCTCCTCGGCATCTTCCTGGGTTGAAGTCATTCCTGTGTTGGTGGAAATATCGTCATCACTTTGCTCAGCCATGGGGTTCGACATTGGCACGTAAGTGGACAAGATAGTCTTCTCGGGTTCGGAAGGATTGTGGTCAAGTTCCATAAGTTCTTTCCCGACCATCGAGGTAAAAGCCATGAAAAACACAGTAAAAGTAGCGACCTCTGGTGACGGTGGGTCCACCTTCACCACACTAAGAGTTGAGAAACGCTGCGGATCGACAACTCCAGGCACAAAAACAATATAGCAAGAAAGCAAAGACTTACCGTTTCTGTCGTAGTATGCGCCCGATGAATGTGCCGGCTTTTGTCTTTGGACTGCCTGCTCTTCTTTGAACGAGAGAACTTCGCTGCATCCTTGCGCTGGCGATCAAACTCGGAGATAACAGCAGAAGGAAGAGGACGAGGGTTTCCAAACAACGCTTCGTTGAATTCAGATGGGAATGTACTGTAGGTGTACCTCATCTTCTTCTGTTTCTCCATGATTTCAGCCGCCTTATCTTGCACACTCTTGTAATTGCTTGTTCCAGCGTTGGGATTACTCGTTCCGCCCGTTTCGCTAACAGAGCTTGTCGAGTCGACACTTCCCGCATCATCAAGAGAAGTGTCGTTATCCTTGGAGGTGACAGCAACGCTGCTTGGAACGTTGACACCATCGTTCTCGTCTCCAGGTGGGCTGTGCGGTGGCAAACCTTCACCACTAGGCTCAGGGGGGACAATAGTCTTGAGCCGGCGGTGAACTCGGGCTGATTGCAGGATAGGATCCTTTGGTTTCGAAGACACGGCATTTCGAAGTTTGCTGAGTGGAGCCTGAGGAGGCTTAGTAACCGACCTTTTCTCGGGTGTCCCACCAGCGCCGCTTGTGAGGGAGCCGGTTTTGGACGTCACACTACTCGCGACAACACCGCCAGCATGCATGAGGCGTCCGGTGATATCCACATCACTAAGATATCCCGCTGTTTTCAAAAAGCGGTCGACTGCGGTATCAAAGAAAGCCACATCGGCCTCGCCACTTCCGTACAACCTCTTGGTGATGAAGTTGTCGAACATTTGAGTTCCAATCAACTGTTCCAAGAACTCTCGCATGTCAAAACGCTGCGACTCGATGAATTCCTTGCTGCGGAATCCAGCACCACCGTAGCTACCTTCGTTATGCTTGCTTGGAAACACCAGGTACTTTCGGAAATTGCGGAGCAAAAAGACAAAGGTGTCCAAGAAGGCTTCTTGGACAGCATCCCACTGAGACTGCTTTCGCATGGACGAATTGTCCTTTGAAGAATTGGAACCGCCTGAAACCACCATGTTGCGCATGGGATCATTAATGTCGCGATCGGAATAGTCCATTCCGGAATTATCATTTCCATTTAGAAGGTTCTTTCTGGCTTCTTCAGGAGTGAAGAGGAGATGAAAGGCTTCATCATAGAGGCAGAGCTTACTCTCCCACATTCCCTCCGCCATCAATTTGATGTGATTGGGCAAATGAGCTCCACTATCGGAATAATCATCATTTTTGGTCAAGCAGCGTGCTTCCCGAAAAACCATTCCGACGTTTTCCTCGAGTTGATTCTTGAGAGTGGCCAGTTGGCCGGGTGGGATGGGCGGCAGCGGTTCCGTGTCGGGTCCCAAGGTGACCAAGTTTTTGTCGAGATCGACCAAGACACATTCACTGCTGAGATCGTATAGAGCATCGGCCAAATTTGCCTTGTTGATTCCGCAAAGAAAGGGCATGGGAGCGGATAGAATGGGGATCAAGAAATGCGGCAATACGGGAATGTACGCATGAGACCATTTCATGGGGAATAGCAAGCTGAGAAATACTTCAGCTGCCACAGTCAAGATGGACAACTGTGTGGACGTCAAAAGGACCTGTCGTTCGAGGACGAGGCAATGCCAGACCAAAACAATGTTGTCAATGTCCAAGCATTCAAAGAGATGTGCAAATGGCAAGCTGACCCATGCGATGGGTTGGTTGTGCGGTGGGCTCCAGAATTTGATGACACTGTCTAGAATGGTGATTTGTACTTCAAAAGATCCTGGGGGTGGAGCCGGTATTTCGGAACAGAAGTTGATGATGTATCGCTCTAGGGGTAGCGTCATTTCTCCCAATTTGGAGAGCCGATTCAACTGTGTCAGGTATTCTCTGAATGCCATGAGATACGGGTAGGAACTCAAGATGACCAAGCATTTAGGCAAGTATACTTCTTGCTGAATTGGTGCTCCAGTGGTACCATTGATATTTCCTTGAGCATCTTTGACAGCTTTTTCAGCGGATATTGTTGTGGGTTCCCAGACAGTGAAGCAGGTTCCGTACATTTGAGCGCCATGTCCTCCAGTGGCACAAAAGAAGTGGACCTGAGCAAGGAAAAGAAGAAAGTGGAAATGGGATAAAATGCAGTAACTGTTAGCAAACAAAAAATGATTATCCGGAATGTCATTAGTTTCCATTCCATGATACTACATGTACTACTAACCTTGGGCATGTTTGGTTCCATACAAATTCGAATCCCTCCTGAAGGATGGCAAAAGAAGGTGACATTTTCATGGAGAGGATTGTCGCGGTGATCTTGGACGGGAAAACGAGCCGTGATGATGGGCTTGATGTCATAGCAAGCCACATATTCGTCTTCTTCCTTTTCAAAGGCTATATTGACCTTCCAGTCAGTGGGAGCGGTAGCATTGACATTTCGGGTGGAATCGGGTTTGTCTTTGTCTTCACCGAAGCTGTTCTCGACCTTTTGAGGGACCGAACTGATCACCACAAAATACTCCACCAAACGACGTTCCGCGCCGCTACCCGATTTTTTGCTTTCAATGGTGGTGATCTTGGTTGTCTTGCCATCCGGACCCATCTGCTCCTCCGAGGCAGGAGCCGGAGTTACCAACACCATGGTAATACCGGTACGGACTGACGATGGATCGACAACAGCAGCAGCAGCAGCAGCAGCAGCAGCAAACCAATCTACCCTTCAAGATTGGCAATGATAATTGAATGAGGGTCACGGTCGCTGTTATGGCGCTGTCGTGTGGCTCGATCTTGTGAACACGCAGCCCTTCCCTCCGAGAGCACTTCAGGCCGATCCCAACGGCTCAAAATCAGCCGGGCCGTCAACAATACCGGTGGATGTAAGCTCACAGAGCTGTCAGTACAAAAATAAGCCCAATCGATCGAATCTTCAATCGAATCTATTTCATGGATCGGAGAGTTGTGTCGGCTACTTGCTTTTCGAGACGACATCCAGAAGACTACAACCTGATACAGAATTATCTCCTGGTACATCATAATAAGGCACATCGTAGGTCCGGTTGCTCGTGCTGTTTTCAGAAAGGCCGACCTGAAACACCATGTAAGCCGGACTCTCGGTTGCCCTTCTGAAGGCCAAAAATGCTGTTCCTACGTGGTTCCCCAACCATGGCATCAGGGTCCGAAGCCGGGACCCCATTTGCATCCCTGACTCCTTTGAGCCCTGTCCCAAGTTGCGTCTTCTTCTCTTATAAGCTTGGCTCCAACCTGACTACTTTTGCGCTGTCCCAAGTTGCGTCTTCTTCTCTTATAAGATTGGCCTTTTGCGCAGTAGCTACCAGCTACCGGTACCTGCTTGCTACCTATGCATACCTGGAAGTGAAGCCACTTTCTAACCCATCCAACAGGATTTCTCTGGTAGAAAACAGCTCAGCAGGCTTATTTAACCCAAGTTCCAAGTTCCAAGATCCATGGTCCGGTAGCGAAGACGCGAAGAAATGAGGAAGGAGACTGAATGGTGCCTAAAGGTAGTTGAATGATTATATCCATAGTTTCGGTCGAAGAAGGCGATAGGACCACTCCATGACGATTCCTCTCCCCACAGCTGCATTTTTGGTCTCGGTTGGTTAGCTCTCTTGCGGTTCCTGGATTGCGCTATTTTATCATCGACTCGACTCTGCCGCCTCCCATGCTGCATCCACAGAAAAAATGACATCCAACCACCATGCTACAACTAAGAGCCCTCCAGTGATGCGACAGATTGGTCCTCCAGCATTCCGTATATGGAATGTGTTGAATGATCAATGGTCTTTGGCTGGATCTTTCTTCTCGAATCCGGTCACTCGGACGCCCATACTCATCATCTGGGTGGCATCATTTGGAGGTGCTTTACACTCTTCGGTGACCACGTTCTTTTATCTTGAAGTCGGGGCAAGCGACATGGATATCGGTAGAATTGGGTTCATCCAAAGCCTGGGTTCGTTGGTGTTGGCGCCAATGGCAGGATATGCACTGGATCATGGAGTTGCTCCCTTTTGTCCTTTAATATTGACGGCCACGGCGTGTTCTTTGGGTTGTCTCTGGCGAGGTGTGGCAGGAAACATCAGAGATCTCTACGTTGCCGCTGGGATTTTGAGCATTGGGGTCAATCTCTGGACTGTAGTATTGCTTCATGTTTCACATTGCACACCAAGAGAGCGCCGCTCACATGTCCTTTCAGCCTACAAAACCCAGGAAACATCCCTTCGGTTGGGAGGCAAAGCTCTCTTTCCCCTTTGGGATGGTTTGGTTCGCCTTATTCTTCGGCAAGTACCCCAAGCCTACAACACTTTGCTGATCAGATACAGGATACACATGGCAACATGTACAGTCTTCTGCCTCTTTGGCACGGTTGCCTTGATGTTGGAAAGGCGCGCTTTGGTACACGAAGATACCAGTAGTAAAAGAGACAAGAACGTTGAAACATTGACTCTTTCAAGAGCCAACGAAGTTGAACAATGCACACCTCAGAACCAATTACCCCTGGAGTTGACTTTGGCGTCCCCCGATTCGGAGCATCACCTCCAACCGTCCATGGCGACCACACGTCAGATGCACTCGCCTCAAAATTCATCCAGTTACTTTCGATACATAGCAATCCTCAGCGCACTTTTGATACAGTCATGGTCAAGCACCGTTCTGGTCGTCTTATGGCCGTTGGTACTCAGAGATTTGTTTCAGTTTGCTGCAACAGAGTACGGGATTGTGTCAGTGGTTGCGAGCATTTGTTCCACTGCGGTCATTGCTTCCTTCCCAACTTTCGAAAACAACCTGGGGAGGATACGAACGGCTGCCATTGGAGCATCACTGGCTTCCGTGACATGCTTTCTGGCCTTTGTGGTTCTTCCTCGTATTGTGTATCATCAACGAGCAGCAGAAACAGAAACGAACCCGGACGCTGTCGTGCCTGATGATGCCGGCGAAGACGCATGGTTCTCACGGATAGTGCCACATGTATTCTTGGTGCATGCCATGTTGGCCATTGGGTTTCAGGCGTCAGTTTACATGCTGGAACCAAGCCTGAAAAGCATGTTGAGTTTGACAGTGCCTGCATCCCTTCAAAACCGTTCTCTAGGTTTTATGTCCACTCTTGGAGGCTTCGGTGCCATTGGAGGCAACCTCGCGGGTACGTTTCTCTTTCAGAGATCCAAGAGCTTCTCTTCGACTACGGGCGCTGGACGGTTATCTCAGGATTGGTTTGGTAGTGGGGCCTTGCCATTTGCAGTTGCCTCTGGTGTGTTAGCTGTAGCGGCGATGTTCTTGTGGGCCTTGGATTGGGATGACGCTAGCAATTACCACAGGTTCCAACAACATCCCCAATCAGCACCTTCCAAAACTTTTTGCGAAGAGAATGGCGTTGGGCGTGAAGAAACTCCTGGTCCAATGTCCAGGGGCCTCGTGGACGGCAGAGCCAGAGGTGCCAACGATGGGGGAGGCAGCACTTCATCACAAAACGAAGGTCTTTTCTTTCCAATGTTGCACCTGGAGACGACATACGAAATGAAGTTGGACTGAGTTGGCATTGTGGATCAATTGAAGCAATCTGCAACTCTCTGGTTTTAAACCTGTAAAATTCCGCAACGAAGACTTCAATCTGCAAATCTGCTTGCTAAAAAGTGTCTTAGCATTATGGGAACTTAGCTGTCTCGCCGAATGAAGCTATAGCTAGCTAGACAGCTGTCTCATTTGCTACATCGGGCATCCCTGGATGATGTATCAAGATGTCTTCCGTCTTTAGGACAACTTGCATGGCCTCTTCATGACTCGTGGATTCCTGAGCAGCAGCTGCTGCAGCTAGTTTGGCTGCTGAATCCAGCGCTGCTGCATTAGCGGCTGCTTCCAAAGGGTTGTGAACTACCGAAGGCGAATGATGGTGATGATGCAAGGTGTCATCATCGATCACATCATCGTCGTCATCATCATCGTGGTGAGCCTGGTTCTGGTATTGTACATAGCTGGCAGCAGCTGCCACTGCGGCTTCCACAGCCGAGAGTTCTACCAAATCATCAGCGGCGCCTGATGCTGATGCTGTCGCGGCAGCCGCCGCTGTGAGAGCTGCATCATCATGAGGATCATGGTGATGATGTTCTGCTGGGGGCGGGGGCAAGTCTACATGATGATGATGAATCGTTGTCTCCAGCGCTGTGTCGGAATGCAGAACTACAGCCGTGTCAGTCAACATGATGGGAGGGGCGTCTGCGGTATGAGGGAGCGGGTTGACCACCTTGACAGAAGCCAAGGGGTCAATTGTAGGTAGGGTAGCTGTAGCAGGAATAGTTGCAATCTCTGGATCTATCCGGGCAATTTTCCCAGGGTGCTGCTGAAGATGATGTTCCATGTTGATGTCTGCATCTGAAATCTCCCGTTTGATACCGGCCACAGACTCTAGTACGGGAGTGTCCGCTGACACTCCTCCGGTGAGAGGGGGAGGCTCGCTGTCCATCTTGACCACGGGGATCGCTACCTCAGAAGTGGCAACCTCGAGTGGCGACAGGGCTTGGTCGACAATCTCCGACGCTGTGGGGGGCATGGTGGCGACATCGATCGAAGCTGGAGCTGCTGCCGTGGCTAGGAGTGGTGGCAGGACTTGTTGGGGATCGGCGGAAGGTGGAATCTCCGCTTGGGGTTTGGGTGCCTCCTGATGCTGTTGGCCACCATCGCGGGTATCGCTGGTATCGGATACAACCAAGGACGGGTCGTCTTCTCGCATTTTGCAGACCATTTTCTTGTTTTCTCGGCGGTACCTCATTCTACGCCAAATGTTCTTTCGTAGCAACCAATCATGCCCTTCTTTTCCTTTGGTGTATTTTTGATTGTACGTAAACTCTTCTCCTTCTTTCAATGCCATCCAGTTCCGATACGATCGAGTGGCTTCAACAGCTGAAACATCCATTTCTTTCATGACCTGACTGTCACTAAAGGTGGAGGCAGGTCGTCGTTTGCGGGGCTGGACGGTTTCTTCAGGCTTCACCACTACTGCTACGATGGGAATATTTTCCACCCCAGGAACAATATCATTTTCATCATGATCTTGTTTTCGACGCGCCTTTTTCAGAATCGCATGATCACGAAGATTGTTTCGCCGAGCGATCATGATCCTTCGCATCAAGCGTTCTTCATCTTGGTCATGTCCCTTAATGAAGTCCCTACAAGCATACCGGAGTTTTTCGCCTGTCTTGAGCTTTTCCCACTTGTGGAAAGTAGGGCTGTTTCGGACAAGATCTTCGTTAAAATCCGCAGGTCGCGGACCCATTTTAGGACCCGGCATTGCGTTGTCTATCGATCAATCTACTGGAGAAAGGACTTGACGGTGGCCGCAACGACGGGGTATACTGATGTGGTGGAAGGAGGTTCGACAACGTCGACAGCGACGATAACAACCAGATCAGAAGGCAAGATCTTTGCGATTCCAAAAGTCCACTCGAACACTCTCCCAGCAGGCTCACAAGAAAAAACGGAACAGCAACAGTCGCGGGGAGTGGGAGTTGATGCTTTGTTAGGTTATGTGGTGAAGTGGAGTGAAGAGGTTATCAGCTTTTGGAGTGGTTGCTCCGTCCTCTTTTGTTTCGATGAAGCGAAATCGAAGAGGTGCTCTTGCTGTTGGCGTGAACACGACTTGGGTATTCGTGACTGACAGTGACTCAGCACTGACAAACGACTGTTGTTGCTGAAAAGGCGAAAGGAGCATTGGCGGGCCCTTTGATGCGTGCTCAAGGTTTTAGGACGTTGCTTTCACAAGTGTTGACAGATAGCTTGCAGTGATACAGTACTGCTATTGACGCTCCATATGAACCATTAAAAAGAAAGGAGTTGAAAATGACAAGACTTTCGTTTGGGGCATCAGATGGCGCTGTCGAGGAAGCCATTCACTCGAACATCCCAACTGAGAATCTTTCGCCCCACGCTACCTCCGAAGACGAAAACTGCGACCAAATCAACGGTTCCTACAAACAAGCCAATGACGATGGCTTCCACTTTCTCCATGAAGCCTCCATGCTCCTGAACATTGCGCTGCCCTCTGTGGTAACTCAACTGAGCGTTCTTTTCGTCTTTCCACAGACTGCTTCCGCCGTGGGCCTGGAATTTGGCACGGAAGAACTCGCCGGGTTTTCGCTCGGCAGCTTGGTTGGCAATCTGACATGTCTCTCCGTCATGGTGGGGGCTTTGACTGCTGCTGACACGCTGATGCCTCGCGCGTTTGCCAATGGCAGAGATGCCGAAATGGGTCGTCTGGCAATACGAGGCTTTGTCATGTGCTGTCTCCTATTGATACCACCCATCATTCCATTATGCACCATGATGGAATCAATCTTTGATGCCCTGGGCCAGTCTCCTGTAGCAGCCAGTCTTGCGTCGAAATGGATTCGGATCTATTTGCTGGGTGTGCCAGCCATGCTCATCTTTCGATGCCTGCAAAGCTTCTTGAATGCTCAGCATCAAGTCATGCCGTTGGTAGTCGGGAGCACGGTGGCATGCTTTGTGATTCACCCAGCTTTTCTCAAGTTACTTCTGCCCACAATGGGGTTTGAGGGGTCAGCCCTAGCCATTTCCTTGACGCAATATGCCATGGCAATGATTGTATTAGTCTATCTGCTTGCCAAACCAGTCCACAAGTCAGAAACATGGCCCGGACTATCCTGGGAGTACATTCAGGAAGCTATTCGACTGGAGCCAGTATTGCAATTTCTGTCCCTTAGTCTCGGTGGGGTCTTGTCTCTATCGGTAAGAAGGAGTATTTCCACTCTACTCAGTTGCATCACAGGATCCGTCTCACCCATTTCTCCCCGTGACATGCACCGTCGATTAGGAATGGTGGTTTTGGTAAGGTTTCATTTCTTAACCCTTGCTCGCTGTTGAACTAGCACCCTCAGCAACAACCAACGCTCCTTTCCCATGACCTCCCGGAACAGGGCAACCGTTTGCTTCATTGTGGGTTCCTTTGGAATAGTCCCACTTTGTGTTCACACTATCGCCTACAACCTTGTACCTTTACTGTTCATGATTCCGCTGGGAATCAGCATTGGGCTGACAGTGAGGATGGGAAATGCCATTTCTACCAATGTCAAAAAAGCCAAAATCATGGCTGCGTGGTGCATGGCCTTCACCGTGGTGGTGGGGGCAGTGGTTGCCATCCTATTGTTCCATTTCCGCGTTGCCATTGCCCGTCTATTCTCGGATGACCCAGAGGTGATTCAAGGATGCCAAGACATTTGGCCAAAGCTTTGCTACTACGTGTTCATGCTTTACATATTTGGCATCAACTCGGCAATCCACCGTGCTCTAGGTTTGCAGTGGCGAATGGCAGCCATTATTTTTGTCTGTCTTTGGCTGTTCACACTTCCAACCATCGTAGTGGTGGCAATCTGGAATAGAGGGGGCTTGGATGCTGTCTGGAGCATTCTGCCTTGTTTCTATACGTTGATGCAGATTCTGTTGGCACTCAGTTACCTCACATTGGATTGGGATCAAATTGCCAAGCAAATTCGGGAAAAGGAAGTTGAAAATATGCTTCTCGAGGGGCATGCACAAACAAAGGCAAAGAAGGATCAACTTCCAAATGAGGACACACCATTGCTCTACTCCTCGTGCTAACTAGCTGGAAATGAAGTTCACAACGTGATGGCCAGAGCCAAGCACTAGACAATCAGTAATCAATAGAGTAAATATGGTAATACACGGAAGGAATATGGTGCCCCTAGCAAGGCGCCAATCTAAATCATAGCTAACGCTGCATTCAATCCAGTCTTCCTTCAATCTTGATCCTTGAGCGGCGCTTTGGGTGCATTGAGCGGCTTCTGGCCAGCAGCGTTGTGACTATCCAAAGCCCCATACTCGTTTGCATGGTGCTGGTACTCTTGGAATCCATTGTTGTGGTAGGGGTTCTTGCCAATAGTTTCATATCCAAAGTGTCTTCTGGCACACAACCCAATTACGACGCCGGCAAGGATGCAAGTTCCAAGTATTCCTACTTCAAGCCCAGCCAACCAATCGTGTTCATCTTCCAAGGCTTCCTCATTTGACTCTGCTTCTGTTTCTGCGCTGGGGCATTCTTTGTAAATGATTGTCGTGTTGGGACATTCTGTGGCGTTAAATGGCGGAGGGACCCAAAAGTCGCATTGATCAGTGGTCGCATTCCACCAACCGTCTCCGCAATCGGGAGGTGGCCCCATTGTAGGGGCCAAGGTTTCATCGCCCAAGAGGAAATCATTTTCCGGGGGGTTCAAACAAGCATCATTGTTGTCCTCGAAGAGTGAAGGGATCCAACCCATGGCGGCAACATCTCGAAGGGACAGCAGTTTGGCTGGTTTGTCAATCACTCCAACCTGTTGGTTGCCCACTCGGAATACCTTCCACGTGGCAAAGCTCCAACCTAGTCCACCTCTTTCGTAAGCTGCCATTTGTCGTGCTGCAAACGACAGCCGATGACGGCTCCACCATTTCGAATAGAGTGTGTCCTCCAAACGACCGCATTGTCCGTAATCTCTAAACAACGCTTTGTCCAGGCGCCTCAAATGACAGTCATCAATCGCAAGGTCAAATCCAGATGCAACAAAGACAGGCAATCCCTGGTAGCACTGAGTGTATTCCAAGGGTGCTCGTTTCAGACAAGCCATGGTTTCGTGAAACACAAGTTTACTACGATCCTCAGTAGGATTCGAACTGGCAATTTCGGCAATGGTGGAAGTGTGGGATAGGTCCAGCGAAACAGCGGCAATGGGTGCATCTGGGACGGACTGAACAATTTCTTGAATGTGTGTGAGCTCTTGTGGTGTTGCAGGGATCCAAAGGGGAATTTTTGTCGCCGCCACTTTGGCCGCTTCGATATCACTGGGTTTCACGGAAGGGAGCGTCACTGCTCGAACAATGGTTTCATTTTTGTTAACATTGATTCCATTGAAAAAGATTAGCGCTTCGGTGAGGTCTCGTTGACGGGCAGCATCTTCTGTCCTGCCATGAACATATTCGAGTTTGACAATGGACTGCAAGTCGTGCTCGAAGGCAAATCGCATCCATTTTCTGAGAAGATTAAGCCAATTGACATGTGGTTTCGGGAGGACATCAAAAAGTTCTACTGCCACAGGGAACTGCACAGTATTGATCCCCATTTTGGCCATTTTGGCAAAGTCCTTCTTGACGTAGAAAAACTCCGCATCTCGATGAGTGAGACTGAAACCAATGGGCGTAGAACTGTTGTCGACCGACCAATAGGCAGGAGAGAAAACTCCTGCGACCGTGACCGCTCGAATGGGTTCACCTTTCTCATATGGCTCAAAAGGACAATCTTGAAGAGTGGCCAAGCCACTGATATCACAAGCATAAGGAGAGACATCAACACCTGGAGTGGATGCATAGGATCGCGCCACTAAAAAGTCCAATACTTCGACAGCATCCTCAGCGGTCAAGTTTCCATTCGCAAAATTCTTAGTAATATCTTCCACTTTGGTCAGACTGATGGCGCTGGTATTGGAACTGCTACTGTTCAAGTCTAAGTCAAAATGGGGCAAGGCAAGGCAGCCATAGGTCTTTCCGTCTGGTGGATCCAAGATAAAGGCTCCCCGGTTCTTCGAACAAGCAGGTGCGAAAATGGAGACTCCAACATCGTCCAGATTGGCGAGAGTACTGGCGTTCACCAGCAAAGGATCCAGCACGCACTTGGCGTTCATCGGAGCCAGGTTCATTGTAGCAGGTAATGACACAAAGCAGCGATAGAGTTGGCCGTTCTCTTTTTCTTCGGTTTGGATACAGTGGGTTGAGAATTAGAGTGGTCTATGCGTGGGAAAGGAATGCTTTCCTCTTGATGACGGGTATACAAGACCTTTGAAGGTTTGCGATTCAAGGACGCGCGGGAACACAAGAAAACAGGGAACACGTACCGTATGCATATAAACACAAGAAAACAGGGAACACGTACCGTATGCATATAAACAATTTTTGAATAGAATCAATTTGGCTGACCACTTGTCTACTGTGCTGCTACTGGGTGCCCTAAACTGATAACATGGGGCAGAGAGATTTGACCCCACCAGCCAGGGAAATATTAATAAAATTCAACATATGAAGTTAAGGGACATGGGTCGCCTCGTGATTGACCCATCCTCGTTGCTGCCATCATCAGCACTGCTACTAGCTCTGCTACAACCATTGTCTATTTTAACAGTGCCCAAATCCAAAACAATGTCAGACTCAAATGCAATTCCTATAATCTAAAGTATGGCTTCAGAAAACAGCTGCAAGTTATCTGTTTTTAACAATGATTCAGTAATTATTGGCAATAAAACTAATTAAACTAGTAAAAGTAACAAAATATATAAATATATAAAATAAATGGATTATAACAATACAACTAATTTATGTAATATTAAAATATTTACAAGTTTTTCTACAAACTAATATTATTCAGAAATATTAAAATAAATCTAAAATAAAAAGGATAAATGCTTGAATTTTGCTCAATTTTTAAACATTCTTAATTGATAAACCCAAAAACAATTTAATGATCTATTAAAATCATTCATGTCGCCAGTGGGTATACCCCAAAGGGGACCCCAATACCCACTGGCTAAGTTGTCTAATTAAATTAATGAAATACATCATTGTGAGTATTCTTTTAAACGTTATGCAAAAACGTCGTGCAAAAATGTCGTGTAAAAATGTCGTGTAAAAATGTCGCGTAAAATGTCGCGTAAAAATGCATGCAAAATGTCGTGCAAAAATGTCGTGCAAAAAATGAATGTGTGTAAAAAAGAATGTGGTCAAAATGTGTCAAAATGTCGCGTCAAAATGTCGCGTCAAAATGTCTGCAAAAAATGTCGTGCAAAAATGTCGTGTAAATTCGTGTAAAAATGTCGCGTAAAATGTCGCGTAAAAATGCATGCAAAAATGTCGTGCAAAAATGTCGTGCAAAAATGTCGTGTAAAAAAGAATGTTGTGTCAAAATGTCGCGTCAAAATGTCGCGTCAAAATGTCGTCAAAATGTGTGCAAAAATGTCGTGCAAAATGTCGTGCAAAATTTCGTGCAAAATTTCGTTGCAAAATTTCGTGCAAAATTTCGCGTAATGTTGCTAATTAGCCACACAGCGTATCTTTATCACGAATGTAATTTTGATGTCATTTGGAATTGCAAAGTTATCTAAATTTCGCGTAATATAGTTGTATTCGTATGTCATGCAGCTCATTATCGCATAATACAGGTAGCTACATTCTTATGTATGAGAGCTAGATTCTCGCGTGTTTGAGCTAGATTCTCGCGTGTTTGAGCTAGATTCTCGCGCGTTTGAGTTAGATTTTCGCGTGTTTGAGTTAGATTCTTGCTTGTTACAGCTCGACTCTTATGTTTTTGAAATACATACTCGCATATTTCAACTTTGTTATTAAGCAAAACTTCATGTCAGCGAGATTTCTTTTTGGCACACACGTAAGAGAAATATATTCTCGTCGCGTATTTTTGCTTTATTGTCTTGTGAAATACATTGGTTGTCATATCACACTTGTGCAAGAGCAAGAGCTATATTCTTGCATATTTTAGATTGCTCGTATTATGTAATGCAAACTGACTTCATGTCGCGTGATAGAATTACATTTTTCGTGTTAGAGCTAGACTTTTGTGTGTTAGAGCTGAATTTTTGCTTGTTTTCGCATTAGAGCTATGTCTTACATTTTCTTTGTGTTACAGCTACATTCTTCTTGCATGTTAGAATTATATTCTTGCGCATTTTAGATTGTTTAAATTTCAGTTCTCTTTCTAAATGTCACACACGCGTTGCAGAGCTACTTTCTCATATGTTGTGTATTAGATGCATGAAAAAATACTTTTTCTCGCGTTTTAGTTGTGTCTATATCATGACAGAGCTACATTTTTGGTTTTTAGAGTAGCTTCCTTGTGTAGTATTAGAGTGCCACTCTCGCATGTCAGTTTTGACTAGTACATTCTGATGAGTATTTTAGCTTTGTTGTTGTATTCTAGTGAGTCTCTTCTAGTACACAGTGAGAGAACTATTCTCGTGTGTTTTAGTAGCTTTATTATCATGTGAAATACATTATCTTTGTTATGGTGTTACATGAGTGAGAGAGCTAGACTTTCGCGCGTTTTAGCTTTGGAAGTACTACATCATCGTGCAATTTGGCTTTGGTGTCAAGGAGTGTAATACAACTACATTTTCGCATGCTGTCAGAGTTTCTGAATCAGTCTGGTACATTAAGAAAGTCTACTACATTTTGGCGTTTGTGTGTTAGGACTACACTATCACGTGTTTTAGATTTGTTGTTGTAGCATATTAGAACTGTGTAAGATTTCTGTGCTGGTGAGACGCGTCACAGAACTATTCCAATGTATGTTAGCTTTTGTTGTCATATGAAATGTATTTATTGTCGTGTCATACATGGAACTTTGTCTGTATTATGCCATGCAATTTAGCTGCCAAACTATATTTTTGGGTGATAGAAGTATACATCATTGCGTTAGAGTTACATTTTTCGCGCAATAGAGCTACATTTTCGAGATTAGAACTATATTTTGTGGGTCAGAGCTGTGATCGGATGTGTTAGAGCTATGTTCTTATGTGTTAGAATTATCTATAAATTTTGTAATAGAGTCGCGTAATGTTGTCGTGCAATGTAGCTATATAAATATGTTTGGTAAAAACGTCAAAAACATCATATTTTTACATTAAAATGAATTCGTTTTTGCTTTTTTATTTTAGAAAAAATTTATTTAAAGTCCCAGTACAACAGTAAAATAACGACTGCCAACAGTCAACAAAAAACAACGTTTTGCAATTGGACATTTGCAATACACAGTTCACCCCCAGCTTGAGCAGCTACAGATAGCTGGAGTAGGTATACATCTGCTTAACTCTCAATCGGTTTGGCACCAAGCTTGCAGCTGCGACGTTCTAGCAGCACACTTTATTCCACTCTTTTTGAGGCCTTCCAAACAGCAGTTAGATGCCCCATACAATTTTCTACAGTACCAAAAGCACCTTATTGTTTTACGCGCACTACTCTACAACCAAGGCAGCTACTGACTTCCCGCTCATATAGATGTTGAGGAGGGCTACAAGCTTGATCCATCCCTGCACTGGTTGTATGCAAATTCCATATGAGCCTCTCACCTCATTGCCTTTCGTTTATTTGTTAGTTTACTTTTTTAGCTCCTGGTGAGTCGAATTTGTTATTTACATTGTTTTGCTTTTGTACTCTCACTGGGCCCCATATCCCAGCTCGAATGGCTTCTGGCCGGCCGGGGACGCTCGCGCCGCCGATATACCAAGAACTAAATCCAGTCACCAGTTAGTCCACAGTAGTGGAATAAATTTAACCTTTTTACGAGACGGACAGTTTGACTTGGTAGGCGTAATCACTAGTTACTTGAGCTAGGTCGTGTCGCTTAATTCAATATTCTCACTAGTTAGTAGGGGTTTTTTCATTTATACCAGTGAGGATAGGGTTGGGAATATTTTGGAGTCATTGAGTGAAATCTCTAACCTTATGCAAAATACTCCTTGATTTCGTTGATGGCTGTCTTGAGATCATGGGGGAGATAGCCTTCTCCATAGGTGGTGATCTGCCCACCATTTGATCCTGTCTCTCGTCCATACACCATGTATGTACATCCTGGGAGTTCTTGGAGGGATATCTCTTCTTCTGCTGTGTAATTGTTCAGAGTGAAGGTCTATCTTCTGCTACTTTTGGTCGGGTTTGAGGTTGTCATTTGTGAAAAAAATGAGCTTATCGGAAAAGATACAAGGTCAGATGGCGTATGTCTTGGTACAAAGGACGAATTACAGACGGAGGAATTAACATGATTGGCTGCACAATTGGCCGCCTAGTTGAGGCTACTACAACAGCATATGTACTAGCACAGCAACAAGGGCACAGCAAACCATGACACAGTGAGACTCTAGCACAGCAACAAGGGCACAGCAAACCATGACACAGTGAGACTACAACAGCATAGCAGCAGACCATGACACAACTGGTTGAGTACAACAGCATAGGACGACAAGACAGCGGATCATGACACAGTGAGAGGCTGGTTGAGGCTACTGCAAAGCGAGATAGGACTACTACCTCAGCCTATCGGGGAAGGGATGGCACAGCGGTTTGTAGGTCACTCAATCGCCGCTTAGGCTAGTTTGTAGATGCTCAGTCGCCGCAAGGCTCAGACAGTGGGTAGCGCTCAATCGCCGCGTAGGCTAGTTTGGGACGCACAGCGGGGACGCTCAGTCGCCACGGGGCTCATATGACACACAATTTGTATCAAAGTTAGGCTCGGGACTGGATTGCGTACTGTTTGTTGTATAGTAAAAATTAAATCGTGTGTCATGTATCAAAGTGTTCAGGGGTAATACTAGACCCTGAACACTTTGATACAGTTCGTCTTCCATCAAGGGATGTCAAAACTAAGGGCATTCTCTACCTTGGAGCTAAATTCGGTGCTAAATCCAGTGCTAAGATTGGACAGAAGAGAAAGAAACCAGAGCCGAATCGGTTTCAAGGGCTTCATCTTACCTCTGAAGTTACCTGCCACTGCCGTCATTGCTCCAGCTGCCAATCTGCCACTGACGTCGTAGCTCCAGCTGCCACTGCCGTCGTCGGAAGTGTGCGACCTCGTTGTTGTGGCTTGTCGGCTCGTCACTCATCGTCTTGCTTGAGTGATGAATCAATCTACTTGCTTGCTTGTCCAGGATCAAGGGGAGATTAACTTCCCTTAGGCGGCTGTCGCAACAAAACAACAATCGGCATGGGTGATATTTCGAAACAAGGACAACATCATCAAGGATTACGCTATCGATATGGTGACAAAAATGTATAACATCTTTTGCGAAAGTTTGACCGATGACAATGGGCTCGAAGAGGCGAACAAGAGGTATGAACAAATCAGGCGAAAGAGACGCACTTATGCTGCTGGGGTTCTTAAGAAGAAGAATGAACTGAATTGTATTGGATACAACGAGCTGTCAAGAACGGTGAAGAGAACCGCGAAAAATTTGAACAGTTAATGGAAAGACGCAAGGCAGAAGGAGCTTGAAGGCCACCTTTGTTATCTTATATTATCTGCCAGCTACCATGGAATGATTTGCTCTGGCTAATGTTTCTTTTGTCATTATCTACATGGCTCTTAAAAGGGTTCAAACACCGGTTTCCTTTCAGCTGGGGCATTGCCAAGTGGGCAATTCAATGATGATGTAGGATAAATTTCAATGCTAAATAAGTAGTCGAAAAAATGCAATCAGTGGCACATGAGATGGACCACTTGTTGGTTCTCTAGACGTCTCCTCGAATTCTGTTGCGATTCATACTTCTTGAATTCCGTTGCTTTCCATCTCTCAACTTCAACTTTTCTTCTCCCTTTCATCTTCATGCGGTGGCTCGCGCTGCTGTTTCAAATGATATTGTTCAGCTGACCTTTCAACACCCGTAGCGCGTCTGGTTCAGCGTAACGCACTCCCTTGTCCTCAACGACGGACGCGATCTGGTCCACCAAGAAATCGATTGAGCGGTTGCCGTTGGCGTGATGCGCTTGTGCATCCCGATGGAAAACAACACGCATTTGATTTATCTGCTGTTTTGTACGAGCGTAAGCGGCTGGTGCGTTGTTGGCAAAGGGACCTTCACCTCGGGCGAACAGAGAGCTAAGGAGTCGTCCGTTGTGGCAAGTCGCATTTCGTAGTCGGTGTACTTGTTTCCAGTCCATGAGAGCCTCGGCGTCCACCTGCCGGACAAAGGAAAGCATACCCTCAAGGACCGCCACCACAATGCGCCCACGACCATCTTCAATTAGATCGAAGCCGTCGATGGTGGGCCACGTCACGATCCGCATTCGGCCGTTGTACAGGATATTGGATAAGATCGCGCCTGCAAATCTGGCACAGCCATACTCAAAGTACTCCTTGTCCTCCTCATTCTCCCAACCTTCGGGGATATGGTGGCAAACAAATTCCCCGACAGCGGTCTCCAGTATTGCGACTTTGATGGCTGGACCGAAAGCCATGGCAATGCCACAAACCTGATCCTGGAGCGTCCGATGACTTGCCTCGAGCGCTCGATGACTTCCCTGGAGCTCTTGATGACTTGCCTGGAGCGCTTGGTGACTTGCAAAGAAGCTGGTCAGCCAGTCTTGAAACTGCGGATCAGCAGGGCGCGGGGGTGGAGGCAAATCATTGTTCAACGGCATTGTTAGTGTGTTGCTTGTTCGATTTTGTTGTTGTGCAAATAAATATGATTGAGATTGGGCGGTCGGTTGCTGCTGCTATTCTTTTGCTGGTTAGCTACTAGCTAGCTAGCGGTAGAATTCTACTGCGTGCATGTTTGATTAAAAAAGAGGATGAATACGTTTGCGCGCGCTCCGGGCGTGATGAGTTTTCACACTGCCTTTAATTCTTTTATGAACAGGGAGAATCTTAATTTAAAGGCGGTCCCAAAAAAGGCTTCTACTATATAATTTTCAGTACTTGGGACGTGGGACCAAGGTGAGGTAATAATGGTTGATACTCACCTTGGTCCTCTTTTTGGAAGTGAATCTCACTTCCACGAAGTGAGTTTCGCCAACCACGCAGTTGGCCCACTGAGAATTTTGTGTTTGGTCGTCTGCTTAGCAGTGGCTATTTTGTGCCACTTGCAATCAGACACTGTCCACGTCATGTGGCTGTCACTCCTGGGGCGTGAGTCCCGTGAGCTAAGTGGACGTCCGAGTCGAGTGACGAGTCTCGCTGTACCGGCACTCGGCAGCTAGCTCCAGCTACTCTGAGATCACAAAGTCGCACTCGACGAGTCGCACTGATGAATGGCCACTGGCCATGGGATCTCCGCCCTTCATGCTGGCGCTTTTTGATTAGCCAATTACTCAAGATGCTAGATCTAGCTAGGTTAGAGGCTGACTAGCTTGATCCGCATCCATCCAGTATTCACACACAAGTGCTGCAGCATCTTCTAAAGGACTAAAGGAGCTAAAAGCACGTGGTTGGCGCTCCCGGAGGCTCTTGTTTTTGGAGCGAACATCGACGAACAGCTCTGTCCTTTGTTCCCGAGGAGCTCTCAGTTGCAGGGGAGGTCTCAGCACTCGACGGCTCGACGGCTTGACTTGTTGCCTTTTACGTTTCAGTGAAACGAGCACACCTTGGCAAGTCCTAGGCAAGGTGGGGCGTCGACTGAGTGACTTGCTAAAGCCGCGAAGACAGAGCCAGCGCTTCGCGGGGTCTTGTCTTTTCCAGCGCTCGCAGCTTGCTTGTTTACACCTATTGTTGAAAAAAGCTGCTTCCGAGCGACGAGCCGTCCTAAGTTAGTCTGGACTTGGCGTGCTTCGTCCTTGGGTATCCTTTAGCTTCCAAGCAGTCGAAACGGGCGCACAAGTCCCAGTGAAAAGGTCCTGGCATGGGGGACTGAAGCTGAAGTCGACTGGCGAATTGGGTCTCAGTGAAACTGGAAGAGGAGCGATCGACCCGGCACCATGGGTTGGTTGCCGAGGCCACGTTGGTTGCCGAGGCGACTAGTGAAGGTTAGCGTGGTGGGACGAGCGACTACGTCGATGGGGACTGAAGCGCGACACGAACGCAGCCAAGAGGCAAGAAATTTGAAGTCATGAGCTCCGAGCTAATGCACTAGTATTGCTCTAATGAGTTAAATCTGGTGGATCTTATGGGCATAGACATGTTCGATGAAGGAGTGGGGAGTGTTAGGCGGGAGGGGGCGGTACCAGGGCTTGGTCTTGTTTGTCAGCAAGTTTTCGTTCATGCGGATGATAGAGAGGTGTGGTGTTGTAGCGGCATTGAATTGTTTGCCTTGGGTCTTGACATTTGAAGCCTCACTCAACAATGCACTCTTGATGCGGTCCAACATGACACTGGCTTCTTCCATCGATGGAGTGGTGATGGGGTAGTTATCGAGGAAGCGTACCATGACCCTGATGGCTGCCTTAACCTTTCGGTATTTACATCTCATGCGGTTGTCAACTTTGGGGGTGGATTTGTAGGATTCCATGAAGTTGCAGGCAAAGAAATTGATGAAGACGACTCTGGGGTCAGTGTTCCTTGTAACAAGGTCGAGGAGTGCCTTGATAGGTCGAATGTTTAATTCAGACTGAAACGGGGACTGGGTGTAGTCAGCGGTGGTAATGGAGGAGGTCACAGGAGAAGGGATTGGGACGACGGTGTCAATGAAGTTGGTCTTGGTGAACAGCTCTTGGCATGCCGACTTGAACGTGTTGAATTCAGCTGGTTCGATGTCTGCTTGAGAGAGTCGTTGAGTGAGAGTTGCGACAAGGATGTGGTTCTTTGGATCTTTGAATGAGCCATTGGGTTCTGCACGGATCTGGTCTAATAGCTGATCCCACTTGGAAAGGAGGCACATTAGAACCATTTGCTTCACTTGGATACAGAGCAGATCTTCAGGGATGTGGCCGAAGAAAACTGAGCAGATTTTGTCGCCTAGGTCTTTCGAGATGATGTCATATGACGGGATGGTCACACGTTGGTAGTCACTGCCAACTTTGGACCAGGCTGCAAGAGCTTTTGCCCCATCGAGAAGGTAGGGAAAGGGATTTGAGAAGTACGCAGCACGGGCTCCCGGTCCTGAAATTTTCCCTTCATTCCATCCACCGAAAAGTTCTGCTGCCTTATGGAGTTTGTTACCATCAAGGAGGTACTGGGCAGTGTGCTTGCCGAAGTGTGACGTGCCTTTTCGGATGGTGGTGTTTTCTGCGGGAGGGTAGCGCTTCCAGATAGAGTTGAGGATGCTTGTGTAATGGGTTGAAACAGCAGAATCACCAGTTAGGGAGGCGATGGATGGCATCAAGGCTTGGTCATTGCGAATGAACAGGGCTAGGCCAATGGCAACAACAAGATCACCGAAAGCATCGTATTTGTTGGGAATCAGAGGGTGGTGGTTGTCGACTCCCATCTTGTCGCGTACAAGATAGCACTGGAGGATGTTGTTGAGGGATCCTTCATGAAGCTCTCTGATGGAGAGGTTCTGCACAGTGAGGCGGGATGTCTCGGTTGCCCTGCTGCAGAGACGGAGGGTTGCTGTCTGGAAGACATAGAAGTCGATGTACTTTTCTAAATTGAACCAGAGGCAGCGCTGCAGAATGAATGCGATGTCTCCACTGGTATAGACTTTATTCTTGGGTGGTGAGGGTGAAGCTTTCTTCTGATCCTTGATCATGGTCTTCAAGGATTTGAATGCAGATGCATAGGTTTCTTCAATGACTTTCAGGTAGCGGGATAGCATGAGCTTTTTAGTCAATTGGTTCTTGATTGTGGGCATGTAGCGTTCCAAGGTGCCGATAGCGTAGGGGTCTCCGTTGCTTTTCTTGAGATTGAACCAGAAGGCTGGTTGACCTTCCCAGAATACAAACCACCACTTTGTTACATCGTCGTCGTTGGTGGAGGAAGAACCACCGGTTTCACCTATGTCGACATAGTTGACCTTGGATAGGCCGAGCCGGTCTTGGAGGTCATCCAGATATGGTTGGATCAAGGTGGCTGTGCTGTTGTGTTTGGCCTGGCAGGACTTTGAAGCTGAACCATAGAAGTTGACATTGATGGTCTCTAGAGGGGCAGGTCCTTTGGGTGTCTTTTGCATGGCGTCCTTGGGCTTGGAAAAACTTTGAGTTTTCGACTTGGTCCTCAGTTGATGATCTTTGATTGAGGTGTCATTGGTATGCAGTTTTTTGAGTTTACAAGGACACGACCTAGTGAGACCTAGTGGGAGTCGTCAAGAGTCAGTGAACCGTCTAAAGAGTCGGCCAACCGTCTGAAGAGTAAGCATCATCGATTACTTAGATTATTTCCGCCTGACAGACTAACGACAGTTAAAGGTTCACAACTGTTGATTGAAATCTAAATTTGGCTCGAACTGCATCCGGATGGACCTTTGAGGGTCTTGTGTTCTTGTTTCCTTTCGCGTGCAGCTGGAGAAAATCTGAACTGAACACGAAGATGCAACAAAAAAAGAAAAAAATGACGAAATCGATCGCTGACGTACGTAGCCAGCTAAGCTGAAATAACAACCCATTTCGTTCCGACCTGTGAGGTGAGGTATTTTAATAGCTCGATTGCAGACCGGACCAGAACGCTTGATCAACTCGCAAACATCGTACTTTCCAAACCGGCAAAAGGCAACCTACTTGCTACAATATACAGAGCAAATTGCGAGCCAGGGACATAATAAGCAATAGCTAGCTAGGAGTTATCTGTAGTTATGGTTACTATCTATTTCTCGTTCTCGGCATCGCGGCGCTCTTGTCGTTCTACGACATATTCAAGTAGTCTTGACCTGAGTTTGGTCGGCAGTTTGTCCACACTACGTTCCGCTAGGCGTTTGCCTTTTCCCTTGGCATAGTCCTTGAACTGGGAGATTTAAAAACAGCAATAGGTGAGCGGGATGCTTCCATCATGATACAGCAGGGGCTGACATGCAGTTTCCTGTACTTACCAAACTTGCAATTTGGCGAAACCGAATCTTCTCGTCACCCTCCGTACCGGTAGATTCACCACTGCCCTTCACAATGCTCTTGCCCCAAAGTGGTAGCGTGGGTGCAGATGCTGCTTCGACAGTCATAAGACAACCATCATTCCACCGTCCCGCGAGTGACAAGGGAATGTCGAGGCGTTTGGCAATGCCCTTCAACAAGACTGTCGCTCGTCCCATGAGGACCAATTCTTGAGGGAACGATGCTATTAGTTTGATAGGAGAATCTTCCGAGAGCTCGTTGCTGGAATATCCTCCTGGCAAAGGAACACCCGTGTCTCCAAAGAGGACTAGCGCGACGGCACAGGCCAACTCATCATTCTCTTGCTCCCCATCCATAAAGGTCACACCAAAGCCTCGAACATGGTTTGCCAAGTTTCTTTCTGCCTCTGGGGCGCCTTTACTGAACTGATACTCCGCGACAGCCAAAAGTAGCTGTGCCAATTCGACTCGTTGCGGTCTGGGGAGTGCTTTAAATTGACCACAGTCAATGAGGGATACTTTGCCACCGTTTCCGATAAAGATATTCCCTGTACAATGCAAACCAGAACGGAAAGTGTTTTAATGAACGGATGGATGCATATTATGGCGCATCATTCCAACCACGGAACAAGAACACAAGCGTACCTGGATGCGGATCCCCATGAATAAAGCCGGCGCCAAAGATCATGCGTCCAAACGCCGCAGTCAAGCCATCCAGAATCCGTCGTCCTGCAATTTTTGCCTCGGGAGATCCCGGTTTGATTCCCTTTTCTTCCATTCGTTGACTCAATTGATTGAGTGGAGCCCCTTCGATGAAATCCATCACCAAGACACGCTTGCTGACGAGTTCTCCGACGGGTAGAGGCACAGTAATGGGTGGATTGGGACATGATTTTCCATCATTGTCATGTCGAACGGCAAGGTCAATCTTGCGCATAGCTTGTGCTTCTGCCAAAAAGTCCAACTCGTTGACTAAGGCATCTCCCAATTCGGAAAAAACAGCATAATAGTCCACGGGTAAACTGTCTGCGAGCAGTTTGCTGATTCGTTTCAAATTGGCCACATCCCCCAGAAGCTTTGGTTCGACATTGGGTCGCTGGAGTTTGACTGCCACAGTTCGTCCATCTAGCAACGTGGCTTTGTGAACTTGAGCAATGCTGGCACTTCCCAGCGGTTCCTCCTCAAAAGAAGCAAACAACTCCGAGAGCGGCGCTCCATCCAATAATTCTTGGCGAACCACTTTTTCGACCAGTTGAAATGGCATAGGTTCCAATCCATCTTGTAGAACTTGCAATTTGGACGTGTATGCTTCGGGGAACAGATCTACCCTCGTGGAGATGACCTGACCACTCTTGACGTAGAATCCACGCATCTCGCTGATTGTTTCGGAGATTCTAGTGGATCCCCATTCGTCTAGTTCTTTCCACATTTCCTCTTCTTCTTCCGGAGGTGTGGCATCACCCAATGTTTTTCGAAGATTCAACTCGACTTCTTTGGCCTTGTATGCCGCCAACACGGGCAAGACGCGTTTGTAGAATTCCAGGGCGCGAGTTGTTCGTTGCAGAGGCGTCAGCGGAGGGGGAAATTCGATTAAAACACTGTCATTGTCTTCTGGCTCAACTGTGCCAGATGCAGCATATTCGACGACAGAGGCGGCTGAGAGTGGCACATGAAAAGGGCTGCTTCTTGTGAGCTTTGTAGGCTGCTGAGAATTGCACTGAAAGCCTGCAATGGTCGCTGGAACCAGGAAAAGAACGGATAGTACATGTAGCTTCATCATGTACCGGTATTGGTCGTCTTATAAAGTGATCCACTCGCTAAAGAAATGGCCCATGGTCAAATAAATACTGTGCTGAGTGGGTCCCAAATTGACTTTCGTCGCCACGTACAGTCGAAGTCGAGAATGATGACTGATGTTTGATTTGTCATCATTTTATTGATGAGGTGTTGCGTCGAGATACAGATCACGTGGGGTCGCTATGCTATTCAAGCAGCTTCACCAGCTTTGAGTTTGGGCGCGAAGTTGTCAATTATTGGTGTCATTGGAGATCTGGCTCATTCTTCCATGTGTCCATTATCTGGGCGTTGGCCGCCAAAGGGTAGCATCAAAGTCCTTTACTAGCTAGGAGCTTGTTGGCTATTGCAATAACCATGGCGTCCATCCCGTACTCTTCCTCTGGAGGTAGCAGTCGCCCATCGACAACTGCCGCCGCTCTTCCCCGAAAAGCACCTGCTGTCACTCCTAATATTGGTCGCAGAAATAATGGACCTGTTGGTCTGGACCGTCAAATGGCCGTCGATAAGAACGTTGTGGATGAGTTGCTCTTGGTCTGTGGTGTCATTGGCACTTCCACAGAAACCACTTCCAATGGAGTGGAAACTCTGGTACCCGTGACGGACTGTTTGAACTGGCTACAAGATCTTCAGCGGGCATTGCGTCGAGATGAAGACCTCTACCGTCCCATATCCTTGCTATTGGGAAAATGGAATGTGGCACCCAAAAAACTACTGCCTTTGGTATTGACTTGTCGCTATGACACTCCCATGGTCTTGACTATTGTCAAAATACTTGTTATTCTCACCAAACCACTACATGAAAATACCAAGAGAGCTGGAAAACTTGTCATTGATACCAAGAACAACAAAATACCGGAGGAGTGAGTACTAATATACCGCCCTACTAGTATTGATGGATTGATTGCGTCGTTGTCTATACAGTCCACTGACTGATCCTCCCTTTCTACTTTGATTTTTTGGTTAACAGGGTGATCGAAGAACAGAAGAAATTGCGCAAAAATGCGCTGGAACAGTCTGATATGCTCATGGAATACAAAAAGGCCATCGTCCATCATCCCTCACATAGAAGGAACAAAAGCAACAAAAATAAAAGCAAGGATGAAGAGGGTGGACTACTCTCGATCTTTGTCTCCCTTCTAGCAGAGCCTTTGTCCAAGGCTGGGACCAGACGAACCGATGCTGATCACCTGACTATTGAACTTGTGCTCCATCTCTTTCGCAACATTCTCAGCGCAGAACCCATTATCAGAGGTACGTTTGATAGAAGCATAACCAAAACGATTCAATTGATTGCCTATATTGGAATCCAAATCCTTACTTTATCGTTCTTTTCCGTGTCTAGGATCACATGAATCTTCGGAACAGAGTGCCCAGTTGCACAATGAATGTATCTCATTGTTTGAACGGGAACTTGTCTTGGAAATTCTATTGGTGCTCTGTCAAGAGATGGAATTGCGCGAAAATGCACAGTACAATCTGCTCGTGATGGAACTCCTCCATCACCTGCTCAAATCACAAGATCCTACAGCAGTGGCTCGATCCATGTCCACTCCAAACACCACTCCTACTACAGTTTCTACGTCTGTTTCTACTGCCGACAGCACAAAGATTGGGAAACAAAACAAGAAGTCAGCGCCCAAGCCGCCTCAAACTGCTACTGATGGAATGTTGCGAGCCCAGCTGGCAAAAGATAGGCAACAATTCAAATCAGGTGCTCCAGCTCGCCACGGCAACTTTGGAGGCACTCTCATGCTCAAGCGACAGGATGGAAGACGACAGTATGTGGCAGCCTCGGCTGTATTGGATCAGAGACCCCAGGCCAGCATGGCTGCTGCTAGTATGGCAGGACCCAAGAAACGGAAGAATAGACGCACAGAACCGTTCATTGGTTCTGGAAGGACCCTGTTGGCTCATACAAGGGCAGTGCAAAGCCGAAGTGTCCATCGTGGGCCAGCTGCAATTCGTGCACAAAAGACATTGTACCGATTCTGCGAACGATTCTTGGACAAGTGCTACGGACCACTCATGAAGAGCCTCAAGAATGAGTTTCGTCGAGATTCAGTCCGCTTGGAGGGAGATCAGGACAAGGTTGTCTTTTTCCGCATCATTTGGTTCTTTTTCCAGTGGTTTCGTGTCAGTGGCTTTGGTAAAACGCTGCAAGGCAATGCAGGAAAAGCGAACGAGAAAGGAGAGCCCGAAGCTAGCAAGAGTGCCCTTGGACAGTTGATCTTCACGATGGATGTCTTTTCCTTCAACTTGGTGCTCAATGCTACAAACACTTTCATAGGTCACAAAGCACACATCCGTTTGGCTCAAACAGTTGCCCTCTATGCTGAGATGATGCACATGCTGCATAGCATGTACAAATCTGAAGATCCTACGGAGCAGATCATGGCGCTAGGATTGATGGACCGCCTCTTCTACGGTTCTGAGCCAGTGGATCGATTGCCAAAGCTACTCTCATCCTGGATCCCTGGAACCACTACCCGTGAATATGCCTGTGATCTCGTGGAAGCCTGTCATGTGACGCTCAAACTTTTGGATGCCAATCACAAAGCTTGTGCTGATATCATGAACAGCGAGGAAGCCAAGAATGCAACCGCGCCGTCGAAGGGAAAGAAGAAGAAGAAGAAGCTGCAAACGAATGATGCAGTGCTACAGATGAAGGTGGCAGCGTCGGACTTTGACACTAATTCGTACTTTTTGCGAAAGGTGGTCTCGAACCACACTGTCTTCATGTACACAAAGCTTCTGGAACAGTACGAACTGAATGCACCCCAAGTCAACCATCGGATCATATCCTATTTCCTTCGTCTGGAGAAGCACAATGTAGTCGGGGATGATGTACATCCTCGACATTTGCCGGAAGGTTTAGTGGACCCATTGCAGACTTTGATTGCACCCAAACCCACAACACTGGAGCCAATGCTGTACAACATGCAGCTGATCATGGTGCTCAACAAGATTCTGAACGATCCCATCATTCGCAAGGACAAGTCATACGCGACGACGCTGGCCTGGGCAGCGGGGATCGTTCACAACTTTGCCACAAAAGCCGCTGACAATCCCGCACTGTTTGCGGAGTGTCTGTTCAAGCATCCAGTTCCTCACCGATTCTGCGAGCTCACCACAAACATGTATGTGAATGAAGAACTCCGAATGATAGTCGAGAAGGAGTTGCTCCTGGAAACTCAACGCCTCGAGAGGTTGAATGATGATGATGACAGCGACAACGATGAGGATCGAGAGCAGGAGGAGGAGGTTGAATTCAAGGATGACGACATACGTGGTGTTTCCGCCGGGGGAAAGCGCCCAAAGGACGATGACAGCAGCTCCAGTGATGACGATGCCGGGCTTCAAAACAAGAGCAAGAAGAAACGCAAGATCCAACCCAAGAAGAAATCGAGCCTTGAGGATGAGAGCTCTGACGAAGAAGAGCTGGAGTTCGAGGACAAACCAAGAGCTTCCAACAGCAAGACCACCCAGTCCCATTCCAAGGGGTTCAAACGAAAGGCCTGGGATGATTCTGATGAAGAGCTGGAATTTGAAGACAAACCAGCATCAGGCGCCAACACGATAGCAAAATCTTCCAAGAGCGGCAAACAGTCTGTTTTGGACGACAGTTCGGATGAGGAACCTGATCGAGACCGGGAAACCTTGAAGCAGTCTACCAAAGGCCGGCCAACAATTGACGACGACAGTTCGGATGAAAGTGATGACGAAGACGCAATTTTCGTCCTCAGGCAACGGGTAATCGCGGAAAAGAAGAAGCTCGAAAAAGCCATCTTGGACGAAGAGACATCGGATGACAGTGACGACGACGAAAACCAAAAGAAGGATGCATCCGATGACGAAGCTGAGTAATCCTCATAGATGATACTGGTGGAATAATTAGGGAAAGAATTGTTATGTGAATTATCGCTTCTCACTTGCCTCGAGACCACACCTAATGACACTGCTCTCACTGGGGTACGGTAGTCACCGAGTTCGTAACAATGAAGTTTCTGCAAACCCTTCACCCAAGCTGAAAGAAGGTGGACATGACGGTGGCAACTTCCTGCGAGTGCTTTGGATCAGCATAGAACCAATGGCCGCCGTCAAAGGATTTCCACGAGCAACCAGGTGTTTGGTCAAGGTTATGGAGAAAAACAGACGAGTGATAGTTGATGTCCTTCTTCGTACCAAAAAGAAACAAGTGCGGGACGCTTTTGATTTTGTCAAATGTGATTGGGTTCTTCAAGTCAAGCTTTGTGAGCTTTCCCTTGATGAATTGGAAGTACGGATAACAGGTGTGTGGGTTGTTTTTGGGTGTCTGCAGGAAAATTCTAGTATCGACGCTGGTCATCGGCCCGATTGATTTCCAGGGATACAACTCGATCACCTTGGATGCGATTGAAGCAGAAATGAGGTTTCGCACAATGAAAGCAAGAGCAAAGCAGAGAAAATAGGCCACAGTTTTCAACGTATTCCCAAAAGGCATCTCGTTTGCTTCCATCAATCCAATATCCAGCGAAACAAATTTGCGAATGATCTCTGGATGCTGTTGCACGTAGATGTAAGCATAGATTGAGCCCCAATCATGAGCACAGAGATCTATTGTTGGTTTTTTCTCCGGGTGCATTTCCTGGACCTTGGTTACGACCTTGTGCAGCTCCACCAGAATTTCCATTGGAGAGTATCCCCAGCGGTGGTCATCTGGGAGGGAATCTCTGTGCATACCAGGCAAGCCCAAAGCGACAATGTGATGGGTACTCTGAAGTTCTTTTTGGGATATCAAAGGCTCCCACACAGACGCAGAGTCCGGGAACCCTGCCAAACAAATCAAGACGGGAACCTCTTTCCCCTCTTTGGATTGTGGTGGGTATTTTATCCCAGAGCGGCGGCAGTCAAAAATTGTATCCAGTTCGTCAGTCATCGTTTCCCTCAACCCTCAAGGCGTTTGTGCTTCACAATTGTGCGACTGGGTACCGTTGTAGTTCTTCTTGTTGGGACTTGCACCAAGCTAAAGTGGCCTGATGTTGTTTTGCGGGTTTGGTCATCTTCAAATGGTCGACCAGATCGTCGGGAGAGGGAAGGGAATTTCGCTTTGGTCTTCTAAAAAGCCCACGGACCGACAGAAGATACTTTTGGAACGACTGAAAGCCAACCAAAGTCCTTATCCTTAATCATATTTAAATATGTTTGTGCGATCAACCGAGCAAAGGTCAGGTCTTGCTTCACCGACGCGCGAGTAACCCAGCTCCCGTCACATTTTGAGCAACGGTTGTCATTTATTCTGTGTTTGCTGAGAGATAACAGCGAGGAAGAGACGCCGTTTACTTTATTTTGTGCTGTTGTTGTGAGATAACAGCAAAGAAGAGACGATGAACAACAGCATGTTTCTAGCAAGCACGGCATTAGACAATGTGTCAATTGCTGATGTTCAGGCTGATGCCTCCCTGCTGAAGTGTCCTGCAGTCCTAGAAGAGCAGAAAACCAACGGCCATGGACATCGCTCAAGCAGTGGCATTGACCATTATCTCGCAAACCTTTCAGTGCCAAAGCATCCAGCCTTGAAGATGATTTCAGATTGTACCCAGAGCCAAGAGTGGACGAAGGTAGCCCCAAAGGATTCCCTCGCTGGCGAGTGTCCACACCTACCGGAGACAACATTGAAACGGCAACGTGCTTCTTTCATTGTCCCTCACGACAAAATCAAGAAATTGGAAATTGGGACACAAGAGACTGATTTGTTGACGAAGGATGATGATGATTCAGTGGAAGAAGACTCCATTGCCAACGCCTCGAACCTGGATTCACTCATGATGATGTTGTCAACAACTCGCCATGACGGGACCAACACGATTGAGACCCCATTTTCGTTTCCAATCCCATCGACAGTCTGCTATGTTGATGCATTGGGAGACTCTCAATTGACAGTCTCATCTGAGGGTTCATCATCCATGATATACTCAGCAGATGACCTCGTATCATTGTCAAGCGACCGTGATGGATCAAAGGCTTCTGTCACCGATTGCAGCACGAAGGCTCTCGCGGGATCTGCAGTGAAGACCGCCACGAAATCGTCGGGATCGATCACGCTCCAAGACAAGGCCAGCAAGGTCGCCGATTGTAGCATGAAGTCTCTCGCGGGATCTCCAGTGACGGCCGCCACGAAAACGCCGGGATCGAATACCCTCCAAGACAAGGCCAACAAGAAATCCACAGAGGCAACTCTACGTTGCTTCAAGAATGGCATTCCAGTCGGCTTGAGTGGCCTGCTCTCCTCATCCAATGATCCATTCTTTCAGGGTCGGGAGTGGACAGCGAGCAGTCCTCCAAATGCCACCAAACCAACCGTTGAAGATTGCAAGTACGAATCGTTGAAGAAGAAGCCTGAAATGCCCCATAGCCTCTATCCAAGCATGAAGTATGCGAAAAACCCGGCGCTATATGATCACACACGAAGCTCCGCGAAGGCTCTTCGCCGAAGCACTATTCCATGTTGCGAGTCTTCTACCGACCTGCAAATGGGGACGTGGACATCACTGGCGGGACTTGCCCTCAGTGCGAAGAGCAGCCGCCGAAACTCCATCGCAGGCTGTGTTCAGAGCAGCAGTAGCCTACTCGAATCCCATCCTAGTCGGAGTATGATGAAGTACTTGTATGGTGCCGCCATCAAGAAGGGCATTGCACCTGGACATACCGTTGTCTAGCTGCCAGCGGACAAACATCATGGAAACTTGCTTATCGGACCTACCGACCTTCCGGTACCATAACATTGAATAATTCAGAAGCTACGTGCGATCTACAGCTAAAATGCAACCTTGCAATACTGAACAAACGCTTTAGAGTGCATCATCTTGATTTGACTTCATTTCCTGCCGCCATCTAGATAACATAGCTTTGGTCGTATTCAACCTTTCGAAGTACGAATTTTCAACCAAGCTTGGGATGCATAACTTAAAAAGCTACTTGTAGCTAGCTAGCTTCGCTACTGTTTTAGCGGTACTTCAGTAGTATAGGATGTCTACCTGTAAGGCTTTGATAGTGATCGGGAGATTACTTTGGGTGTGAAAGGTGGGTGGCCACGGTAATCGCACCGGTAGGTCGAAGGCACAGCGCAGACTTTGATAGCCAATGCGACCGGTCATCAGAACCCAGCAAAGCTATTATGAAGCTCCACAAAATCCTTTCGCACCAAGCAAATGACCAACATGGGCGGTAGCAAGTGGCAAGCATAATCTGGAATCCAAATCCTCGAAGTACAGAAGACGATGGCGTCGACCACTACCAGTACCGTCTCCAATAGAAAGCCGTCCAAGAGACGGTATCAGAACATCCCTGGTCAAGAGGCTGGTGCAGTGGGTACGGAAGATGAAGCTCCCCTGTCACTTACAACATCATCAGTTGAAGAACATGGCGAAGAATCTCGAGATTTGAATGTACATACCGCAAACATCTCGAACGAAATGTCCATTGACGACGCTATCGATCGCCTAGGCATGGGTATTTTTCAGTACCGAATCTTGATCGCTGCTGGGCTGTGTTTTGCAGCCGATGCGATGGAGGTTCTGTTGCTATCATTTTTGTCGATTGTCTTGCAGGAAGAGTGGGGTTTGAGCAATGATGAAACTGCGTTCATCACCTCCATATTATTCGCGGGAGCATTGATCGGAACATCCATCCTTGGTCCACTTTCTGACAAGTGGGGTAGACGTCCCGTTTTTCTCCTAGCGGCAACTCTGATTGCTTTTTTCGGGATGGGCACGTCTTTGGCCCCAAATTATGAAGCCATTCTTGTGGTCTTCTTTTGTATTGGATTTGGAGTTGGAGGACTCACTGTTCCATTTGACACCCTGGCCGAGTTTTTGCCTTCGGAAGGCCGTGGTACAAACTTGCTCCTTATTGAATATTTCTGGACCATTGGGTGCCTTTTGGTGATCGTCTTTGCTGAGTTGACCCTGGCCCATGGAAAGGCCAACTGGAGACTATTTGTCATCTTGTGCTCAATCCCATGCTTCGTCTCCATTATTGTTGGACACCTTTGTGTACCTGAGAGCGTGCGGTGGCTAGTCAGTGAAGGGAGAAATGAAGAAGCATTGCATATATTGAGACAAGCCGCCGTCACAAACAAGCTCACTGCCACAACTCCACTGACCCAAGACGACAGTAACGGTGAAGACGACAATTCTCATGTGGATGATGTGGACTTAATATTTCCCTTGGACACACAACTGACGAGCGACGAGGACCACAGTGCGGAAAACTCAGCTTCCTTCTTGGATCTTTTCAAGCCGCAATGGCGTGGCATCATGCTGAGAATCTGGGGAGCATGGGGCGGCTTTGGTCTTGGATATTATGGAGCCATAATGAGCATCACCCGTATTTTCGATTCGGAAGGAGCCGGGGAGGATGTCTGGACCAACTCTACCCTTCTAGATGCCAATGCTACTCTTGGTGGTGAGACAGATCACCTTCAAGTCACGGAGACGACAGACTTCGATTATTCGGCCATTTTCATCAGCAGTTCTGCAGAACTTCTGGGCACCACCCTTGTCATTGTTTTGGTGGACCGTGTGGGTAGGATTCCATCTCAGGTTGTCTGCTACGCGGGGGCAGGAGCCTGCATCTTCCTCATGTGCACGCTGGCATCCAGCGCCGACACTGCAGCTACTGCTGCCAGTGACCGCTGGGAACTGGTTGGGTTGGGTTTCCTGCTTCGAGCCTTGGACATGGCGGCGACTTGTACATCATGGGTGATGACAGCAGAAGTGTTGAGCACGGAAATTCGTGGAGTTGGACACTCGAGTGCAAACGCCGTAGCCAGGCTCGGGGCTTTCTTTTCTCCCTTTCTGGTTGATACCCTTTCGTTGCGATCGTTGGGAATTGTGATGCTGATTGTGCACTGGTTCGCAGCAGCTTGTGTCTCCCAGCTTCCTGAAACCAAAGGAGCACGAATGGGCGGTGGGGGTGAGACCGAAACCATTTCCAGTCTTCAACTTGTTGAAACCACAGATCGATTGGCACACCATAACCACGACGCCGCAGACGGTCCTGCATCAAGTGAACCAGATGGGCTCTTTGTGATTGACGACGAGAACGGCGACGAGCCCATTACGCATGGAAACGGACCAGAGATACGGATCCTAACTTAAGATCTGGAGTTTTGCGACTACCTACTACCTAATAGTAGCCTACTGAATGTAGCTGGAAAGATGGATCGGACGCATGGTTGCTGCAATACAGAAGAGATTGCAGATACTGCCATGCTGCCTGCTCTCGGATAGGCGAGGCCTTCAAGTCTTCACTTTCTTCTCTAAAAGACAATGCGGTTAGAGTGGACTACAGGTGGGTATGGACGCCAGAGGTCAAGTGTAGCATTTTTTCCGTAGTGATTTCCCTAATCCAGCCGGACCCGCCTAGCTAGCTAGATCTGTTCCACTCTTTGTATTGGGCGGAATGAGTACACATACCCCCGTTTTAGTTGCGTGCATGGTGTGGGTCTAAAACGACCAGTAGTAGAAGTACCGTGCTTCATGTTGTAGTATGTGGAGCTTGGAACTTGGAAACTGCTTTTTAAAAACCTGCAACTCAAACATTTGCTAGGATCAGCCCAACAGCGAGAATGGTCCGACAGGGAGAATTTTGTGGAGAACCCCCGGAACACATGGGAACATCTGACCGTTTCACAATCTTTTTTGAATGACGATTTACTGGAGGGAGTTTCTGAGCTCTCGGAGAGCTTTTGAACCTGCCTTCTTCACGTTTGTTCCTGTTGCTCCCATCTCTCATTTTTGAGCTATCAAGTAAGCTGACAGTAACACCTTCCCAGTTTAAGCAATCTAGACATCACAGTAGTACCTTGAGATACCAGATATATAATTTGGACGTGCCCGTCACAGTGGCAGTATCGGATTGTTTATATTCTAGCTTTGGGAGCTACGAACGGCCAGCAAAGTAGGGCTGCCACCTTCTGGCCATTTTTCTGCAACCACCAGGTCGACTTGCCTCTGGCATCACTACAGACATTGTTTGGCCTGGAATGGCTCCATCTACCGGCATGCGCCCCAAAAAATCTGGAAAGGTTACAGCTATCACTCCAACTAAAAGTGTGACAACTAAAATTGATGCTAGTGTGGCGTCTTTTGGACAGCTATCTGAAACAAAGAAAACAGTGGCAGAGGCAGAGAAGGTTTTAGCTGATGTACAAACTGTACTCAATACTCGCAATCCCTCTAGAGCACAAAAGAGGAAAGCTAATGAGGAGCTTACCACTGTCCGTCAGTACTTGAAGCAGACTTCTTCCAATATGCACCAAAATCTCAAAAAACTCTCTCCCATGGCTGGTTTTGGTGACCGCTCACTCAGTATTATGGTCAAAGTGAACCAAGTGATCACACCAGCAATGAGACAACAACTTCCTTCCACTCCATTTGAGAAAGTTAGTGCTGTGGTTGTTGATACTTCTAATGCAACTACTCCCAGTGCACTAAAGAAAAACAAATCACCATCACACCAAACCAGCAAACCGGTAGAATCATTGAGATTTCTTGCTCCACCCCCGACTAATGGAGACATGTACAATCGACGTGAATGCTTGACTGTTATCACCTCTTACAAGAAGAGCAGCCGTCAACGAGGCCATGTCATCAAGGAAATATTGGATCGGAAGCTTGTGCCGGTTAATCAACCCAGCCTCTATAAGGTAGTGAAGAAGTTTGAGCTTCACGAGCAGCATGGAGGCACTATTGACACCTTCCCCAATGATATCTGGCACGTTAATAAGGGAAAGTCTCCCTTTATCTCTCCACAATCTGTGAATGAGATTGTGGAGGAAATATCAGCCCAGCCAAGGAGAGCATTCGGCAGAAGTCAAATCAAGGACAAACTATTGGAAAAGAAGAGAGCTGAGCTTGCCAAGGATGGTCAAGTTGCTTTACGAGAATCTATTATCACACCTGGCCGAAAGACAGTAAAAAGATACACAAATGCTATTGCCGGACTGAATAGCTCTGTCAAAAAGGCTGTTCACAAAACAGAGACTCGTCTTACTGCCGAGTTATCTTGGCGATCCACAGCTGCCTTTGCGACGGCGGTTTGCTTCTCTCAATTCAGGGTAGTGGAAACTTTGACGCCGTCGATTGCAACGTTCTTGAAAAATGCTACCGAATCTGAAATGTTTTGTTACGATGTGGTCAGTCAATGCAACAAAAATTCGCCATTGCAGCCAATTCTTGCTGCGCTACTCATTTCCATGGACGATACCGGAGAGTATGCAATTGAGGGCTTGAACAGTGAGGTTTCTGACGATGCTTTTGTCACGGGACTTTCAAGCCATGATACTAATACTGGAGTGAGAGCAATCTACACCACAGGCCCAGCTCCAGTTACCTTTACTGGGCAACGAGTTAAATCAACAAATTTGATGACCGCTGCTGGGCAATGTGGGCCGATATGGATTACAATCACTGGACTGAACGAGCGAGAGCTCCAGAAAGACAAATGTCCAGAGGGTGTTCTCGTTTTGGATATCGCTGGACTGTGCATTGGCGGAGGCGGGGTTACCGTTGGTCGCGAGAATTCTGGCTATGTTGTGTTCATACGCAATGACAATGACAAACAAACTGATAAGGTCAAGTGCCGGCATTTTATTGAGGACTGTCTCCTACCCTGGATTGACGATATCCGGGTTCAATTTGGTTGGAAGAGGGGGACACCAATTCCCGATGATTTGACAGCCGTCGCATGGTGCGATGGTGATCTGGCGCAACTAGCCACCATTGGCGAAATAGAGACTCTCCAAAAGTATCGAGATCGAAAGGTCCATGCCTGCAAGCAGTCGGCTGCTCGAACCGCAACAGAACAAGCAGCCGACCTGAGTCCCAAGTTTCGTAACGAGAAAGCCTATGGGAAAACACTTACCAATAAGCATATAGCACCTGCTGCTTTTCCTTTCAAAAGGAGTGTTTGCAATACTTTCGAGGAGGCTGGAAATGACTATGGCCTCAACCTTCCCTCTCGAAAGATTAATGCCTTGATTGACTATATATCCAAACAACCTACGGTTCAAACAAAGGTATCATCATCACAGAATATTGCTGCCGGCTTCTATGAAAATGGAATGATTTCCCGGGCAAATAGAACTGCTCAATATGCCTTTCCATGTATCGATGGTCTGATAGCCACCTGTGGCAAACAAATGCCTACGGAAGATGTGGACAACTTCAAAACTCTGTTCCCTAAATTGATGACAGAAGTGATCCAGCATGGCCATATTAATGAGACGGTATTTGATGATATGAGTTTTCCCATGGACAAGGATTCCACAGGACAAGATGTACCGAAGCATCAGGGCATCAGTCAAGAATGGCGCCAACGAGCTAAGATTCTCGATCATGAATATCAGATAGGTCTTAGAGCAGCAAAAACTCTACAGGCTCAATCAAAACTTGATCAGCAGTCTAAAAAGGAAATGACTAAATATGAGAATCTTGTGGCCAGCAATGAAGCATGCGAACAAAAGCTGGGAGCAAGCTTTAAAGCAATACAATTAGGTGTTAGTATACAACTAATGATTAGTAGATAAAGGCTACTTGTAACTCTGTCATTGATAGCTGGCTACCTAGCTATCTACCTAGCAACAGTGGGTGCACACATGCAAACACGTCACGGAGATTCTTAATAACAAGGACTTTTAATTTTCATTTTTGCGCATTTTACACTTTTTTGGAGTTTTTATTTATGTACAGGCTGGTTTCGCTGTGTCCGCGCGAAAATGATCTACCTGGTACGAACAGGGAGAAATTCTCTCTGTTGGGCTGATCCTAGTTTGGGTTAGGGTGTAAAGCTCCCTCCTCATAAAGGACACCGGAGGTGTAATAGATATACCGGGCGAGCTGAATTAAAAGATGGACCGGCATAGTAATATTGTTGAAGTTTGGCTGAAGGTAGTGTCATTAGATTTTTCCATCTGAGAAAGAGGCGTGGTAGCTTACGGGAGTTTGAAGGTGTGCAACATGATGAGACGTTAGATTTTTCCCTCTGAGAAAGAGGCGTGGTAGCTTACGGGAGTTTAGAGGTGTGCAACATGAGACGTTAGATTTTCCGTCTGAGAAAGAGGTGTGGTAGCTTACGGGAGTTTAGAGGTGTGCAACGTGAAATGTTAGATTTTTCCGTCTGAGAACGAGGCGTGGTACCGGTAGCTTACGGGAGTTTAGAGGTTTTTCCGTCTGAGAAAGAGGCGTGGTCGCTTACGGGAGTTTAGAGGTGTGCAACGCTAACCCTAAGGATAAAAACCAACCAAAACCAACCAAACGACCACCACAATAAAGGACACCGGAGGTGTAATAGATATACCGGGCGAGCTGACTTAAAAGATGGGCCGGCATAGTAATATTGTTGAAGTTTGGCTGAAGGTAGTGTCATTAGATTTTTCAATCTAAGAAAGTGGCGTGGTAGCTTACGGGAGTTTAGAGGTGTGCAACATGAGATGTTAGATTTTCCCATCTGAGAAAGTGGTGTGGTAGCTTACGGGACCTTAGAGGTGTGCAACGTGAGACGTTAGACTCTTCCATTTTAGAAAGTGGTGTGGTAGCTTACGGGAGCTTAGAGGTGTGCAACGTGAGTGATTTTTCCATCTGAGAAAGTGGCGTGGTAGCTTACGGGAGCTTAGAGGTGTGCAACGTGAGACGTTAGATTTTTCCGTCTGAGAAAGAGGCGTGGTAGCTTACGGGAGTTTAGAGATGTGCAACGTGACGTGGTAGCTTACGGGAGTTTAGAGGTGTGCAACGTGAGACGTGAGATTTTTCCATCTGAGAAAGTGGCGTGGTAGCTTACGGGAGCTTAGAGGTGTGCAAATGTGAGGAAAATATTCAGGATCCGTTGCTATAAAAGAGAATGTGTAAGAAATGTGGGGGCCCAAGAGGGGGCTTCGTTTTTAGATAAACTCTAACCCTAAGGATAACCAACCAACCAAAACCAACCACCACCACAAAAAGGACACCGGAGGTGTAATAGATATACCGGGCGAGCTGACTTAGTAATATTGTTGAAGTTTGGCTGAAGGTAGTGTCATTAGATTTTCCGTCTGAGAAAGAGGCGTGGTAGCTTACGGGAGCTTAGAGGCGTGCAACATGAGACGTTAGATTTTTCCGTCTGAGAAAGTGGCGTGGTAGCTTACGGGAGTTTAGAGATGTGCAACGTGAGACGTTAGATTTTTCCATTTTAGAAAGTGGTGTGGTAGCTTACGGGAGTTTAGAGGTGTGCAACGTGAGACGTTAGATTTTTCCTTCTGAGAAAGTGGCGTGGTAGCTTACGGGAGCTTAGAGGTGTGCAACGTGAGACGTTAGATTTTCCGTCTGAGAAAGAGGCGTGGTAGCTTACGGGAGCTTAGAGCTGTGCAACGTGAGACGTTAGATTTTTCCATCCGAGAAAGTGGCGTGGCAGCTTAGGGGAGTTTAGAGGTGTGCAATGTGAGGAAAATATTCAGGATCCGTTGCTATAAGAGAATGTGTAAGAAATGTGGGGGCCCAAGAGGGGGCTTCGTTTTTAGATAAACTCTAACCCTAAGGATAACCAACCAACCAACCAACCACCACAATAAACGTGTTCAGAGATCACCGGGGTTTGCCCGGTATATTAAACATGTTCAGAGATCACTGGGGTCTGCCCGGTATATAAACGGGGTCAGAGATCACTGGGGTCTGCCCGGTATATTTGTGTTCTCTTTGGGCTGCTGCATGTTACAACTGTGGGTTGTGGAAACTCAAGATCAATGATGAGCAGACAGCCAATGCCATACCGGTAATAAGGACAGATAGAGCAGTACGGTAGTAGATCACTAGAAGAGTTATCAGCACCAATCATCAACCATGGGTCAAGGAGCTTCAACACCTGCAGAACCACCTCAACCAGTAAGATTTCCTGATTTCTTCTCATACAAGTAGTGTGGGGTGTGGGCGCCACTTCGGACAATACATGCATTTTCCCAGGAACTCTTTTCCTCTCACACACTTCAATGCCTGCCCTTTCTCGATATACGGTACAGAAAATGCCAAGTTTGGCGCGCAGCGCCAAGTTTTGCACGAGCTCCAGGAAGGGGAGGAGGAAGAGAGAGGAGAGCTAGCTAGCTAGCAGAGTACTGCACTCACTCAGAACAATAGCATGAACTCACTCAGAACAATAGCATGAAATGCAATGCAAAGCAAGGCGAGGAGAGAATATCTTCATCCTTGCAACTTATGCTTGTTGGTTGTTGTTGGCTGTGGTTCTGGTGTTGCAACCAGCTACTGGTACCGGTAGCTGGAAACGATTTTGGTTTGTGGAGCTCACCCTGGATCTGCCAAATGTGCCAAACTAAAACACTTCTTTTGCAGTAGTTGTCTACATGGCAACTCTGCTTTTCTGATCAGAATGGAAAATGCGTAGCCATAAGTCTTTTGCACTAACTTTGGCACCACCCAAAGCAAAGATCCAAGCCAAAAGAGGGAGACCAACAAGGCCACCACGCCACAACAGTGTCTCTAGCTAGCCGTTGCAGAACTGATAACTGAAAGCAAAACACAGATTGACGGGTCGTTACGGGTCGAGTCGTCGAGACGATCGCGACAGCCTCAGTCAAACCGGTTGCTACCACCATTATGATGTCTACTCGAGTACATGTATCTGAGATCCGGTTTTCCTGAGCAACCGTTGAGCAGAGAATGTCATACGCCGTTCTTGCTTTTTCTTCTTGGGTTTGGAAATATCATTGTTGAGCCTATCGATGGCTACGGAGAACAAGAGGAGGAGAGGCTGCTGTCGATCGATCTCTAGGAGACTGTGAACTCCAGCCCCGACTTCTCGAGATCCCTTATTGAATTCCTATGGTAAACAGGAGAAGAAATCCAAGCTTGACCGACAAGACTGTCAACAGGTGAGCGAGTCGGATTTATACGAATTATGATTCAATCGAGTCGATTGATCGCACCTCTATTATCAAGCCACAGTCAAGCGACCGAGTTTCAGCCGATCCGCTGCACCCCTACTCTCATGCGGACCGTCGCTGTTACAGAACTGAAAGCCATGAAAAATTAGAATTGTATGGACCATGGGATGGCAGTAGTGCCTCGGCCACTGACAGTCAAGAAGCTACACGACAACACACAAGAGAATGGATTCTTCTCATGAAAGGCTTTGAAATTGAACTCAGAATGCAAGAGAATCGCCGCAGCTTTGGCTGAATTTCCTACGAAAATCCTCGAAATCCAGTCGCAAAATTCCTTGTCTTCCGACGACTGAATGGTCAACAGGAGGCTACCGGTACACGACCGACAACACACAAGCACAGAGGAGAGTGGATATGTTCCTCGTATTAGATTCACCCTCCTTGTCATTTCCTAGTGTTCGGTTGGTGAGCTTCACGGGGGGTTAGAGTAGGTTGGCAATCTATCTGCTGAAGCCAGCAACAGGGGGGTACACAACAACTCGCACCTTGAATGCACAGAGAAGAGTGGATGCCCCCATTGGATTCACCCCTCCTTGAATATTTCCTAGTGTGTTGGTGGTGATCCTGTGTTGGTATTCTTTTTCCTGGATGCACAAGTCCTCGGGGACTTGGTGACGTTGGCTAACTAAGTCAAAGATTTGGTGGTCTCACTCTGTAGGAGCATGTAATAGATTAGATTAAATAGAATATTCTTGCATTGTTAATCAAATGGACCAGACCTTGGCCGTCTCTGCCACGTTGTGTGGGCGCTTGCCATGGTACAGTACGGTACGGTATGGTACTGATATCGTTCGAGTGTGGCTTTGGCACTCTGGATGTCATCTTGATATGCTGTACGCGAAAACGCTTCATGTGCTGTCTTTTCAGCTCTACCGTACAGTCCTGTTTTGCAAAACTTCTTTGCCAATTACCCCTCCATTCATAGGGTTAATGCAAAACTTGTACGTCCTGAGCCAGAAAATGCCAAGTTTGGCGCGCAGCGCCAAGTTTTGCACGAGCTCCAGGAAGGGGAGGAGGAGAGAGAGGAGAGCTAGCTAGCTAGCAGAGTACTGCACTCACTCAGAACAATAGCATGAACTCACTCAGAACAATAGCATGAAATGCAATGCAAAGCAAGGCGAGGAGAGAATATCTTCATCCTTGCAACTTATGCTTGTTGGTTGTTGTTGGCTGTGGTTCTGGTGTTGCAACCAGCTACTGGTACCGGTAGCTGGAAACGATTTTGGTTTGTGGAGCTCACCCTGGATCTGCCAAATGTGCCAAACTAAAACACTTCTTTTGCAGTAGTTGTCTACATGGCAACTCTGCTTTTCTGATCAGAATGGAAAATGCGTAGCATAAGTCTTTTGCACTAACTTTGGCACACCCAAAGCAAAGATCCAAGCCAAAAGAGGGAGACCAACAAGGCCACCACGCCACAACAGTGTCTCTAGCTAGCCGTTGCAGAACTGATAACTGAAAGCAAAACACAGATTGACGGGTCGTTACGGGTCGAGTCGTCGAGACGATCGCGACAGCCTCAGTCAAACCGGTTGCTACCACCATTATGATGTCTACTCGAGTACATGTATCTGAGATCGGTTTTCCTGAGCAACCGTTGAGCAGAGAATGTAATACGCCGTTCTTGCTTTTTCTTCTTGGGTTTGGAAATATCATTGTTGAGCCTATCGATGGCTACGGAGAACAAGAGGAGGAGAGGCTGCTGTCGATCGATCTCTAGGAGACTGTGAACTCCAGCCCCGACTTCTCGAGATCCCTTATTGAATTCTATGGTAAACAGGAGAAGAAATCCAAGCTTGACCGACAAGACTGTCAACAGGTGAGCGAGTCGGATTTATACGAATTATGATTCAATCGAGTCGATTGATCGCACCTCTATTATCAAGCACAGTCAAGCGACCGAGTTTCAGCCGATCCGCTGCACCCCTACTCTCATGCGGACCGTCGCTGTTACAGAACTGAAAGCCATGAAAAATTAGAATTGTATGGACATGGGATGGCAGTAGTGCCTCGGCCACTGACAGTCAAGAAGCTACACGACAACACACAAGAGAATGGATTCTTCTCATGAAAGGCTTTGAAATTGAACTCAGAATGCAAGAGAATCGCCGCAGCTTTGGCTGAATTTCCTACGAAAATCCTCGAAATCCAGTCGCAAAATTCCTTGTCTTCCGACGACTGAATGGTCAACAGGAGGCTACCGGTACACGACCGACAACACACAAGCACAGAGGAGAGTGGATATGTTCCTCGTATTAGATTCACCCTCCTTGTCATTTCCTAGTGTTCGGTTGGTGAGCTTCACGGGGGGTTAGAGTAGTTGGCAATCTATCTGCTGAAGCCAGCAACAGGGGGGTACACAACAACTCGCACCTTGAATGCACAGAGAAGAGTGGATGCCCCATTGGATTCACCCCTCCTTGAATATTTCCTAGTGTGTTGGTGGTGATCCTGTGTTGGTATTCTTTTTCCTGGATGCACAAGTCTCGGGGACTTGGTGACGTTGGCTAACTAAGTCAAAGATTTGGTGGTCTCACTCTGTAGGAGCATGTAATAGATTAGATTAAATAGAATATTCTTGCATTGTTAATCAAATGGACCAGACCTTGGCCGTCTCTGCCACGTTGTGTGGGCGCTTGCCATGGTACAGTACGGTACGGTATGGTACTGATATCGTTCGAGTGTGGCTTTGGCACTCTGGATGTCATCTTGATATGCTGTACGCGAAAACGCTTCATGTGCTGTCTTTTCAGCTCTACCGTACAGTCCTGTTTTGCAAAACTTCTTTGCCAATTACCCCTCCATTCATAGGGTTAATGCAAAACTTGTACGTCCTGAGCCAGAAAAAGCAAAAGGTGGGGATCAAGACAGGAAAGCCAATCTGCTGTTGTTGCCCAGAAACGAAGAAACCTCGTGATGAGTGCGTTGTGTTCAAAGGCGAGGAGCATCCTGATTGTATCAAGCTGATAGAAGCACACAAAGCATGTCTTCGAGCTGAGGGATTTGATGTGAAATAAATATGCTATCAACGAGATGACGACAAGGTACACAATATCTGAATAATAATGGATTAATTCATTCATCTACTAGGATTGTTTGAAAAGTTGGTCCGAGATGCGCCCTCAGACCAGGCTAATAGCAACTCTTTATAGCTGTTCAGATGCTGCCATCTGGGATGATTCCCAGTCAATATCACTTCTTCCAATTGAGCGCTTGAATTCAGCAAGTGTAGATTATATAGTTTGCTTTGTTGCATTCTTATCAAAAAGAGGTCCGAGTAGATTGTTGCTCAAAAGTGGAGATAATTTGTAGTGATGTTGTCACTGTTATACCTCTTCCATTGGAGTAGTACTCTCCGTGGCAGCCGCTTGACCCCCTGCAGCCGGAGTTCCAGTTGCCGCGGGCAGTCCGGGCAAGCTAGCTACATGCGTTTTCTTGAATTCTACCAACACGGGGTACAGTTTTGTGAGCGCATCGCTCAAATCCGACTCTTTCTTGGCACCAGTAATGACAACCTTGCCACTGACAAATATCAGGAAGACAACCCGAGGTCGAACCAGTCGATAAATGAGCCCTGGGAAGAGTTCAGGTTCATAGCTTGCAAAGGCTGAGTGGGCATAGACGAGCCCCTCTAATCGAATGGGAAACCCACAATCCGCAGTTCCTGATGAATGCAAATAAATAGGATAATAGAGGACAGTGGGAGTGAGACAAATTTTTTAATTTTCACATCGAACATGGATGTCAACCCTTTGATGGCTGCCCGAAAAAGAAGAAAAAAGTAGCCACTTACCCACAATATTTTGCACCTTGAAGTCAATGATATCATGGGGTTTGAATCCCACTCGCTCCACGACGTAGGCAAACTTTTTGGATGCCAAGGTAGCATTGTGAGTCGATTTGACCCCCGTGACAACCATTTTCCCACTGGCAAAGATCAGAGCCGTGGCCCGAGGCTCTCTTAATCGCATAATGACAGCACCAAATCGTCGTGGATTGAATTCTGTGTTGCGGCATTTCAGGGCAATCTTTTTCAAATCGAGGGGGACACCTAGGTTGGCCGTGGACGCGATATTTTGAATGCGAATGAGCAGTTCGTTTCCGGACAAGACATCTTGCGCTTTTACTACGGATCCTGCCACGCTGGGGGTATGATCCGATGCTTCCGCAGCTGTTGCCGATGCTGCCAATGCTTCGCCGCCAGGAGTAGGAGACCCTTTGCCACCAGTAGTGGGAGGCATGGTGATTCTATTGAGAGATAGTAGAGTGCTCTAGCTAGTTCTTTAGTACTGTAGTAAAGTCCTGGCCAGATAGTGTGACAAGAGTTTGACGAGCGTTTGAGCGACAGCTGCCGAAATCGATAAAATTATTATGATAAAATTATTGGAAATCCTCGAGCGGAAATTGAGACGACGACGAGACATGGTTAAAAGCGCTGATGAGAAATGAATTTGCACTCTCACAAAATCTCCTCTACGTAGCTACCTAGCTAGGTAGTAACTAAACCGGCTAATGCTCTAACGATGATGGATGGCATGCAACCTTTTGAAAAGTAAATGTAACATAGTCACGTACGAAGACATACAATCAACAATTCTGTTTATTCTATAAAGCTAGAGTGCCCACTCATCAATCGCCGGCAACCGTTCGTTTTGCAATAGACTTTCCGTACGTTCATGTTGGTTGTCATCATTATTCTCCCCATCGCTGCTGTTGTGGGTAGACGACGTATTCGAATGTCGATAGAGGAAATAGTGTTGCGTCATGAAAATCAAATCGAAAATCACCGATACAGATCCTAGTGTCAACTTGGCAAGGTTTCCAGTAATTCCAGTCCAATCCTTCATAGCGGCACAATCCAGAACCAACTGCAAGTCGCTCAAGGTTCCACCAGTGAAATCCAAGATAATATTCCAGATACTCCACCCCACGGTGGATTGTCGTTTGTAGTTGAGAATCACTTGTGGTACGTACTTCATCAATGTCACCAATACTTTGATATTTCCCAACATGTATAGATAATCCAACCATTGCATTTTGGGAACCGCCACTACCAACAGGGGGCAGGAAACCATGGCTGCGAGGAATAGAGAAGCCACAATTTGGATGACTTTGGAGGGACGAGATTGTTGGGTGCGATATCCATTGTAGTATCCAATCTGAGCAAACGTAATGGACGCAAGACAAAAAGCATGGACTGCAAAGGCAACATCATTGGATTGCACCGATATTTCGGCATCCGGTCCGTTGCGTTCGCGGTATTGTCTCTGAATGGCAGGGCTGCAATAGAATCCCAAATTATAGATCATGTAGCAAGTGAAACCAATGACATTAAGACCACAAAAATCAGGACTTAATCCCAGCGTTGATTTGCGTCGGTAATTGCTGATGACTTGTGGATAAAAGGAGACGGACCAACTCATAAAGTAGGTATAACCAATAGCGTTGCTCAGGAACCGATAGAACTTGGTTGGGAGGGACGGATCACCCGGTAGAATGGCACCCAGAATGGTACCTATAAAAGCTAGCACCATGATACCGTGCACTACCGGCCACCCCGTTCCTTGTTCGTCCATCAATATGGTCGTGAAGGTTGTCACGACACGGCGGTACCATCGCATCCAACGTCGTCTTTGGCTGTCGCGAGTGTCATCTGATGATGTTCCCAATAACGGGGTATCGATTTCGGGAGCATCTTCCTGTTGCTGCAACAAGAGGCTGTCTTGTGGGGATTCTGATTCCGTCTGAAGAGGTGCTTCCATCGTCTATTAAAGAAGTGTAGTAGTAGCAGTAGTAGTAGTAGTGGGTGTCAAGCTATTACTGTAGATCTAATGGAGCTCTCGGATGCTGCTCGGAGCTTGGAGGGTTGATTGCGGGTGATCTAAGAGCAGTCACTAAAAAATAGGTCGCACCCAATATTGGTCGATTGGTTTTTGGCTGGAACCCAAATCGCAACCTATTCAGTCACTAACTCATTTCGGTCGAGATTTAGGTTGCGACCGAAATCGACCGGTCGTTCCACTGGTCGATTCAAGGTCACTTTGCGACCAGTGGATCGACCAGGTCGCTGTTTTGGTTGTAGCCACAAATCCCTCAAATTGGTTCTTTTTTAAAGAACTCACTCATTGCACAGCCTCACTATCAGAGCATCGCGACAGAGCTGATAGAGTAGAGGTGCAATCGATCCTCTTCTTCGATCGATCTTTGAACAAGGGCAGGTCACCGGTTTTCTTCAGTACAGCACAGAAAGCAAAAGCCATACCTATTTGTTGTTTTCTCTGCTGCACTGCCGACGGCCGATGAAATACCATTGCGTCGAGTCCTTTTCGAACGAACGAACGAACGAAGTAATCACTTTCGTTAAGTCTTTGTTTGAGTTCGTTAAATCCAGTACTGTAGTGTTTGTTTAGTCAGTGTTTGTTTTGAGTCTTATTATCTCCAAAGATTAATCACTTCTGTTAAGTCTTTGATCAGCCTGTTAAATCTTTTTAAGTCCTTTTTAAGTCCTTTAAGTCCAGTACTGTTTCGGCGACCTATTTTGCAACCGAAATTTTAGTGATTGAATTGGTCAATTAGGTATCAGTCGACCGATATGGCGACCCAATTTTAGTGAATGAAAAAGGTCGCCGTTTGGGTCGACCAGATGGGTATCTATTTGGGAACGACCAATAGTGCGACCTATATTTTTAGTGACTGCTCTAAGATTTCGTCATTTCGGTTCTTCTGATGTTTCTGCTCTTTAAATCTTTCCATTATTTAAAGCATTAGCATAGTGCAAGCTGACGTCAGTTTGTACGCATGTGGGAGACAAACAACAAGAATTCGGCAAATGCTTCTCAAAATTGCCCTCCCGGACCAATCAACAATGATGTGGCGTCTGACGACAAAGGACGCATTGAACCTGCTTGTATGATTGCATCGCTTCCTGCTGCCACTTCGCTTTCCCGAGTGATGGCTCAATTAATTATAAGTTTTTCTTTTTGGTGCAGCAGTGACCGAAGAATTTGAGGGTATTCATTCAATTGCAAGTCGCAAGCAAGCAAACAAAGCTTTGTGTTGAAACCGAAAATGAAAATGAATCTCCAAATAATGGCCATGCCGTCGCTGTTTTCCAGACTATTGATCCTTGCCTCCTTGGCATCATTTCAGGTGGTTGCGTTTGGGACTCCCAGTTTCGGTCGTACCAGTACCAGTAGCAGCACTAGCAGACCTTCTTCAGTCAGTACCGTCGATTTCTCGGATGGCCATTTGTCTTCCTTCTGTAGCGTGGAACCCAGTTCACAAGACGTGCAAAGCGGGTCGCTCTTTGAAAATACCGTAAACTCCGTCAAGACAAGAGCCGAAGTGGGCCTCACAGGTCCAGCAGAAGAAATCAGACGACCTGTGACCTTTGTCAGTCCCAGATTTCAATGCTTCATTGAAGACACAGACTCCTACGGGGTCATGTACCATGCCAACTACCTAAGAGCCTACGATAGAGCCTTGCACTCCATGTTCATGATCAACGACAATAGTTTGAACGATGTCATCAATTCATGCACTAGCATGGCACCGGACGGGGCAGACATTGGAGGTTTCAAGAATAAACAAGACCATGAAGCTCTCATGGTGGACACGTATGCTGACTGGTCCATTGTCAATGTGGAACATCAAAAATTCAACAAATCACCACCCCTGGGAGGAACCTTTGTGATTCATGGAACCATGATTGAGCAACCCAACAAGGAACGAGAGGTATGGGATTTGTACATGCGAGAACATGAACACCCACAGTCTACACTATTCAACTTTGCACGGGTCACCATTGCCCGCCCAGGCGTCTTTATCCCACCCGATAATATTGTTGCGGATATTGCAGAGGATCAAGAAGCCGATATTATTCAGACCAAGGACATGTTCTGGCTCTACCGCGATGAATTTGATGCACATTATCCCACTCATTTGCCGCTTCGGAATGCACTCTGTCTCTTTGAACGATCCAGAAGCAACCTCCTCGGTGGACCAGAACGCCTCCGAATGCTCAAGGAACGAGACAATCTTGTCTTTGTCGTCACCAAAATCAACGATTGTTGCAAATTCCCCGCATCACCAGGGAATGGAGAAGTGGCTGATCTAAAACCAGGCAACCTCGTGCACATTGATACAGATTTCGACGTGCGAATGAATGGAAAGATTATTGATTGTCATCAAACGCTCTATGCCGATGATCGACCTGTGGCACAGGCAACCGTCACACTCATGACACTCAACGCGGAAACATTCAAGCCAAGCTCGGACCTGCCCGAATGGTTGAGAGACGTACTGGAAGGCAGGGTAAAGCCAGGAGAAGTTTATGGAGACGACTACGACCAAGTCGCGCCAACCTACTTGGATGCAAAGACTGCCTTCTTGCCTCCTCAAGATAGCCCACAAGCATGATAGTGCCCACCAACGGCTAACCCAGTACGAGTGAATATGAGATGTACCGGTAACTGAATACAAGCGTTCCCTTGTGTAGTATGCGTCTCTAGTTTTTAGTTGAACAAAACCTGACTCGACTCCCCGACATTGCAAGGAGTGCATGAATCGGATCGAATATCGGCCTGCAAATACATGCACAAGCAACATCGTGATAGGCAACCTGAATCCTTTTTGCATTACGCATGTTTTAGCTAGTTCTTGTCCGAGTACAGTAGCAGGGCGGTTACATGTACTTTCGTCAGTGCAGCTACCGGTAACGAACCGCATGTATAGTGCCAGGTCGATGCGGATCCGGTCCAGGTTTTGTTCTGGGCTGCATGCAAGCGTCTTCGGAGCTGGTCCATGGTGGATTTGGCCTGGCGACGCTCCCTCCATTGCGGTTGGTATTAAAACAGCAGACGAACGTACCGGTATAGTAGAGTACATGCATCTATACGTGCTATACAAGTAGCTGTCTTTGGCATGGATGCAGGAATCACTCAACTGCCACTTGGAAAAGTAGCTGTCTTTGGCATGGATGCTGGAACCAACTGCCACTTGGAAAAGCTAGCTAGGCATCGTACCGCATGAAGTCTCGTACAGGTACCGGGATAGTTGGCTGGATCAGCTGCTTGCAAGATCAACGATGCGTTGCCATCATGCCTTTGATTCGATTCGCTTTGATGTGGAATGCCGACAACTATAACTGGCTAGTACGGTATTGATTGTCAACCAGACCGACGACGCGTGAACATGATGCCGGATGCAGCTCAACTGCAGAAACAAACTGGCTGGCTAGCATGGACGGTTGCTCAAGGGAGACGGTGTGCGAACCGATTTGACGCAAAAGTTTGGTGGGGTGGGCTGGGCGATGCTTCGGCTGGCTAACTAGCAAACGCCTACGACGGAGACCGTTTGTGAAATTGATAATTTGCAGTATTAAGTATTACAGCGTTCTCTGCAGACATAAAGGGTCGAGACAGCAGAACTTATTGTTTGTCAGCGTGAAATGGATCCTAATGGATTGCTTGTTTGTCGAATGTCAGCTAGTCATGAATGGTGGTCCCAGTAGTGGTGTTGTGGTGTAGTAGGCAGGGATGCGTCTTCGGGTCTTTCCATCTCTCGGTCATGGTGATTGATACAAGGATGAAGTAGTGGAGTGCGCGTGATGATTGATTGTTTTCAAGTGTCTTCTGTGAACAAACTGTAATGTTCATCTCATCATCCGCGTCAATGTTGAAAAATGGTTTCACAACAGAAAGTAGCAAGTACGTGTCGTAGTGGAGTGGTGGTTGCAGCAATGTACTTTTGGTCCGTGCAAAGGTAGCTACCGACCGTCTTCCCCAACGGGAATGATATCGCAGACAATGCCGTTTCGCTTGAGTTCATCGTGGTACATCTCTGCAATTTCAAAGACCCATCGGCCAACGACGGCAAGTCCAGTCTGATGAGCCTGCATCATGGTCTGGTAGGCAATCAACTCCGACATGCCAGTCACTTGAACCAACGATCGTGCCACATGCTCTCGAGTGTTGAGACCATCATTGTAGATGCGGACCTCCCAGTTCTCGTTCCCTTGCTGCTTTCGGTCGCGGGTGGGTTCCTTGGTAGTGCCTTCTTCCGTGCGTTCGAGGATTGCGGGCCCTCTGGTGATCACCGAATCTCTCTCTAGGATAGCGACACCCATGGCCAAGGAACTAGCAGAGGAGGCAGTCACTCCTCGTGACGAGAGTGTGGCAACAGGGGAGAATGCGGAAGCAGGTACCACCAACAGGACGGCAACAACCATGAAGAAGACGCGTAGGAAAGAGTTCATTGTGAAAGTGCGAGATGAATTGAATGAATCTACAGAAAAAGAGTGGCTTTATGTTCTCTAAAACACGCTTCGCAGCTCTCGGGGACTTCGGATTGTGGATGGAGGTGGGAAGGATGTTAGAAGAAACAAAGCAAGATCAGCAGCACTTGAGTTGTTCTTTGCTTTCCTCTGCTCGTTCTCACTCGGCGACGACTGTGATGGACGGACTGGTTGTGGTGTTGTTGCGATCTCCTGATGGCCCGTTCTCGTTCTTTGCCACTGTGCCCGAGTAGCAAGATAGGGCGGGCTAAATTTATAGAGCTGGCTTCTGGCAGTAGGTGGTAGTCTTATTAACCGCCTAACCGTCAGCACCCTCGAAAGAGGACCAAAAAAGGAGGAATGCCCTCGAGCTCTTATTTCTGGTAAAGCAGCCAAATGTTATATTTGAAACAATTCTACTGTAGTATTTTATACTCCGTAAACCTCGCCACCCCCAAAGCTAAAAAAATCTGCTTCGGTGGTGGATTTTGGTGGTGAGATTTTCCAACAAGGAGTGACTTACGTACTTCGGGTTGCTGATGGCTGTGAGTGGCCCTTGGGACCGGCAATACAAGTGCAACGTTAGCGGAATCTCGTGTACGTCAGGAGTTGAAGCTGATTGGCCATATCCTCGCACAAGGAACAACCGGCAGTCGTGGAGTAACATTCCCGCTCATTCCCTCCATGAAGGGCAAGCTGCCGCCATTCCAGAGTCCCTCGAGCTCCTTGCAGGGACAAGCTGCGCTAGCCCACATTCAACAGCTGGTTATGGTGTCAACACGATTAGAGGGGTTGAGGGTTGAGGGCAGGGAGTAGAGGGTTGAGGGCAGGGAGCAGAGGGCTCTGGCTAGCAGCTTGTTGTGGCTTATTGGAGCCTCCTTGTGGCTACAACGACACTGGTAACCACATCTCAACTCAATTCGAAAAATAAATGCAACCCTTGACCAAGCCCCACGTATGGTCCATTATATCCTCATGGTCCCATTCCAACCAGGCATGGGTCCAGATCCAGGTAGGTACAGGCCTGATACATTTGTATGTTTCCTTAATTAAGGTGGTCTCGCTAGGAGTTGTTCCTCCCTTGTTTGGGGCAGTCTAGTTCCAGAAACCAGCCCAGCCCAGCCCAGCCAAAGAGCTGAGGCCAGAAGCGGGTCCTGGTTGGACCATCCAGGAGTTGGCCCAGGTCAAGCTGTGGTTCCAGGTGATGGTCTTACATGTACGAGATACAGTGCACTTGTAGAGTTGGGCTGGGTATGGGCGGGTCAAGGCGGGAGTGGGTCTGAGAGGAGATCAGGTCTGAGGCTGGATGGTCCCAGCTCCAGGTATGGTGTGGCTGTTAGAGACAGGCTTAGTCAGAGTGTGCCCTGGAGTTGGTCCTGGGGATGGACCAGATGCAGCGCTGGAATGGAGCATGTAGATGGGCTAGGGTTGGTATAAGAACAAGAAATCCAGGATTCTTTAGTCCTGTTCTAGCTACATAATAATTGGCTCATGTGTGGCACCTGTCAGGTGTTGGGGTTTTTGTGTTGGTCCATCCTGGTGCAGGTAGCAGCATAGAGGTCGACTGTGGTAGGTACCGTATTGGAGTGGGGGTGGTGCGCACTGAGTTTGTTGAAAAAAGAGGGTTAGAGATTCCGGTTGTGCCCACGCCGCGTGCAAAGCAAGCTCTGTGACATCAAAAAATCAAAGAGGCACCAATCGAGGTCTACCGTATTCAGCTTGGACCAACAATAAAACCATGGCATCAGGGATCACTGCCGAGACCAGCCGATACTGTTTCCTCGACTTGGATTTTGATGATCACCGTGCCAAGCTAGCGACGGCTGCTGGTTTTGTGGATGCTACAGATACAAGATATGGTTTTACGTCCCAAGATCTTCGATTATTGGGTGGGTCTGAAATTAGTCGAGTCAAAGACTTGATTGCAACGGATCATGAGTGGAGCTCCAAGGCCACTTCGATTGGTGTGGAAACAAAACCTCCAGTTGGAGGGAATCGGGTAGTGGTGGAACTATACTGGGAAGTGGCTCCCATGGCAGCAGAGAACTTTGCCACGTTATGTGCCAATGGATCGATCATTCCAGGATCCAAAGACAAAAAGCCCAAGCCCGTTCCAACCGGATCGTCAGGCAAGCCGTTATCGTACCGAGGTTCGACAATGCATCGATGTGTTCCTGGTTTTGTGCTACAAGGTGGAGACTTTGTACTGGCCAATGGAAGTGGTGGCGAGTCCATCTACAATGGGAAAAAGTTCAAAGATGAACGCGCTGGTCTGAACCTCAAACATGACCAAAAGTACATTCTGTCCATGGGAAACAGCGGCAAAAATGCCAATTCATCACAATTCTTCTTCACTTTTGATGCTGCCCCGCAATGCGATGGCAAGCATGTCATATTTGGCCGGGCCATTAGTGGATTTGAGGTCTTGGACAAGGCAGAGACATTGGGAACACCAGGGGGAGACCCAACAGCAACAATACGCATTACCGATTGCGGGGTCTTTGGACCACTTGAGACACCAGGGGCTGGGTACTGGTACGACGCTCCTGATCCTGATTCGTTTTCAGGGGTGTCTCCAATCTTTATGGTTCTTCCTCGGGTTGCTGTGTTGGCGCCCAGCCAAGCAGTCCTGGAAAAGTTCCAAAAGGCCATGGGTGACGCAGCCATTGTAACGTTGGTATCCGCCGAAACATACAAAGAAGAAGATGCTCAAATCTCTCGATTGAATGAACTATTGGGATCCTTCTTTGTGGATGTGATTGTGGTAGCCCCTGTGTGCAAAGCAATCATTCCCAAACTGTCCCTTCCCAAATCTTGGAGTGATGCCAAGGTGACGATGGAAGAGGCCATCATCGATGCCAAACCAGTAGAAGCCATTGCTTGCGTCAGAACCAAATCCTGGTTGGCAAAGCGAGATTGGCGATTGGAAGGGACATCATAGTAGTGTGGCTTCGGCGGTGCTGCATGGCTTGACCTACAACAACGAAAGTACAGCGTACCGGTAACTAGCTAGAATGATCTTTAGAAAGCATATACAAAGAGAGCATTCGGTCTCGTGGTACTCCTTTCGTCAACCACCGGTACTGTACCGGATAAAAGGAAAGCTGACTGAGTCACTCCACAGTCCAACAAAAAGCCTAATAGTGAATGTAATAATGTAGGAGTAAAGCAATGATTGTTCACAGTGCACAGTCAAACCTGGACCATTTTCAGTTTTTGAGGACGACATCAATCAACTCATCGTCTTCCATGTCAAAGGAAGCAGGAGTGGAATTGGGATTCATTTGTTCTCCGTCAAAGTGGAAGCTGACCTTGGCTGTCTGTGTCAGATTGTTTTTGGTTTTGTATTTATCCACGAGGACGCTCATGGGTTCTTGCATTCTGATTTTGAACATTTGTTCTTTGACTTTACCGCCTTCGTTGGTCCTCAGTTTCACAGCAATTGCGTTGCCCAAATCTTTCTTAGTGGTGGCTGTCTCCTCCGTGTGGCCCTGATGAGACTTTGGTGGCGGAGGGTCATCCAGGCAAATCACATCTTCGTCATTGCTGTCGTCCACGTTTTCGGCCTCCATTTCCTGTGACACATCGACATCTTCGGCATGATAAGCTTGTGCTGACTGAAGCTTTGCCATGGCCTTGGCAAACTCGGTTGCCTTTTTACTCTTGGGCACCTTGACCACTTGCTCTTCATCCGAGGAATCACCATCCAAGGATTGGCGAAGAACAGGGTTTCTGTGGCTCGAATATGGCATGACGATCTCCACTTCGGATCCCGAGTCTTCCTCCTCCGACTCGCAGCCAGTAGCCCGCTTGGCTTCTTTTTGGAGCCTGGATTTCTTGTTTTTCTGAGCCAATCTCTGCTTGAACCGGGAAGATCTGGCGGGGCGTTTGGAAGGTGACGAAGCTTGGACGACGGAATCATCGTCACTGCTCTCGTCAGTGGCTTCTTCCTCGCCAGACGATGAGGTTCCTCCGCTCTTCTCAGTTTGTTGTTGAATTTTGATGACATGGAGTCTCTTTCCAATGTCCAAGGAAGCGTCGCTGTCATCTCCATCATCATCCTCGTCGTCGTCATCAGATGTGTTGAAACTAACGGACTTTCGCAACTGCTTTGTCGTCTTCTTCTTGTTATCAAGAGATTTGCCTTTGGCTTTTGCCGCTGTTTTGGGTGATTGCTTGCGCGAAGCAGCAGCTGTCTTTTTCTTTGCTGGAGACTTTCGAGTGCTTGTTCGAATAGCAGCACCGCGAGTCTTCTTTGTCACTGTTAGTCTTTTCAAAGGTTCATCATCCGAACTATCATCGTTGCCTGCAATTTCCAAATCCTCATCACTGTCACTCGCGTCATTGGTTGCCATTTCAAAGCTCTCCTCCTTGGCGTCATCATCGTCGTCGGAGGCCGACAAAAAGCTGTCATTTCTCTTTACGGGAGGTTTGGGAGCGGCGCTTGCCTTTGCTTTGCGGCTGCGGGTGCTTACCATGGTGGATACAATAACAATCAACAGAAACTCTTCAAGGTTTTTGAGAGGGCCGAGAGCGTGGAAGGGGACAGACAAAATTGAGCGCCAAAGAAAACCCGTTCAGAATTGTTTGATCAGTCACGCTTAACTTTGGGTCCCGGGTGTCAACTCCCATAGTCATGACCCAGGGTTATGGCTTTTCCAGACAAAGCTTTCGCTTGTACCGGTACCCTGTATTTAAGATACTACGTTTTTGATCACGTCCCCACCGCCAGCGGTACCAGCACCGGTATATACCGATATCTATTTATTGGTATCTACCGGTACCGGTACATCGTACCACTACACGCAGCTAGCTAGGCCTTGGATCAACCATCAAGTGTACTAATAGCTATATAGATCTAATAGAGCTACTAAAAGTGTACCGTAGCATATTTCTATGATATGCTATTGTGAGACTTCAAGCTGCGAGATAGTTACATCCTGTTTGGCCCATCACAATGCCTCGAAGATGGCTTCCAATTAGCAATTTTTTCCCTTTTAAGGCAGTAGAGAAGGAGGATGGAGTATTAAGATGCCACAACAAGCTTGTACCGTAGTTGGTCATCAGCTAAGTTCAATAATACTGTATGATATGGTTGTTTGCTTTGTGAGATAGATTTAATGTGTGTTCCGATTGATTCGATTCAACACAAGCTTAATATCAAGGGACAAGGGTACATCTAAAAGCTACTGGTTCAATTGGCAAGATATTGGATCTTGCCTGACGCCCCAATGGATCTTGAACCAAGAACATCACTCTACTCTCCCAAAACGCGAGGAACAAAATGAAAGAAGAAACACAAGACAGTCAAGACAAATAGCCAAAGGAACATACCGGTTCATTCGGAGTCCTCTACATGCACAGCTAGCTTGTCGAGGGATCGAAAATCTGCTTTGCTTCATTATCTGAGGTAGTCTATTGCTAAAAGATCGCTTGAGAAAGTAAGCTACCCCTGGTGTGGTTGGAGTGAGTCGAGTCGAATCGAATCATTGCCGCTACCCTTATTTTCAAAGATGATAGACGAAAAGCTCGCCCCGGCAGAATTCGAGCGTCTCTTTGCGCTGTCCTTATCGGACTATAACTCTCAAATTCCCACATGGTTGCGTTCGGTGGATCCAATCGATGTGAGAGAAGGCGTGGATGCTCTTTTGAACCAACTCAAGGCGGCCAACAAGAAGTCCAAGAAGTTGGAAGGTGTCCTGAGTTCCAATGGCATATCCATCCCAATCGATATCCCCTATGTGGTGGCCAAACAAAAAGTCATTGAAATCCAGCAACGCATCATGGGCGGGGATGTTGACGAGAAAACATACTTTCAGCTTTGCGCTGACTTGGAGAAATATAGCACTGCCATGACAGCTTCAGATGAATACCACGAAGAATTGAGGCAGAAAGAAAGAGAGTGGGAAGAACAGCATCGAACCGAAAATAGAGATGCACTCATCAAACTGCGAAGGCACATGCCCGTCAACATTCGATTCTTGAGCGAAGACGCTTTGATCAAGCAACACAAGTTGCCACCCAAGATTGCGCGCAAATTCAAACGAACCGACGTACTCAGCCTTATTCGCAAGGCACCAGAGAACGTTGCAAAGATGCATCCGGGTATTTTGGAAGGTCTCAAGACAGGCGGCTTGACCTTGACGGAACGACGAGCACTCTACGAGCACTTGCGGACCGTGGGACCCAAATGGCTCAAGGCCAAGGACGACATGTCCCAGCGCAAAGCGCAGTGGTACCAGAACTTCAAATCCAAATTTAAGGAACAGGCCGATGCTTGGGCTCAACATAAAAAGGAATTTGGATCACCGGCAACACACAAAAAATGCAACAAGATTGGAATGCAATGCCCCTTCAAAGCCGATGCACAATTAGACTATTCGGGAGACTTTGGGTTCCCCAAGGGAGATGAATACGAGCAAGACACTGTCACCAAAGCGCCAAAACCCTTTGTCAAGGAAGACGAACAACCCAAGCGTGCTGCAAACCCTATGGCAGCTGCCATTTCTGCCAGAGCCGCCTCCAAACCCTCCTTTTTGGGAGAACTTTCCAAGAAGAAGAGCCCTGCCAGCAGCAGTACTCCCGCGAAAACAAGCAGTGGTACCACCAAACCTAGAACCACTTCGTTTACTGCCATGAAGGCAATTCCGAAAAAGAATGCTACTCAAAAAAGCGTTCTCAAGGAAATCAAGAAAAAGACGCCAGAAGAAATTGCCCAAGAAAAGGCCGCACAGGCAAAGAAAGTGGCACAGGCCAAGTACGACGCGAAACGGGCAGCTCGCGACGACATCCTGGAGACGCACTACAAAAAAAAGTCGGACGATTATCTTATTGATGCTCGAGCCATCACTCAGGCCATGGAAGATTCCATGGATGATATCACCGCACTGCTCGAAGAATGGATCGATTACGTGGTTCGGAGTGGCAAGAAGGATCTGTCCGAAGATGCCATTGAAGAAGAAATCTGGGATTTCAAGGATGCCGTAGACCCCATTGGGAATGTCGTGGAGCAGTACTTGGAGAGACTCGGGGAAGTCAGTCCGAGTACGGGTAAGTGAACCGACTTTGTTGTCAAGCTCATCGCCGCGGCAGCGTGCAGCTCACACATAAATACATCGATTCTCCTTGTAGTCGAGTGCGAGTTAGCAGAAGACTTGTACTTGTGCGCCGTCGTCTTTTTCAACTTTATCCAGTGGCGCATGGGAGAACTGAAACAAAAAGATGCCGATCTGTCCAAGTCAATTGCAGACGTGCAGTCCAATTTGAAAAAGTTGGTGGCAAAGAATGGACGCAAGTTGAAGCTGTTTGGGATCAAGGCTGAGCGGACGCGTGATATTCCATGTGCCAAGAAGATTATGGAAGAAAAAACCAGGCTGATTAAAAAACAGCAAGAAGAACAAAAGGCCAAGGCGGCTGCGGCCAAAGCACCACCAAAGCCGGCCAAAAAAGAAGCTCAGCCTCTGAGCAAGTACTCTGACCACAAAACGAGAGATTCCTTGAGCACTTCAGTGCACAAGAGGCAGAGCAAACCCGGAACGATCGAACGGAAGATGAGCTTTACCACACGGACCATGGAACATCAGGGCAAGGAAAATTTGAAGTGGCAGTTGGTGCATCAAGTCAATGATGCTCAAAAGATGGTTCGGCGGTTGGAATCAGCCATTACTGCTGCAGGGTTGACGATTCCCGATGACACGATTCCGTACCAGGAAGCTGAAGCCAAGATTGCAGAGTTGTCCAAGCGCATGGCGGAAATCTCCTTCCAGCACCCGGACTATTTCACGTTGGAGCAAGAAATGACAAAGTATAGCGCTGCGCTAATGGCCTCCGACGAGTACCGCCGTGAGACAGAGCGACGTGAACGAGAGTGGGAGGCAAGCGTTCGCGAGAAAAACCGTGAAGCACTGAAACAGATTCGGCGTCACATGCCCGTGGAGGTTCGAAAGGTAAGTCGAGGTCCTCACGTGTCACGCCAATACTAAGTGTAGCATGCCGCTCAGATATCGAATTTTTCCTGCATCTTAAAGATGACTGAAGCTGAACTTGCCCAGAAGATTCCCAAGGCGATTGCCAGGAAGTTCAAGAGGACGAATGTCTTGCAGCTGATTCGGGTCAATCCCAACGATGTTGCAAAATTCCACCACTCCAACTTTGAAGGCTTGAGCCTGTCTGGAATGACCTTGACTGAACGACGTGCTCTGTACGAGCACTTGCATGCGGTTGGCCCACAATGGTTCCGCCAAAAGTCCAACGAACAGGTACGATTTTGTTCCCCCTTGCTTGTCCCGCACAACAACAACTGCCGCCCGTGACAGCAGGACGATGCAGCTCACGTATCGTTTTTTCTGTATCCTCTCCCAGATTGAGCGCAAATGGCTTTGGTTTCAGTCAATGAAAAACAAGTTCCGTGAAGAGTTGCGAAAGTCCGAGACCCTTGGTGCTAAGTACAGTGCGGGCCAACCCGACTACAGCGGCAACTACGGGTTTCCAGATGGTGCGGTGTACGAAGTGATGGGTCATGCCAAGGTAGATTTGAGCCACAGTCAAAAGAGGGCCAAGGAGCTACGCGAGCAACGAAAGCAAGGCGGCAGGTAAATAAAGCCCCTGTCGGGTTGGGTTTTATGCTTGGAAAGCAACATGCACGCCATGTTTGCTTCTCTTGGCAAGAACCTACTAGTACTAGCTAGCTTGGGTAATAAGGATTGTGATCTGGGTGTTTTCATTTTTGGTTGATACTTGCAGTTGTCTACTAGCATGCCTGAGTCTCAGTTGTGTGCCATACTCAAATGATGAACTGCTTTTGCCTTTACGAAGCTACCAAGGAGCATCGATCCCAAGCTAGATGTCACAAAATAGAAGCTTCAATACACAGAACTGTATGCCGTTTGGACAATGAAGGAAGATCTTGAGTGGGTACGGTTAAGAAAGAAGCTGCTCGAGCGATGGTTGTACCGAGCCATTGAGATTGCCACGGATGTGTTGCAGCCAAAAGTTGTGCACCTGCATGGCTGCGTGGACGAGCACACGAGCACCCAAGCACAACAATCAACATTCTGGACGATGACAAATACTAGTAACTTCATTCCCCCGCGCCAGCCTTTCGGGGATTTTCCGTAAGCCTTTTTTGTTGGTTTTCTACGAAATTGCGTTTATTGTACGAGTAGAGTTTTTTGTACTCACACGCGACGCGTCACGACAGATTAGAAAGACTGACGTTTGATCAGTAAATGTCATATCCACACAATTTTGGTGCGATTCATTTGTACTTCTACCGTGCTGAGTACAGAAGCAGCTGGGAGTTCTGATTCGTTCAAAAGCGCTGTTAAATTCTGAAAGGATCGATCACGCTGTGTTGGCATTTCTGGTGTCTTCTTCCTTGCCCCTTTGAAGGCGACATGGAAGCGGCACGTTCAGTCGTTCAGTCAACAGCTTGTGTGTCCAGCTTTTGAGGGAGTGTGGGAACAACGGAACAACATAAATATTCTCAGTAGTCTATTATTATTAGACAGACAACAGCCACTCGTTGCAAAGAGAAAGATCCAACCGAAGCCACAGCTCTTTGTTGAATCAGTGTAGAGTTGACAAAAGACTTGGCGTACGTGTGGGTTTGGCTAAACTAGCTATCTATCTATCATCCAAGAATCCAGAGAGTTGGAAGTTCTATACCCACGTTTGCTGGAAGCAAGAATCATTGAATTGAATTGAATCGAATCTGCCTCCTTGTTGTGTTGGCTTACAGCAGGCGACATCCTTCTTTGACCGAATCATCGCATCGGATCACACCAACAAGAAGAGAGAGGTGACTGACCAACCCACCATTCAACTATAATGATGAAGACTCGCTGGTTTACGCGAAGTCAAAGAGAACAGGGCAGCAATGGTATGTTAACGTCGAGCGAACGCAGTGCCATGCTGACCGACAGCGAGCGAACTCGCAACGAGAGCATTGATTTTGATATAGACTTTTCCGTGACGGAGAGCGGCCGGACTGTGGCTCATATGATTGACGCGGCTACCAAGAGTAGTAATGACGGTGAGTTTGACTTTTCCATTACCAGTTCGGGCAGAACCATCGAACACATTATGCAAGACCACGCCATGAACAAGACTCCTGCTGCTACGAGAAATAATATCAACGACAACAACAGCAACACTACCCACAGCAACAACAATACCAGTAACAATAGCAGCGCTACTCATGCCAATCTTCCAACTGGTGTCCCGGCAGTCAGAGCTACAATCTCCAATCCGCTGACCATTCCTCCCCAAGCTGCAACCAAGTCTCCTGCAAGAGCCATTCCTCCACCCAACGGCTCCCTTCTTCATACCAATAACAATAGCAGTACGAATGGGAATGCACATACAGGGTCGCAAGATTCATCCGGAAGCAACTTTCTCAGTGGCATTCTTAACGAATCTCCGGCCACTTCCTCGGCTATGGCGCAGCTGGCTCATACTCCTCCTACAAACTTTGGCACTTCCTACGAGAATAGACATTTTGGAAAGCGACAGCGATCAGGGGTAAGTCGAGTCGCTATGCGGTAGACTTGTTTGCCTGTCAAATTCTTCTGACTCTTTGTATCTCACTTACTTTTTCTTTGTTACTTTTCCACAGAGCGTCTCTGGGCGCCTTCGGTCCGCATCTGATTTGGAAGAAAAGGGACTGATCGACAGAAACCAAAAGGGTATTCTCAAAGACTTGATAATATGCGGCGACGAAGAATTGCAAAAAGCACTAGACAAGTACGAAACTGGCGACCCGGCAGAATTGGAACACATGATAAAAAGTGGAGCTCTGCAAAATAAGGCCGTACCAGACTTGGATTTGTTGGGGGATTTAGACCTAGACTTGGATTTCTTGACGGTCAATGATGGGGGTGGTGAAGTCACATCCGGTGATCTGGGAAGGGAAGGACCGGGAATGTACAGTTTGCCACAGCATACTACCAACAACACCACATGTACTGAAACAACAACCGCAACCAATCAACGATCCGCATCCATGCCATCCATTATGCAGCCTCCTCCTCCTGCCTTTGCCAGTAAACGACAAGCCAGTGACATGACACACAATAGAACGACAACAACAACAACAAACACAGCAGCCGGTAGTGCTGCCCCTGTCACTCATGAATTCGATGATGGCATTGGTGAACTAGAGTTTACGGGTGGTTTCGGTGGTGATGCATACTTTGGTGACGATGCAACAAGTGGTCAATTCATGAATTCGTCAGGTGAAAAGCAGCGTAGTCTATCAACGGTCAGTGGCGACGACAATCGATTGCGCTCCAACTCTTTATTCTCCGCCCTCATCAACGAGCCACGTACGACTGAGAACCACTACACGCAATATGGGAGATGGATGGACGTGGTACCCGCATCGAACGCAAACAACAACACAGCTCATAGTGTCAATAGCAATCTATTCGATCGCAAGGAATCGGTTGCAGGAAAGGACCGCAACCACCAGGAAACAACAGCCAAGACTGCAGCCACAACCGTCAGCCGACCTATTCCAATCCCAAATGCCAGCACCAAACATGAGAGCCAATCAGCCGCCGCGACAATAACCTCCACCCCTACCACTAGTCCGAAAAAGAAGGGACGACGCAAATCAGATTCCGCAGCCGTGGAAGAGCGGAGGCTGAAAGCACAGCTAAGGCAGGAACTCGCAGAACAGAAACGACGAGAAAAGCAAGAAAAACGAGAAAAGAAAGAGCGAGAAAAGCAAGAAAAACGAGAGGCACGGCTGCTGGCCAAGGCAGAAAAGAAGAAACTCAAAGAACAAAAGAAAGATTCTTCCTCTGCCATGGCAGTTGATGAAGAAGAGAAACCCATTCATGTGCCAGGTTCTGGCAGACCCAGATCGATGAGCGACCCCAACCTGACCGCCACGAGAGATGAGTTTGGTCACGTAGAAATTGAGCGTCCCGATGGGTGGGTGGGCGCCTATTCACCAGAGAGCCGCAAAAAGCGTATTGAAAAGTTTCTGGAAAAGCGACACCAACGAGTGTGGACCAAGACTGTCAAGTATGATGTACGGAAAAATTTCGCTGACAGCCGGTTGCGAGTGAAGGGCCGTTTCGTGAAGAAAGAGGACGAGATGCTCATGAGGGACCTGATGAGCCTGACTTAAGTTGATGGATGGCAAAATTGAATATTTGTATTTCCTCCATTGATTCCCATGATTATATTGGTTTAGAAGCTTGCGTGGGAATACGGTAGCAATGATTGCTTATAAAGTGCTAGCGTCCTTCTGCTATTGTATGCCTCCCTTGGGTTTTCTTTTGTTCAGGCAACGCGCTCACATCAAGTTCTGGCGCAGTTGACGACTACCGGTACCGGTATGTCCAATAAAACCCCGCGAGCTCGTGCCTGGCTTACGATTTCAAATCCCCAGGCATCACTTATGCTCTGCCCGGTTGCCCGTCTTTGATGAGCCCCTTTGGAGTCTTTCCCGGTCAGGTTGTTTTGGCCGCTGAGACGCTTCTGGAGGATGATATTGTGGTGTGACACCATTCGGGCAACTAGTTGAACTAGACTAGTATCTGGCCAGTCGAGTCTGGCAGATAAAGGAAACTTCTGTCTCCGTGTCATTGCGTGCGGTAGGAATAGTGCCACACCAGTAGCCTTCTTTACAGCGTGCTCAAACAGCAAACAGAGGAATCCGATCCAGAAAAGACACCTGACCAGGACAGGCCGAAACCAGTACCGTTCCGGTACCACTAAGACTGTAGCCCCACCACTCCAGCAAGCAACAGCTGCATTTGAAGCTCAGTATGTTCAAACAAACAAAACGATAATTACTATGCTCTTTCACTTCACTGTGAGCCTCGAACCAAGTATTCTAAAGTTGTTGAATCAACACCCGACTTCGAGGTTGGTTAGGTACCTCGTGTGGGTATTGCTTGAATTGATCCCGGGTATGCAGCCCATCATTTTCCTTCTGAAAGACACTTATTGACCAAAATCAGGTCTTCCACAGACTTGAGGCTGCACGGTGGACTGGCTATTCCATTTGAATTCACCTGAATATAAGATGAATCATCGTCTTCTTCCACATCGTCTTCTGCTTGGGGCACTAACTCGTCCTCGTCGTCGTCAGCAAGAACCAAGGAATTTTGAGACGATGAACGCGATACCGGATCTGAAACCTGATTATCCACCCGCAATCCTTCCTTGGGATCGGCAGTGGTTTCTTTTTCTCCTGCAGCCACCATTCCGGTATCTTCCGGCCCTCTAGATTCACTGGCTCCTTTCAATTCGGGTTCATTTGAGCGATCGGAAGTGATGGATGAAGATTGTAGGGAATCAAGGTGCTCCTTTCGCACTCTTTCGCAGTTAAAGAAATAGTTCGTCCAGAAAACAATCTCTTTCACATTACCTCGACCTTCGAGAGAGAAGAATGGCACAAAAGTTAGGCTTTCTCATTCATCGTATGACGTACATTGTGATGTGTCATGAATAATCACCTGACATGCGAGCGTGTGTTGCCGCCAAGTTTTCGTCAACTCCCAAGAGACGTCGGATCAGATGAATTCTCGGTTCATCCAGAACAATAAATTTGCACCCTTCCTCTGGAGAAGATCCCTTGGGTGAGAAGGGTTTCAGAAAGCTATCATTAATTTTGCTCAGACCCAAAATTTGGCCCTTCAATCCTTCATCTTCCCGGTACACAGATTGTGCTTCATCTTGCTTCACCAGGATTTCCCAAGGCAGTCGAATGGCGTCTTCAAACTCGGCAATCTCTTCATCGCTGCTGTCGCGCTCCATCTGAGCAATTTCTGCCGCCACTGACAGCGCGGAACGTTGAACAAAACTGGCAATATCTCCGATGGCTCCAATCGTGGGCGGTACAGCGTCCTTCAAAGAGTTAGCAATGTTGCGAAAGTCGGCTCCGAATCCACCCAGCCACCCCGAGTCTTCCTCTGAGGTCGTGCTACCGGTACCCTCTGTTAACGCACTCTCTTGCAGAACATCATCAGTGTTCTTTTGTTGAGATTGTTCTTCTTCCTCGTCGTCCCAGTCCCATCCGTCGTTTCTCTTCTGCTCAGAGCTCATGATGACCGGTCTTCAAATGGCTGGCAAGCCTTTTGGGTTTCTTAGTTGTCTTGTGTGCGGCAGCTAATGCTGTGCAGGGAGGGTGATGTTGATGGGTATGATGCAGATAGATTAATGAGGCGTTTGGCCTCTCTTACGCTTCTAAAGAAAATGGAATTACTGATGTCGACCTAACTTACTTGAAGCTAGTAGTGATGCCACCCACGTCAAGAGCGTTACGGTACAGAACTGGGAATCTACTCGGTGTTCTTATTTGACTATAGGATCAAGCAGTAGAGGGCTACACTCTCAGCATAAATCTTTTCGTCCAGGCTCACTCGTTGGGAACACTCTCGCCAGATCGTTTCAAGTTCTGGTACGTAGGAGATCAGCACATCAGCACCAATCTGTTCTGCATCTGGGTTCTTGCATCCACCCGTGAATGGCGTGCTCTCCAAGCCAAGCTCAAATAAGTCAGCGGGAGCTGCGATACCTCGGCAGAAAGACAAATAGAGGAGGATCATGTTTGAGATTGCACCCTTCTTTCAAGGTAGCCCTGGCGACAACACTCGACTCCGTCGTGTGTTGCCGCCCGGCACCATTCCCTCATTGTAACCTTCTTTTTTCTTTAAGCTAGCCCTGGCGACAACACCCGACTTCGTCGTGTGTTGCCGCCCGCTAACCATAATTTTACAGCTGTCATTCCTTTATGTAGCTGTAACTTTTGTAGCTTCTGCTGGCTTATTGTGTTGAGTGCACTAACCATGATTTATTCCTACCCCTAAATTTGTTGAACCTTCAATTTCCAGTTTTGTTGGCTTACGCCTATCTCTATCACTATATTTTGGCTTCACCGGAACAGGAAACAGGAAATAGGAAATACCGAAAAAGGGGGTGAGGGCTCAGGCAGATAGACTGCTGAGGTAAAGAGGCAGGTGCCCGCAGATTATCTGCTGTTATTATTGTGTATCGAGGAGATCATTGCTGCATACTATACTAATTGCCATTCGCTGATCAATATCACCAACGGTAGAACATTCTCACTTCTGTCAAATTTGACTTGGGTATCTTTGCTCGTCAATACACTGGTGGAAATGGTCGACCATTCTCAGTAAATGGAGATGGAGAATTTGTAGTGGTAGGAGGTAGAAAGGCCCCAGATGCTGTCCTTCAGCGGAGCTACCCCCTTCAGCATGCTCCCATGGTTCTCCGATCACCATTTGTGGTTGAACTGGAAGTGGGCAATCGTGGCCCCAAAGCATTGATGCTACAGCTAGAGCAATATATCCAGCTTCCACACAGTGCATATGCTCTGGGTATCAAGATTTACAAGAAGCGCCGTCATCTGCCGAACCACCCCTTTGCTGCTGTTGCCATCTTGTGGCACCAACCCCCTCTGCCTGTGGGAGGGGGTCCACCACCAGGCATTAACTTGGTGAATGTTTGGAACTTTGGGACTGCAGACTTGCATCCAAGTTCGAAGAGGGCCTTCTGTGGACTAGGACCTGGAGTTCCCGCTATAAGACTCCCGCTACCTGCCATGTGCGATTTTCAATACCCAGCACCCAACACCATTATCAATGGGCCGTCGGCCACGCTGGTGACAAATCAAAATATCATTGATTCAAATGGGGGTCTGGTCCCAGCTGGGCCTAATTTGACCATCGATCTGGCTGTTGTTGTGGAAAAGGCAGTGATCAATGATTAGAGAGAACTAAGGTACAGTATACATCGGAAACCATGATGCAACGTCAACCTCCTCGTCTTCATGTACTAACAAGCATAACTGCATCATGCGTTTGAGAGTGATTGTACACAGCAAAGGCCTCAGTAACAAATTCCCATGTCATGAACTCCACCATTGCCATGTAATCTGACAAAGTAGCTTCTTGAGTAGTAACAATGATGCATCAACATAGCTAATAACTTAAATTATTAAGAAGGAACTGAGTCACTCCCGGTGCACTCCCAGCAACAATACCACACTATTGCCTCTTGCGACGGGATACAGCTTACAATTCAGCTTTACAGCTTTACAATTAGCAGGCTTATTCTAGAAAATAATCAATAACTGCTCACTTATTTGGAAATACAAACTTTACATCTCTTAGATCCTTAGACTAGTCAATGCACAATGGTATTGTCGCATGGTAGCATGCGAGGTTATGAGATGTTACTCATTCTTATTCTTATATGTCTACCCCTTGTTATCATCAGTGGTAACCCCTCTTCTCGACTGGACTCGCTCGAAAGCAATCCCCTCGTTCTTACTCCTATTGACGATCGTAATCTCAATGAGGATCCTATCTTGGATTCGCTCGAAAGCAATCCCCTTGATTGCTTAAGCAATCCCCTTGATTCGCTCGTAAGCAATCTCCCATATCCTGTCGTCGATCGAAATCGCGATGAGGATCCTATATCATACCATGGACTCCTATGGGAGTCCACCTTTTGCGATCCACCGAGCGCTATATTATACCATGGACTCCTATGGGAGTCCACCTTTTACTATCCGAGCGCTAACGAAGCCGCTACTGATACTGATACTGTTACTGTTACTGATACTGATACTGCTACTACTACTACTGTTATCTCTATCACCGGTAAAGCCTTGCATCACCTCTTGCCTCGTCTCCGAGTCAATCGCGACGGAGATAACAGAGATAACAAAACTCGTCGAAAAATGAGGTTCGACTGCATATATAAGGCTCGGCCTGTGTGTCATGCCTTGAGTCATGCTTCGGGAAGGCTGAGCCATGCTTGCCTTATATCTTTGAAGCAAACTCCTCACTTTTTCATTTCGAAATATCGAACGTACGTGAAGAACAACAACAACAGCCCGGAGCGATCGATGGCTCGTGTTGTTGTGGTTGTTGTTGTTGGTCGATCGGCAGTTGGTCTCTGCTTACCCAGGACCGGCATTGGTCGTTTGAGCTGGCTTGCAGCTGTTGTTATTCAAATGAACGATTCAAACGACGACGAAGATTCAAACGACGAGAACTCGCTTGTCGACGCGAAAGATAACAGCTCGAACTCGCTTGTCGACGCGAAAGATAACAGCTCGACCGATTCGCCGAACTGTTGGAAAGCTCATAAATTCCAGCTTCGATTGACTCGATTGACTGGTCCATCAAGCTCCTCCTCTTGTTGTCGGTCCTGTTGCCACTGCTGCCACTGTTGCTCCTGTTGCCGCTCCTCCTATTGTTGCCATTGCCATTGCCCTCTTGTTGATTCTCACTTGATGGACCTTGACGACGCTTCCTCTGCCTCAGCATCTTCATCTTCAACAGCAGCGCCAGCACCAGCATCCTTGTTCAGTCCACAAGGCTTCAGAAAGCCTTCTTTGAATCTGACCAATCATCCCACCATCTGATCCTCCAACATGACTGCAGCACCATTGACCGCAGTTCAGTTCCAGGAGCTCCTCCAGCAATTGGGAAAAACCAAAGAAAAGACAAGTTACAGAAGCCCTCGCTTGGAGGTTCAACCACACTGGAGCCTGGACAGGATCTGGCTCAGATGGACTGGGAAAGGAACCTCAAAGCACCCTATGCCTCAGGGTTTCCATGGTGACGACCATCTGAAACATCACACAACTCCAGCCATCGAATTGCATGCAAGAAAAGACTGAAGGATTCCACCAGTCTCTATTCTCACTCTAACTGAGTCAATGCTTCTGGTCTCATGTGCTAGCCTCTCTTTCGCCTTTGAAGTATGATGACAGAACATGGAATGGAAGGGTATTCCAGCTTGTTGTTGGAGACTTAATACAACACTATTAATAAAATCAACATGTTCACTGCTCCTGGACAGGTTTCAGATCTATGATGAAAAATGGCATCAGGACCTACAGTCAATGGGGTCAGACTCATGATGCCAATGGGATCTGCAGCAACATCCTGTTTGCCAGTATGATCTAACAACCTTGCCTGGTCGGGAAAGGCTGTCTTGAACTCTTGCACTGATGCACTCAGGAAGAATTGAAATCATATGTTCCTAGAGCCAAAACAATGGGCCCCAACTTCTCTTTGGCTCTTCTGCAGAAATATACAGACCTTCTCTCAGTAAGATTGAAACCTCAAAGCCAAGCTACTTACTTGGAAATCACCAAGTTCCCTGGGGAGAATGTTCCATGTATGTTGTCGATGCAAGCAAGATAATCAAAGAGTTCGATTAACTTTATTGTCCAGTGATCCCATGCCTGAACTAAC